TGCCCCAGAGTGAGAATGCGGACCCACCGTTCCGCAACATGAAGAACCCGCTTGCGGCCTCGGCCGTCACACGCCGCATCGCCCAGCAGACCTACGAGCACTCCGTGCAAGGTCGCATCGCTCTGACGCTGGGCGGCGACCACAGCATCGCCATCGGTACCATTGCAGGAACCGCAAAGGCCACCCGGGAGCGTCTCGGTCGCGAGATTGGCGTCATCTGGGTCGATGCGCACTCGGACATCAACACGCCCGAGTCGAGTGACAGCGGCAATATCCACGGCATGCCCGTGGCTTTCCTGACTGGCATCGCTAAGGAGGAGCGCGAGGAGTACTTTGGCTGGCTCAAGGAGGACATGCTCCTGAACTACAGGAAGCTGGTCTACATTGGCCTCCGTGACGTCGACGCTGGCGAGAAGGCCATTCTGCGCAAGTATGGCATCAAGGCGTTCAGCATGTTCGATATTGACAGGTGCGTTCTTTCACTCTGCTCCCCAAGAAACTTGCTCAGACTGACCTGAATTAGACACGGTATCGGACGAGTTGTAGAGATGGCCCTAGCCCACATTGGTGCCGATACCCCCATCCATCTGTCGTTCGACGTCGACGCCCTGGACCCCCAATGGGCCCCCAGCACCGGAACTCCCGTCCGCGGCGGCCTGACCCTGCGCGAGGGAGACTACATCTGCGAGAGCGTCCACGAGACGGGCAACCTCATCGCCGTGGACCTGGTCGAGGTGAACCCGTACCTGGCCTCGGACGAGAAGGGCAAGCAGGAGACCATTAGAGCCGGCTCGTCGCTGGTGCGCTGTGCGCTGGGAGAGTCCCTTCTATGAGGAGTTGGGAAATGACTGTCTGCGGGAACGATGAAGTGTGTTTTACTGTATTTCATTAGATACCAGCCTTTCACCACTTGGCACGGCGCACATGACTAGGCACAGAAAAAGCTCTGGAGGAAACAAAAAGATAGTAATAAAAAAAATTGACAGCCACATGAGAGAGGGCAAGGAGTTTTTGTGACGATTGACTGTGTTCTCCAATCGCCATGGCAGAATTATAATTAGGTGATGTTGATACTTGCAAGCTTCATTAATAACCATGACCGGCGGAGTTGATGACTTTTGACCAAGCTCATCGGTTACAACTACGTGCCTCCCAATTGGGCGTCAGAATAATAAGGACTGCAAGGCGCCAGACTGGGCATTATTGTGTATTACCGCACAAAAAGGAGTCATTATTATGGCTCCGACTGCCACAATAATTCTGTCGATGTGACTTTGCAGTCCCTGTTTTCCCGACTGCCACTTGCCTCCGTCCGGGATGAAGCTACGAGAACATCCGTGAGACGGTTGGACGGGTGGTGGTGGGTCTCGGATCCGTCCATCATCCCAATCTCCAGGACCAGGATCAGGCCCTCAAGCTGCGAGCCGATCGCTAAACAAGGGGGATGAGCTTTCCCATTTATGCATCATCCCTAGACCTAGGTGTGCATAATTATCTAGAGGACAGGTCGACTGGCCTCTCACCGCTGCAGACTCCACCGCTCATGACCATCAAAATGGAACTGGAGATTGGCTCCAGAAAGACAGGGTGGTATTATCTAGAAGGCTTCCAATTGCTGAGCAATAAAGGCAGGGGGCCGAGCGCGCGCCGTCGTCATTTTACATGCCATGCGGGTTCCTGCAAGGTTACGTGTTGAATTTTCTTTTCTCGCTTGCAGCGGCCTGGAGAGGGACGAATTTTGGTTTTCGCGGGCCTAGCTTGTTCTCTGTGAATCAGAACCCAAGGGTTTGGCCGAGGTCGATTAATTGGCATTGCATTCCCCCCCTTCACCTTCTCTCTGTCGTAATTTTTTTCTGCGCCAAGAAACTGAGAGTAGGAAATGGGTGATATCACCTGGTGAGGCATCACTGCATCGCATCTTGCTGGAGTGCAGCTCCCTCGTGGACTTCTGGGTGCACAGCAACCAGCCCAGCCAACAGGAAGCCAGAGCCAGTACAGGGTAGCGGGAGCAGCCCCTCCCAGCCCAACCTTGAACAGCACAAGCCCCCCAACCCGCACCCACTAACCCCAGCCCCTGCCCAGTGCTCGGGTAGTCCCAGGGAGAGAGCACTGATCCATCCCGCCCGACGAAAACACCTGGGCAACCGCACAGCAACGAGCTGCCAACAGCTTTTTTGGCCGCCAGTCTCAATGTCCAGATACCTCCATCATTAGTACACCACCAACAAACTCAAAATATACCCCCACCAACCCGACGAACCCCCATCATCCTGCCCGAGCCGCTTGGTGCTTTGACATCACACTGCCGTTATTCCCCCGCTGCGACAAACAAGAGCAAACGGAACCGAACGACCAGCGAAACGAGCGGGGGTCACCGAGCTAGTACACCTTCTGATTGATTGTCTGCAAGATCGACGTGGCAGCCTCGCATCTCTTTAGGCACGATCTGGGCGCCCACGACGGAAAAATTACCTTTCGAGTCGAAACCCAGCCCAACATACTGCGTTGAGTCTGGCCATCCGCCATCCGTCCGCCCTACCTGGCAATTGCCTCATCTCGACTGCCCCTTCGAACCGAGACGTCCCCAGAATACAGCTTTCTTCAACGACGGGGGCCACCCTCGCTCGGATGGTTCCTTGAGCTGTCTATTTTGCGGTTGCGGAAGATACATCTTGCTCTGGCAAGCTTGAGCTGGCCGACGCCTGTGCGCCGAACGACCTGACCTTGCACAAGGGCGAAGCGCACCGCAGCGCAAGGCGCAAAGCTCCAGCTCGCACCTTGACTGGCATTTTGGATACCACTCGGCTGTTACACGCCACCCAACATGGCAGCTACATCATACATGAGCAGCTCGCTCTATACACGGAGCAGGAGCAGGGTCGCCGCCAGCCGGATACGAACGTACAATTGGCCGCCGATCCAGCTCAACTTCTGGATCTTTGTCATGCTGCTTGCCTCGACGGCCATTCTGGGTGTTTTCTCGGCTTTTGTTCAGACACAGCACCAGCTGTTGTTACCGATACCATGGTATGACCTAGCTGCTTTCTCCTTTTCGATCTTTCTCCGTCCGTTTAGTTGCTAATGTCCACCGCCTCGGGACGCTTTGCAGGTATTTCCCTTATTTCATGACCGTCAGCTGTCTCTCGATCATCTTCATCGGCGGCCTGTTCTGGCTGATTGCCGAGCGTCGACTCTTACCCGCAATTGTAATGATAGGCGCCTTCATACTGTTTGTGCTATGGCTCACGGGGCTCATTATCATCTCGATTGAGTTGTTTGGGCCGACGGGGTCTATATCTAGCACCTGCAACAACCAAGTGTTTAGCCACAACCCCAAGGGCCAGACGATGGAGGTATTAGCATACCTACAACAGAAGAATATTTGTAAGTCGTGACGTCTATTTGGGAAATCCATAATCAAGTCTGCCGTAGGCTAACTGTTGCTTTCTCAAAATAGGCGAATCCTGGCGACTTGTCTTTGCGATGGGCCTGATAGGCACCGTTTTCCTTTTGTGGATCATGATCATGGCCTACCAGGTCTTTGTCAATTCTTGATGATCGTTCGATATCGACCTCTTTTCGTCGAGAGACCCGACAACAACAATGACTTCCACCTACGAGCCCAAAGCGGCATATCTATACATATATTTTTTCACGCTACATACAGTACAATTATTCGATCATGCGTATCGAGAAACAAGAGGGGCATACAGATATTACGAGTTTGGGGCATGGTCTTTTTCTTTTCTTTTCTTTTTGAATAACAGCGTGAGGTTTGTCTTTTTGCGGTAATGTCATGACAGCGAGATATTTGGCAGCGGAGACTGGTATCTACTACCCACATACAGCATTGGGACTGGCGTTTTGATTGTTGGAAAATACCGCCCGGGAAAGATGCCCGGTGTCTGAGCGCTGACGAGAGTGTTCTCCTGTTCATGTTTTGGCTCGATCCAATTAGATTTGTGCTCTGTATCTAGGAGTTGCCCGCTGAGAAGGCGACCCGTCTCATTTATTGCAATCTAGCAAGGTGCACTTGCTTATCATCTACAACTCAACTCACGCCTTACGACCCTAACTTAATAGACATGGACATTATTAAGCTTTACCCTGCCTCGCTAAGAAGTTCCCAGAAGTTCCCTCTTTCTTGCATGTTCTTCCTCGGCATTGCTATTTGAAGAAACGACCTACAGCTTGGACCTCTTATCTCTCTGAAGCAGCTAGAGCAGCAGTAAGGTATCTCCCCTCTATTTTACAGAACACAGTGAGTACAATCAGGTACTTATTAAGCCTTTCTAGTTGCTTCAAAGAGATCTAACAGCCTCAACGCCCATCCGAGCCGTGCTGAAGATATCTCTCACCAAAAGAGGGATCCGTCGCAGCTGATCTCTCTGATTAGTGCTCCAAACGGACTGGACTGGGCACGGCACCCCCCACCCAGCCAAGAAGCAAGTCTGACTTGAAGGCACGACTGCAGCAGCTTCCACGAATCGGCCCATGGAGGGGCCACGGCCATGCGCTGTATGATGATGTATCCATGCATCCAATTATCAATCGATCAGCAAGCCCATTATCCTCAGAACACACGCCAAGCCAATATTCCCTTTCAGCTGACCTAGCCCCTGCCCAATGTGCTGTTGCGAACGAGGCTGTGGGTTGCATTTCAGCTTCTGAGAATTGAACTCTTCACCGAATATGCAATTTGATCATTTCGACACCCATGGCAGCACATCTCAGCCGCTGCAGAAGAGCGGATTGCTTACGGTCAACAACCAATTGCAAATAGTTGAGGTAAGAGCAAGGCAACTGTCATCAATTCGAACGTTCCCCCGGTCTCGCTGATCTTACCAGCCACAGAGTCGGCGTTTGGAAATGAGTTATTATATTTCCATGAAACTCCTTGAGAGCCTGTACATAGTTCAGGTCCTGGGCTTCCCCATGATTCTATCACTTGTGACTCAATTGTTGACTTCTTCTCGATTTTGACCTTCATGTTGCCAGACACAACTTCCGGCAGAGCCGCCTCTGATGCAATGGAAACAGGGACCGCACCTGCGACCCCAGCGCCTCTGCCCAATGCCGCGATGGAGACTGGAGAAGGTGGTAATGCCGAGACTGTTGATGCTCCTGAGCCTGTTGATGCTCCTGAGCCTGTTGATGCTCCTGAGCCTGTTGATGCTCCTGAGACTGTTGATTCTCCTGAGCCCTCTGGGCCCGCCACGAGTGACAGTAGCCTTGCCGCGGAACGTGGAACATCTCTTCATGATTTCCTTTCAGAGATGGAAGATGATAATGCCAAAAATGACGAACTTGCCCAGATTCTGGATGGTTTGACTGAGCAACAACTCAATCAACCAGACGGAGACGGGCAGACTCCTCTACACATTGCTGCAAGCCGCGGCTTACTGGGCGCAACGGAAAAGTTACTAGCCAAGGGTGTGAGAGATTCAATAAAACACAGCGACGGTATGGGACGCCAGCCCTTGCACTGCGCTTGCATGTCAGGGCAGAAAGAGATTGTGAACCGGCTTTGGGCCCTCGGTGCAGATTTGGAGGCCAAGGGACCTAACGGACGCACACCACTAGGCGAAGCATGCTATTGGGAGAAACTTGACGTAGTGAGCGAACTACTCGCACATCAGGCCAAAGTGAACGTAGCAGACGAGGATAATCGTTCACTTTTAATGATGGCAGTTATGGACAGCAACATCGATATAGTCAAGCGCCTCTTAGAAGAGGAACATTTGGACTTGAACTATTGCGAAAATGGCTGGACTGCACTGCATAGGGCCGCATATTGGGGCCAGGAGGAAATTGTGGACATCCTGTTGGAGAAGGGAGCAAGCACCAGTATCCAGGACAATGATGGTTGGACACCACTATACGCTGCTACTTGCGGCAAGGAAGCCACAATCGTTAAGAGGCTTCTTTACACCCTTGAAGGAGACAAGAGGAATACCAAGGAGTTGGAGACACCTGGCGAGGAAGGTTATACACCCCTTCTCGCAGCAATTGAGCGCAGGTATATGGAAATTGTGAGCCTTCTCATTGAAGCCGGAGCAAACTGCAATGCGGAAGATGAACAAGGGCGACGGGCCTTGCACCATGCAACTATTCAAGGAGACGAATCCATTGTCTCGTTATTTATCGAACGTGGGGTAGACTGCAATGCCCAGGATAAAGAAGGTCGTCGGGCTTTACACTATGCAAGTGATGAAGGATACGACTCTATTGCCCTACTGCTTATTCGAGATGGAGGAGCCGACCACGATGCCGCGGATAAACAAGGGCGCCGAGCTTTGCACTATGCAAGTGCCCAAGGAAACAGTTCTATTATTACATTGTTACTTGAAAAGGGGGCAGACTGTGATGCCGAGGATAAACAAGGGCGCCGGGCTTTGCATGATGCAAGTGTTCAAGGAAACGATATCATTGTTTCATCCCTACTTGAACATAGAGCAATGGTGAACCCAAGAGACAAAGACCGGAAGACCCCGCTTCAACTCGCGTTCAAAGCCGACCAAAGGCATGAATGGGATAAGCGAGATGAAATAATGAGAAGTTTTCTCATATTCAGTGATCTAAACACAACAGAGCTTGGAATAGAGGGGGTGAAAGATGATGTTCTGGTGTGGGCCGCCAACAGTTCCGACAGGCACGATATTGCCACATTACTTATGAAGAAGGACCCAGGAGTTGTTGAGCCGCCAAATTCTGGAAAATGGAGCGCAATCGAGTGGGCAACCTATAGAGTTTTACCCCAAATTCTCTGGTTACTTCTTGCGAACTCCCCTGAAACGAATGATTCCAAGAGATTGGTTAAATCAGCTTTGGAATTAACTAAACCTCTCAGGCAGGTGCTCAAGTCGGAAGAAATTAAGAGGCAGCGAGCTCTCATGGATGGAGGCGAGGGCGAGATTCTACTCAAAGGCAAAATGACTGCCGGACCCCGTGATAGCAAAAGGGCTGAAGGGTACAAAACACTTGAAGACATTTTGGAGGACCCTCCGTTTGCACAGTATACCGAAAGCGAGCAGATCCAAATGCGGGAACTTAGCGACGACCAATCCCAGGTTTCTGGTAAATTCTATGCTGCTGTAATTCGGATTTTTAGAGAAAAGGGAAAGTCGATTGTCGTCCGTGAGTCTAGGTTGCTAAAGGATATAATATATCAAGATGGCAATGGCCCGGCGAAGATTATGGAGGATAAAATGACGAGACTCAAGGAGCTGAAAAAAACAATTCAAGGCATGTATACGAACGCGGACAATCAGAGAATTCTTGAGACGGCAGATATCACTTCTGACCCCAGGTTCACGTGGATTCACTTACCATCAGCAAATGTAAGTCAACTTACTCTAAAGAGTGCCCACAAGCTAACTGAATATAGATGGATTGGATGGATGTGAGCAGTCTCATGTTTATGATCTCGAGACCTGCAGAGAAACTGACAACTGTGTAGGACTTACTAGCTAGGATCATGAAAGATCACACACGTGATCCGACCGAATATCGTAGCATTCGTGGTTTCTTCAAAGATAGTTGGGTCGAGGTTCCGGATCGTGAACTTTCCTCACGGATGATGAGGCCTCGTTTTATAGAGAGAGACCCGAAAATTTCCAGTGGAAACAAAATTGAGAGGGACGCGACATCCAAAGCTGAGCATCGAAGCATGGATGCCAAAGGCCAACAGGATCCAAGCAAAAACGATGTGGATATTGCCATGAAAGGAAACCACCAGAAGACAACTAAGATGGATGCGAACAGCGATTTTGTGGCAGCGTCGGCTACATATGTGAGTGCCTGGTATACTTTCTTTGATTTGAACTACCCACCTAATTGATTCAAGATGCCGTACCTTCGGTTCTCAACCTTGTGCAGACCAGACGTTGGCAACGATGGTGCCGCAGGAGAAACACCTTGTACGAAATACAAGGATACCGAAAAGAGATGCCGTGATTTATCGGAGGCGCACACCAATTCCGCTGTACACGCCTCCCCTACACTCGATGAGTGGTATTATGGATTTGCTTCGACCAAAGAGTTTACCAATGACAAAAATTATCGTAACGAGAACCAAGTTGCCACTAGGGAGTTGGTTGGCGATGTCACAAAGCGCCTACACTGGCCATTGCTTCGTGTTAATCAGTTATGGATATGGACTCTAGGCAATAGTGGGTGTCACACCTAGTTCCGTCAAGTTGATACTGATCAAGGGGCAGAATGGATAATTACAGCCGCACCAGATCCAATGGATAGTAGCAGTCCCAGTTTACTAGATGGAGTTCTCGAACATCTCAAAAAGCTAGGACGAGCCGGAGAAAGTAGCTCTCAGCCTGAATCAACATCTGATATGAGACAACTACTTGTGGACTACTGCATTGAGTCTTACGAGAGAAAACCTGTGGAGGACGAGTTTGCACATTTCGAGCCGGAAGTTATTCAGAGATTATCGATTCGTCAACTCTTCTCTAATTCAATTAACAAGCTGGTCGGTAGACATCTTCTTGGCGAAAAGTAATTTCTGACTGGTTTTAGGGACAAGATGAGACAATATTGTTCAAACAATTGACTAAGCAACCTTCTGTGTCGGAACATACGGGTAAGCTACGTAACGCGATTGTGCAGCATTTACTGAACGCGATCTTCGGCGGAGTTGAGATTAGAAAAGCAATCAAACAGGCCGAAAAGCTTTCCTGCGACGTTAAAGATATTCGAGATGAGCTCAACATTCTCAAATCCGTCGTCACATATCAAAAGGATATCCAGGGTAAATTAAACGACGCAGTCGAGAAGGAAGTTCGATCAAATCTTACAGCAAAGTACGTTGAAGGCGACATCAATGGAATGGATAAGGTTGCAGAAAGGATTCAGTCTTCGGTGCGGCTCTCTTTGATTGCAGCTTCCATCAATGATTGCTAACAAGACGATTGATAGGTCGATACAACTCTGACTCTTCAGCAAGGGCAGGAGACTGTGAAGCAAGGACGTACTTTGATGGTCTTCACAGTGGTCACAATTATATTTGTTAGGGAGGGAATATATCCATTGATGAGAGTGAGGCTGACTTCTCAAACAGCTACCGCTTTCATTTCTCTCTTCACTTTTTGCACTGGACGTGGCGTCTTTCCAGGAAACCCCCGGTTGGGCATTTGCAGTTATCTGTGAGTACCGGCTGGCAATTTTGAGCGAAAGGCTATTATCACTAACTGCAATGGGGGCAGTTTCCGTCTCACTTGCCTGCGTTATACCACTAGCCACTTATGCCTTGTTCTCAGATGACTTCACCGACTTGTTGTCGAGAATGCGAGAGGCGTTCAAGAGGGCGAAGCAGGAATTGAAAAAGAAATCGGAAAAGGAATCAAAAACGAAATCGAAAAAGGACTTTGCTTTGGCCCTTAGAGAAAGATTAACGGCATTAGTCCCATTCAAGCGGAAGACACATGAATCGGATTTAGAGGCTGAGAAGCACGAGGATGTTTGAGCGTAGGGATTAGCGATGAGTTGCAATTTGATGGCAGAGAGTTGCATGGGTGTGTGAGCAAGAGAGTGAACTTGTCATTCGCCAACTGGATTCCATGATTAGGGGACCAAGAAAGTGATTGTGCCGGAATAACGAGAGCTGGGTCTACTTTGGATGTTCTTGACCTATAGTAATCTTGGAATTGAGATTGTTTGTTTTGAGTTCACGGAGTCCAGATGATTCAATTGTGTCGCCCAAGGAGTCGAGATGACGCCCTTTTCTCTACACCATCACGCCCCTAGACTAGGCTGAGAAGCAGACTACCAGCTCTGCCTCTTTGTAGCGATCGGAACCAGTGAATAATGTCTATCACGAGCTGCACCTCTTTGCGACGTCGTAAATATCCTCTTTCGCGGATCCGCTAGTTACCGCTGGAGGTTCGACTAAGAATCATGTAGGCGATTAAGCCACTCTGCCGCCTGCGTGCCAGATATCCGTTGGTAGGCTTTTCAGGTTGCAGGGCTAGCTCCTTTGGTTTGCTGACGAAGGGCGTCAAGTGGGTGACAAGAGAAATGAGATACTAAAACATTATGCTGATTATTCTCGAGTCTGCGACCGGTATTGTCGGTTTATTAGGTGCTAATAATGTATACTTGAGAGAGAATATAATAAATATTGTTTTTTTATTTTATTCCTACTACTGAATTCCATCTTAGAAAGTAGTCTGTATAACCTCTCGTCCGTTAGGTGTCTCATTTCTCTTGTCACCCACTTGGGCGTGTTAGCCAAGGGATCCCGTCTCAGCATGAAAGCGCCGCTTTTAAGATCATCATCATAACTGATCGGCGCCAAATGCTATCTATCAAAGCTGCAGGGACGAGGCAATTTCAATCCACGACTAATCTCATGCACCGCCGCTCTCACAGAGCTGAGCTGATGCTGCAGAAGAAGGGTCTCATCTAGCCTATTGAAGGCTAGAGCTAAGCAATGTCATCGAGCTACCTATCTACCCGTCCAATAATTCTAATGGACACCTCAGTTGTGGATCTAGATAGGAAGACGAGGAGGGTTAACCGAAGGCTGCGCCTCCTTCCCCTCCCCCCTCAAACAAGGGTCCAGACATGCGGGATGCAGTGTGATGCAGCTATGCGTGACTGGAACGGAGGGGAGGGGTCCATTGCTGGGTAAACTGAGCACGTGTATAAGTACTGCCAGCACGCACTCATCGATACTCACAGCAGATCATCCCTCTCCTGATCCCCGCCCATAGACTTCAACTATTCCTGCTCCCTGCGTTGATTTGTTACCAAGTTACATCCCTCATCATGGACATGTTCAAGAATTTAATCAGCGGCAACAAACAGAAGCCGGCCAAGGAGGGCCAGCAGGACGACTACGTTGACAAAGGTGCCCACGGTTTATCCCGGACTTGATATTACCGATATAATCGAACGATGGGCTGACATTTACTGATGTAGCATTCGGCGTTGCCAACAAGAAGGGCGGCTTCGGTCTCAGCAGGGACACTCAGGAGAAGATCACCGACGGTGCTCGTTCAGCCGTCGAGAAGCTCACTGGGTATGTTTCTCCCTGCCTGATTGCTCATCCCGTGACCAAGTTTTCGATGCTCCTCCGGTGAATGCACTCCATCTGACTGACACTCCGTGTTCCACCCTTTTAGCAAGAAAGTCGACCCCAAGATCTCCAACTAGGATTACCTACCTGGCCCCCTCTCATGCCTTTCGCTTGTTTCTTCTCTTTACCTACCTTACCTACAGTAGCGCAGGGCTTGGCGTGGACGACAGGTCAGCGGCCGCTTCATTCAAGCAGTTAATGCGTGGATTTGTTTTTAGCCTTGCAGATGAATACCAATTTGTTTTTCGTCTTTTTATTGCCTCTCCTTACCTGACCGCGATGGATTAACTCGAGCTGATCCCCACAACCCCTGTCCATCAAGCCTGCTCCATGCCATGTCACCGTGTTGCCCACGTTCCTTGTTTGAGCGTGGGGCTGTGAGCTGCAAGGGTTGGAGCACTCTGTCTCCATGCTGGTAGCTGTGATGTCAGCGTGCTTGTGCCTGTCGTCGTCTGAGTTGGCAGTAAGCTCTGAGTGAGTGAGGGGAGCTTACAGGATTACGAGTAAGCACCACCTCACCCCTCACCATGATGACCTTGGTATGTCGGAGGTCTTGGTGGCCTGGTAGGTAAGGTCTACGTAGGAAATGTCTAGAACTTGTCAACGTTCGCGCGATGACCACGGAGTTCCTTGAAGCACAGCATCTTCTGCCCCTTGGCGTAAAACATATTGTAAACCGTCAAGCTTCGTAGCGCAAGATGTTTTCAATGGGTTCTGCTAATTTCAGAATGAAGAGCTTCACTTTGGAATCCAGTGACAGTTCTAATTTGATCAGTATATCCTCACATTATTTGACAGTTCTAATTTGATCAATATATCCTCACATTGCTTGGAGTATCACCTTACTCGCTTTGTAGAAAGCGGCCAACTCGAATGATGCCCAATGGTGGGATAATTATACGAGATCAAATGTATATACATGCTATCAACTGTCACCTATACTCTGTTTAGTCTTATTAATGGATAAGAAGAGGAGAACACGAACGGCTCTTGAACAAAGCTGGAGATAGTTTCAAACAAAATGCTGGCTCACTCTATTTGCGCTATAGCTTGCCGTCCAAAGCTTCTAACTCCGTGCTCAGGGTCGTTGTATTCAATAAACTAGCCACACTTGGCCACAACACCCTTGACTCCTGTCCTCGGATACCAGACCAGACTCGTAACCGGACTCTTAATACCAAGGACGTTTGAGATTGGTCCATCAAGGCTCTCTCGTTGGATCAAAAACTACGTGATCATGTAGACTTATATCTATAACACTCTCTAAAATCTTACAACCCAGGATTTGTTTATTTAACGATAAACTTGAGAATTGACCCTCGTCAAAAGAAAGGCCCCGAGATCTCCAAAACTTAAAACTTCAAAAGCTTCCGATTATAGTCCAGACAAGTAGTATATAGCTTACATCTCCTGTCTGCAACCCGGCAGCTCTTCTAGAATGATAGTAGGCATAAGAATTAACATGATATCACTGATAATTACATCATTGTTTAGGCCAGGTTTAAGATTGTTCATAATTTATGCGAGTGATCGCGCTTTTTGTTCATTATCAATGTTCGTATCTAGGTATGTGAAGCATCCTCGCTTTCTAAACTCCGACCCAAAAGAGAAAATCTAATAAAATAAGAAGAAGAAAAAGTAAGAAGAAGTAGGGAAGAAAGAAAAAACGCTCAAAACGTGCAAAATCGAGTAACACCGCACCTAGCCTCTAGACCAAACCCAGGACTAGGGGTGTCACTCTCGCAGTCAACGGGCTGTGGTCACAGCTGTTGAAGTAGAAAAGAAGAGAATAGAAGTTAAAAGGAAACGCTTGAAGAGGCTCCAAAGCAAGCACCCGGTTGAGCGACTACCTTCGGAACTTCTCCATGATTTCCTGCGGCGTTGGAATGTGGGTAAGGACCAGCACCGTGAAGAAGCAGACGACAATGATGGGCAACTGCCATGGAGTCGAGGTGAAGTTGTCCAGGGTAGTGTCGTTGGTGTTGACGAGAGCCACGAGACAGAGACCGACTCCGATGGTAACGACGGCCGAGGTACGGGCAATGTTGAAGATGGTCCATCCCTTTCTCTTGGAGATGAGATGGAGGATCATTAGGAAGATGAGGACCAGACCAGCAGCGATGAAGAGGTAGGAGAGCTACAGAAACATGCAACGTTAGCTAAACAGAAACTCCAAACGTCCAATTAAGCATTGATGTACTTACCACAAGAAGCGACCGGGCCAGGGCCTCGACGGAGGCCCTCACATCTGTGTTTTGAACTTGTTGAGCGACCTCGGTCTTCGTCTTGCCCACGGATATACTGAAGGACTTGTAGACGACGCGCTCTAGGAGAAAGCTGACGGTGTTGGTGGCATTGTTGAAGGTTGCCTCCTCAGTGGCGTTCATTCCGCCCTCCAAGATGGTGGAAGGAAGGGTCTTGAACTTGTCGATGGCGTCTGAAATCACCTTCTGGTCGGCAGTGGAGTCAACGCCGTACAGGTTCATGATTGTCAGGGTTGTGTTTTGAAGCGCGTTAGCGACTGTTGAGATATTCTGAGACTGGGCCGCCGTCTGCAGGCTGTTGGAGAAGGTGTTGCTGATCTCGGTGAGTGCCTCGCTGGCTCGCCAGATGATTCCCCACTGGCCGGTGCCCTCAGCGAGGAGAATCAGCACGCAGTGGAAGGGGAGATGCAGGAAGGACCAGATGGCTTGCGGGACACGCTTCATGTGGTTGTGCTGGTGCATCCAGTCGAAGTAGAGCGCAAAGCACAAGTACAGGATAGATGTGGCACAGAAAACGGTTCCGATGAGTGCAGAGCCTAGGTCATTTGTCAGTCACTTCTTCCATCCATCTAAGTAAAGGCAATACTAACTCCAGTAGGGAACGATGTTCTTGAGGTAAGTAAACTCCACAATGACGGTGATGTTCTTGGTGAGAATACTGGCACCCTCTCCAAGAACGATCAGAGTCAACACGTTGAAGCGCTCTCGCATGTGAGTTCCCTCGAAGCTGAGAGTCTCGGACAAGGCAGATTGTCCGAGGACGGTAACCAGCTCAAGAACAGCCACGGTACACCAAATGATGAAGACGTAGCCATTCAGACCAGTGGGGGTGCTCGGCTTGATGGTGAGGCCGATGATGAGATACAGCAGTCCCGGGACGAAGTGGATGAGAACGGTAATGAGGACGGGGATTCGGGTCTTGGAGTAGTTGCGAGCCTGGAAGAGAACAACTCCGTACTGGGCAGCAAGTAGCAGACGTGAGAATGCCATGGTGATACATGTGATTCTCATGATAGTCGGCAGCAAGTTTTCCTTTCCAAATGAAATACCGAGAAGAGTGAAGCCGATCAGGGAGCCCAAGTGGCAAGCAAAGCCCATACGCGCCAAGATACCATCTTGTCCAAATCGCACGATGTACACAGAAGTAACGAACCAGGTTGTCCAGAGAAGCCTATAAAGTGTGAGTTAATCGAGTACTGGGTGGCGAGCGAAGGTCGATCGAGAACGGATGGGCTGATCGGCAAATTTAGGGAAGTCTTACACGAAGTATGCGATGAAGATGTACAGAGTCGACTCTTCGGTGATGGGGTTGGCCGAGGAGAACACTGTAAGATTGGCGACGAACCAGAGATCGTAGAACAGCTGTGGCAAGATGTGTAAGTCAATTGAGCGAGGTAATGAGACGGGAATCAGGGGCCGATGATGCTAACCTCTGGTGCAGTCGCAGCCTCTCTCTATTCATCCATGTGTTAGCAAATATCTTCAAATGATTACTTGAATTGAATATTAGTAATAGGCGTACCTTGTTGAACTCGACCCGGGACTTCCTTCTCGAAGGGCCTTCCGAGGAGGAGATGCTCTCGCTTCCGGGCTCCTTGGCGAAAGGCTTCTCGAGAAACTTGAGGTCAGAGCTGGCGAAGTTCATGTAGCTCGCGCCAGTTGGTGCAATGTGAGCAGCCACTGGTGCAGGCGCAACGCCGGCTTCCCTATCACTATCCCAGTTCATGGTTGTGGATTATACAAGCGACTGTATATGGACTGGTCTGGAGGAGGTGTCAAGAAACACTTGGAGCTGACAGTCGAGAGGGAGGGCGAGGCAGCCATACTAATATTCTGAGCCAGTTTGCACTGACCATCTGTTGTTTTGTCTGTTAGTCCACGGAAGTCGCTGATCCTTCCGTTCGGCAACGTCGATGCTGCGTGGTTGAACGGCGCTGCTCCCTACCAAGCATTTTTTTAATTCCAGACTAGTACATTTCCAGTACCAATTTTTGGGGTCGATTCTATTCATGGAACGATAAGCATGGCTGCTGACAAGGGTCCAAGCCCCAAAACAGGTTCGCGGAGTCCACAAGAGAGCTTCAGCTTACAAGATTGGTTGCTTACTGTAGAGTCAGACAGGGGCCACGGCCATCATGGGCCAGGCTGTCAACAGCAGCAGTTGGTACCCCGAGCATTGAATGTTGAAACCACTAATTTGGGGTTTGGAGTAAGCTGCTGGGATGTGTTGGTGCTTGTGTCCCGCGAGCGAAATGAGCCACCATGCCAAAACACGCTGTATTTTTCCACATTAGTTCACATCTGATCAGCTAAACGCTGACTGGGAGACGATGCTTGGCCTAGAGAGAGCCTGGTCACAGTCCGTCCCAAAATCATGGCACGCTAATGCATCGTGGCTGCTTCACTCGCAGTCTAGACTCTGTGCCGTTGGAATTAAGGAGCTTCATATCACACCGCAGCTGGTTTGTTGGTCGCGTTGATTCACAGTTGGCGGGACCTTCGCTCCAACTTGAAGTCAGCCGGCTGTTGGCCGTGTTGTTTCGCAGATTACAGGCCAGCTGGGGCTTCTTCACAGCCGGCTGTCCCGGTCTTGATAATGACGAAGCGACAGATCTGAGACGAGATGCTTCACCCACCAATGATCGGGAATCAACTGAATGCAAGCAATTCTTCAGCCCTACCAACATGTCACTGGGGCAGTAGCGTGTAATATTACTGGCAGCCATTACTCAGAAACGGTGATGATGTTTGCTTCCCAAAATATCCACAAAATCATGGCCGGACAGGGGATTGGATCCTGCGCCCCCAGCTTAAGCCTATTCTTATTCCCAATCCCCTCACGAATGCTAGATTTCACGGAGTAATCTCTGCTGACAAACTCAGCCTCGCTACCGGAGGCCATTGGTATCTCCCATTGACTATTATTATCACCAACAGACTCACCATCAATGGACATTCTCATGCCCATGAAGCATTCATTATCTGAGGCAGGCAATACGCACCGAGCGCTACCATGCTATACCCATGATAAGCTTGTTTATCACCTTATTTGTGTCCCCAGGCAGGCAATATCCGCTATGTAGGTAGCCAGCCTAGCTAGTTAATTGACAAGGTGATTTCAGTCACATCACCAACCGCGTTCACTCACGACCGAGATGATTTACCCATTTCCAGCGTACTGACGTGTTTTCTCACGCAGAAGGATCAGTACTTTCAGACCGCGACACAGAAGGGACAAGTGCCTTTATCCTGCAACTTCTATTTCACTGACCACCCATCGTAATTCTCAAGAGGCCGCCCATGGGATGCGCTCCTTTTGCAGCCGGATTCCGAGAGAACTTTGGAAACGATGACTTTACCCCAATTTCTCCATGGCAAGTGAGCAGGGGCAGACATCATTGCAGGCTAGGAATGATCCAACTCTGTGTTTACATGAGACTGCTCATCAAACAGACCACTCAATTGGGGGGAGAATGGAGAAAATTGCCATGACATCCAGCTTTCACCATCAATTGAACTCAGTGCACCCGCTTATCCTACCGCGTCTGGTTGGCCACATCTTTTTGTACCCATGACCCCTGTAGTCCATGTAAGACCCTCACAGGTGGCCAACGCTCTACAAACAACGCGACTTGGGCGACTCTGGCTAGCCCGGTGAGAACAACAATGAGGTGAAACAATTAAGAAATTTAAGCTTTTTCGCTAATTTTTTAAAAGGTCACCTTGCGGTTGTGAATTGTTATGATCTACTAAAAGAGAATATGTCGTTGTTGTTTATTTACCTTGGTTGGTCGGGCTACTCTAAGGTAAGGTGGGAGATGACCATCATTTAGTCTGATTTCATTGAACAGAAACGGAGGCATTAACTACGAGGAATACAATAACAAAGGGTGACAGAACGGGCTTCAAATAGAATTATAACATTCAATTATATACTGAACTGCTTCAATATTTCATTCATTGATATTGAAATGAGATGGGCAGACGTGAAGTTTGAGAATGAGAAGAGCTACAGGGTAGGCAGCTTGAGGTGTTTGTCGAATGGTGTAGGGTACGTAAAAGTAGTAAGGGGGAAGTTGATTCCATGTTGATTCTATCAACGAACACGACGGCCGTTTGGGGACAGAGAGATGAAGAGATGGAAATTTGGCACGAGAATATGAACTCAGATGCTATTGGTTCACGAGTATTTTACAATAGTCATGGCGATTTACTCAGCTACTTCATCGACCGAGAACTATCAGGACGGCCCGTGCCGGGGGGAGGATAGCGCCAGCAATGAAGGATATGGCGTTGGTAGTATGAAGGAGGTGTGTGTGATTCACAGAGTGGGAGACTCGTTTCGTTTCCTACCCAACGTGGGCACGCGAGTGGCTTAATTCCGATGCCAAGCAGTAAACACAAAGTCTCGGCCGTTACCGACCTACAAGGGTCGCGGTTTTCAGTTACATTTCCACCACACGTGGTGATTACCAATGGATAGCGTGCGGCACTGGCCGTCTATTCAGCTTGAAAGGGGAGGTTGAACCGAGGGGTAGCAGGGGGCGTGACGCCTTGCAACTGGGATTACATGGAACCAGGGGAAGAATATCACTGAGATGATATTGACTTGTTGGACATGCCTGCCTGGGCTTCCTAGGTAGTATCAAGTAAACACAATACTTGTGTTGTGTAAAGCCATTTCCTAGTTGTAAGCATGCTGGGTTGACGGGCGCTGGAAGATTTGTGGTGAGGCAGTGCCCCAACCTGCCAGGATTTGTTCAAAGGGGAGTCAAAATCGATCAAGAATGACAGGGGCACCGTGGGGATATATGTCTTCCGCTTGTCCCGAGGTGCCAAACGTTGCGGCCATGAATGTTTCAATTTGTTCAGCATACGCCTGCTTCCCTGCGTGAACCTGCCTCGTTAAGGCTAATCTTGCTGGCGTCTGTTCATCTGATCTGGGCGATCTCCCTGATGGGTAAAGATCCAAAACCATGATAGGAACCTGTGCTTGTAAGGCCAAGATGATTTTCAGCGTTATTGACCATGGCGTGGTTTTGACAAGCGCCAGCCGTCAATAATCGCCGCCACAATGTGGGGAGAAGAAATAGTTTTGAGCTTGATCAAGCCTCCAAGACAATAATGTGAGAAGGGAGATACAGCAGATGGTCAATCAAAGTTCATTTGATATTAGATATTATAAAGTGCACATAAATACATCACAAAAAGATCGGTCTTGGCCTGTCAAGCCTGTAGGCCCAAATAGATATTAAACACCTCCCGAGAAGGAATATATTGTAGAATAACCATCACGACATCAATCAAACAAGCTGGAGGCTTGAAGCCAGCGAGGTACTTGCGTATCTCCTACCCCTCCTCCACGCCCCTTTTCTATACCTTACAAAATCTTTCATTTTCCCTACTACAAAGCAACGGAATACAAGAGAGTTGACACCCCCGCGGAGTGAGAACACCATAGCGGGCTACCGCTTACGCGGCACGGGGAGCAGAGTACCAGAAAGATCGGTCCTCACCGAGACACTCACCGGCGGTGACACTCTTGAGGCCGCGAGACTGGAGCTCGGAGATGAGAAGGGGAACGAGAAGGTTGGCTGTCGAGGCGTGGACGTCGTGCTCCAGGACCAGGGAGCCGCCGGCGTCGAGACCGGTCTTGAAGGCGTCGAGAGAGAGCTGGGGGTTGGCGACGTGGGACTCCTGCCAGTCGTTGGTGTCGATGTCGACGTTGAGGACCTTGTAGCCGAACTCCTTGAGGGTGGCGAGCGAGGTGGTGGTGGTGGCCAGGTAAGGGGGGCGGAAGTAGTTGGGCCAGCTGCCGACGATGGAGACGAAGGCATCCTCGAGCTTGTTGAGGGAGGTGCGGAGCTCGGCATCGCTCTTGACGCTCAGATCAATGTGTTCCCAGCTGGTTGGATATGTTAGCATGGCTCATATTAATGCGTATATGGGGAGGTAGACTTACGTGTGGGATCCCAGTTGGTGGTTGTTGAAGCCACGGCGGACAGTCTCGGGGCGGTCGTAGATGCTGCCAAAGTTCTGGCCGTTCATGAAGAAGGTAGCTCGCATATCGGCGGCTTCAAGGAGGTCCATGACATGCTCGGTGTACTGTCCTGGGCCATCGTCGAATGTGAGGGCAACCGTGCCGGGAACTGAACACTTGGTGATCACAGTGCCGAGGGGAACATTGGAGGTGGGAACGGGTTTGGCACTGGAGCTGGAAGTGGTCGAGACGATGGAGGAGGTACTGGCGATAGAAGTGGTGCTAGCAATGGAGGTGGTGCTGGCGATTGAAGTAGTGCTAGCAATGGAAGAGGTGCTAGCAATGGAAGAGGTGCTGGCAACGGAGGTGGTGCTGGCAACAGAGGTTGAGCTCACAACGGAGGTGCTGAGAGTTGAGACGAGGCTGGAGCTGCCGGGAGTAGTGGAAGAGGGAGTCGAGCTTGAGGGGGTAGCAGGAGCGGAGGTGCTACCGGGAGTGGTGGCAGAGCTGATAGGAGTAGCAGGGCCGTCGGAGACGGAGGAAGAGCTGATGGGGGTACTAGTAGGGCTAACTGCGGCAGAGGTCGAGGTGATGATCACGACCGAGGAGGAGACACCGCCTGTAGAAGAAGGGCCGGTGGTACCAACACCACTCTGGGAGGGGATGACACTGGAGCACTTGTGGTGCTTCTTCCCCCTCTTGTGGTGGCGGATGGGCTTGGCAGCAGCAGTGGCTGCGAGAGCGTAGACGACGAGGCTGGTGAAGAGCATCGTGACACTTTGTTTTTCAGTTCAGAACGAATGAGTGTTTGGTATTATTAGTATACTGGAGCGAGAGGAACGATCTGAATCAGATCAAATGAATGTAGGCAGAGAGCCGAATGGGAAAAACGAAAGAGTGTATGTGTCGTGAGCCAACAACAACAACCAGATCCGGCCTAACAAAGAAAGGGGAAAGAAACACTCGAGTCTCGTGGCGGATGCGTGGGAGCATCAACTACTTATTGCTGCCGCCATGATAACGATGGGACAGGCAGGGCTGGGCAGGGCTGGGCATCGAGGAGGTCCCTGACCGATTACCGCCATTGTTGGATGAGATGACAATAGGATGGATGCACATCACGGAATAGGCAAGCAGAAGAATGGGGCAAGATGCTAGACCGAACCGACCTCGCGTTTGATCACCAGGGTTGTTAATTAGCTGTACCTGCAGGAGTGGACAAGGACAATGGCGAGAGGGTGAACGGGACCCTGGGCCTCTTCCGGCCAACTGCTTGCCCACCTGCCTTGTCACACACGCATAGAGGCCCCATGTCCATTGCCCATGCCCCCTCTACCAGTCTTCGTGTCGGATGCATGATGCAGGCGCCAAGAAGTGACTGGCTTGGAGGAGGATTGGGCTGGGCTGAACGTGACGGGGGGGACGAGATGTGTCAAAGTGGCACTCGCCTGTAGGTGCTCCCACTTTGATGGGGCCGGATAGTGTAATATCACAGTGAGTGGTATAATTAGCAAACACCCTTTCGGTATGGGTTTGGACTGGTAATTCGTCTAGTATGGCGGCGGGCGCCTGGGCGGGTGTGGAGGATGGCTGAGAACCGGTGGACGTTTTGAGTCGTTTAGACGATATCCCAGCGGCACAATGACGAAAGGAGAGGAACTTTCCATCAGTTGATGGGGCTGATAAAGCAACAATAAATTACACAGCCGACTGCACTCACACGACATGAAAGAGGACATTAGTCGCCCCATGATGACTGGCTGGTGATATCTCACTGCAGGTATAAGAGACAAACGCCGTGATTCCACGCGAGATAAGGTAATCAAGGGCCCTACAGATATTGCTTTTTGTTGCATGGGACCCGGTAGAGACGGACTGAAGTACCTTATTATTCTCTCCTTATCCATCAAGTACCCACAGGACTTGTGCCGCCAGGACAGTCGGAAGTGTGGGTGACGCTCGTGTATGTAAGGTGGTAATATGAAATGCTTAAAGGAGAAGTGGAGGGGGTGGCTTGGTTGATTTCAAGTCCGTACCTGATTTCTAATGCAGGTACGCAGCACAGGAAGACTTTAATGAGAATAAGAATGTCTGGGGACAGAACGGTCATAAGAGGCCAGGTTCAGGCATCCGGCTGACCCATCGGATTCAGCCGTAGGTAGTGCCTGTCCTGATAGTATCTAGACCAATGGGAGTACTCGGAGTCAGCCGGGAATAGGGGTGTTTCTGCCCTGGTCCTTGTGCCAGAGCCCTGTAAAGTGAAATACACAATCCTCGCCACGTATCCGCACGGGGCGAGGAGGATGGGCGAGCGTAAAGCGATGTCCTCTCCTGCAGTCAGCCAATCAGCAGCGCAGAATTCTAGGCGGCAATGGGACAATAGGGCAGGGATGGCACCGGCTGATGGTAACCTTGCAATTTGCTTGTTTGCCTCTTCCGGCGGCGCATGAATGCGTATGTATGTGGGAGAATAACACGAGCTGCTCTGCGTCTTGAACGAGAGAACAGCGAAGATGGCGCCATGGCTTGCATCGCAAGCTAGCGGTGACCCAATCATTCTGCCAAAAAAAACATTAGAAAGGGGCCAAGCATCAGAATCTGGGGATGTGGCTGGCGACTATTGGCGGTTTGGCACATCACAGCCCACGACGAAGTAGAGCCAAATATTGGCCCGCTCGTTCTCCGAGCCTTCCATTCTAAAGCACTTTGGGGATAACCCCTGTCAGCGAGCGTTAAAAATTGGGAGGCCGCACATCCCGTTGGTGCAACGTCTGTAGGGGTGGCTGGATATGCTTCAGGAGTCTATTGAAGGGACCAACTGCCTTTGTTTCTGTCGATCTATCTCCGAATATTCCCAGCACAAAGAAAGAAAGAAATCCCTTGTCATAGAGAAGCTATTTTGATTCGATCCAGGCCGCCCAGACGAAAACACAAGGAGGAAATGCGAGTGCGAATCCCCACATCAGTCACACCCCCATGATGGAACCCTGGCTGCCCATGAATGGAGTTTGCTCTAAGTCCGCCTGGAGGAGGCAACCTGGTCCTCAATTCACCAGATGATAGGCATCTCGCTCCCCATTCTCCACCGTCATTCTCCGCTCGACTCCCAGGGCGACCACTCAAACCCCCCAGTCTCTGCGACCCTTGTATCGCTAAACTATCTGTGTTAAGCTTAACACCCCCCAAAGCTTCTTGGTTGCACTCTGCTTAGGCACTAAACACCTCATCTTGTTTTCCAGCCCTTCGTCCGCTGCTTGGCGTGGTCTCATCCACCAGTCGCCTGGACTTGGCACTGTCCCTTTTCTTCGCTCAGGTGCTGTCCATGCCACATTGCACCCGGATTCTGCACGAGGAAGGGATCATCGTATTCATCAGTGATGCACATGGCGCTATCAAGATCGGTAAGACATTGCTCTGCGCCAACCACCACTGCCAAGGTTCCTAGCCTAGCATCAGGGCCGTGTTACTCATTTACACGGCGAGCTGGAAAAAGAAAAGCCCAGCAGATGCCAACCCTCTATTGCCGGCCTATCTTGGCTTTGGCCTGTGCATGTTTACGTAGGAATATTTGCTTATTCTGCCTCCCCCTTGGCTTGGCCTGGCCAGAATTGGCTTCTCGCCTGCCTGTCCAAGCCGACCTGCAGATTTGCCTGCGATCAAGAGGCAACGAGAACACACCCCTGAACCCTCTCTGCCTCTTTCCCCCCTCGTTCCCCCCTCGTGGCTGTTGGCTCATCGCGCAGGGCTCGCGGACTGGATCCGTCTCACCAGGGGTAGCAGGGCTATATTGCAACCCTTACCCCTGCTATTCGTGATCTCGGGTGACGAGCTGCGTCTCTCTATCTCTGCGCGGTCGCATTCCATCCAATCGCCAGCCGCCAGCTCTGTTGGTGGTTCAGCTTTGGTCAGCCCAACTCGGATCACGAGCTGTGCGCCGTGGCCACTCTCTGCCCTTTTCAAAAGAGCACACCCAATTGATCCTTTTGGGCGGTTAGCCATTAACCGACCACGTTGCCCCGTTGGTCATTGCAAAAATGACAGCTTCGCCTGACAAATGTGGTGTTTTCTATGCGAGCTTCGCTTAGACCCTCATTCGTGCCAGTCAGATCCAGGTCGCCGAATGCGATCACTCGATGCCCTAAACGTGCACATTCGTGTGTTTCAAATTCGTTCAGCCGTACAGACGTAGCACAATGATGAGCACCTCAAATTTGCGCTTGTTTCTGTGGGAGGGACGATCCCATAACTGAGACCCAACGAACTGCATCCCCTGGAAGGCGGTTATCGGATGGTCGGTGATCTGAGCCCTCCAAGGGCGATAATTTCTTGTACCTGTTGATCTCTTCCGATCCGGTCTGAATATCCCTACGCTATGCAACCTTTGTGAAGATCTATTTCCATTATCTACCATGGTGGTCGCAGCCCACGTCTATGTAAATGCTCGCCCTCCGCCCTTTGCTTGCCATAGAAATGATATCCCTGCAAAACAGGCCGTGATCTTCGCTGCATGGCGTTGCCCAAGTGACCCTAGAGAATGTCCCGCATGCTCGTGTGCCAATAGTTCGAGCGCCATCCGCACCTCTATTCCGACTCTAGCCTGTCAGTCTGTGCGCGTTGAACGATCGACAAGCCATGAAACATGGTTGGCAGAAAGAGAAACAGACGTTATCGTGGGATCAGCCACTGACCCTGAATTTCGGAGGCCATTACTTGTTGGTTGTATTCCCAAGCGTGTGTTGGCGGAGCTGTCCTAGAACAATAGGGCGAGGAGGAGAATGGGGGTGTTCGAGTAAATAAATCCTATTGATATCCTCTTCCCCCATTGGTTCTCAAACCGAGACAAGACTAATTTTGATGGGATTCCATGACTCGCTCTCCAGCGAATGACGCAGATCTTCGCGGTGGAGAGATCGCGAGAGAGCCAAGCCTTCAAGTGGATTTTCCAGCCAAACGGTCCCATTATACCTGAAAGCGGCGTTCTTCCTACGGCCCATCCGAAGAGAAAGGAAGGTTGTGCGTGAACCTTCGCCTTGTGAATCAACCTTGACATTAAGCTTAGAGGCCCCTCAGGGGTGATGAATAAGGGCAAGGATCCAATCAGTTGGGGACCATCATCTGGTGTTTCATCCTATTCTCAGAGGCGCGAATGCCAAGCACCGGTCAACGCACAGGCTGATTTCGCCATCCCGAGTGTTACAACGCCATGAATCGTGCCGCGGCGTTTTAGTTTGCGAGAGTTGAATTCTCTGTAGATTGCTGACGGGGCTGAAACGCTGCGTATTTATTTACTATTCGGGAAACTCGTCAGCCGCAGGGATTCGCGCTTTTGGCCTGCGGAGGCGTTCGTGAGACGAGCCGAAACCATTTTCTCACTCCGATCGGCCCGGCCAAGAAGTGGATTGCGGATGGAGGAAGTCAGCACTTGGCGGAGAAATTCTGCGATTGTTTCGCAGCATCTTTCCAATTGCTAGATCAGTGACTTTGGCTAACTGTGTGGAGTCTGCGGCGATCATAATTTGATTCTTTGTATGGAGAAACTCAGTGTCGAGATAATAGTGTTGAGATAATAAGGCTCGTCATTGACGAGCCGTATTTTCTTCATCGTCAGTCTGCTACAATATCAAGTGGGTGAAATAAAACATGGCACACTGGAGCTCTTTTCGCGCAAGGGAGGGACCTTGTTTTTGCTTAACACAATAATAGGAGAATAAAGAATTATTCTATGATATTTAGCTTGATATTGTATATATTATGAGATTGATTGTTTTGATATTGTATAAAAATAACATTGGAGTGTCTACCTAAATGTGCTATGTTTTATATCAGTCGCTTGATAGTCTGTCTTCTTCTCTAAGATGAGGGTATTTCTTCTACTCGTGACCGCTTTCCCGCCGTATGGCTGTTGGCATACACGCTTTCAGCGTCATCGCCCGCAGAGGGACGAAACTTCTTGTCATCCATTATCCCAACCGTGAAAACCTTCCCTTTTTCTTTCTGCCCAACGAACCACCCCAGCCTAAAGAATGTTCCTGAGAAGTACTCATGCAGCTCAGGCGGATACATTTGATAGGCCCGTTTTGGCAAAATCTCGGCATAGTTGGAGCCTTCAAGGAGGGAAGACACCATGGCGACGCTGTTGAACCGATAGGGTGCCAGTCCTTTCAGGTCCACATCCCATGGGAAGAAAGGTATCCGGCCGCGAAATAGATACCGAAAGACGGTATATGCCAAAGCCCAGATGTGAACAGAGACAGTCAGAGATAGGATGAGCGTCAAAGCTAGGGTAGCCGGCTCACTTTGGAAGAGCCGTATCGCACCCGTTCTTAGGATCCTCGCCTGGACAGGCGACAGCTCTCCATGGCGGAAGGGAGCTACAGTCGAAGTCTGGTTTGTACGCAACCGGTTCTCCTTATGGACCAGTTGAGCGGCCGCTATGCGATGCAGCGAGGTGACTTCAGCGAGGACGTCGGCTTGTCTTTCGGGGTTTTTGATGTCGTCTGGGGTAAGCATGCCATAGGGCTGGAGGATGACGTTGAATTGAGATGCCATCGCCAGCGCTTCTTGCCCCGAAGCTATCGAGAGTAGCGGCCAGACAGACGTGGACTTTGTATTCTCGTCCGCTGTGGCACTGAAGGCCGGCATCTGGAACGGAGCCCCCCAGGGCCTCTCCTCGCCTACCCTAATGGGGGGATCACTATGGTCGAACTGAATGGACCCATCCGCCTGAATCAAGCTGACATTGGTTGGGACTTCAACCCAAGAGTAGTTGCATCTCTGGAGGGTTAGATGGTCGAATGATTCGGTGGCTTCCGAGAAACTCCCCCAGGCGTACGTCACCACTTCCCAGGAAGAGTTTTTAGGTTTGGATTCGCAGTACAGGGACCTCAGAATCTTTCCATAAGGGAGGGCGGATGATGGTGCTGGCTGCGAAACTCTCCTCCAAGGTGCCTTGGATACATCCCAGGCCCAGATGCGAGATTTGTCTGGGCATGAACGGGTCTGGGTAATGTTGACTACCGCTCTAGTCTGGAGCTCTCCATCTTCTCCCTCATTATTCTGGGCGGGGCCTTGATCTCGGCGGGTTTCGATGGTCAATTCGCTCTTAGGCACCTCTTTGCAGTCCTCGGACAGTCGTGCCGCAGGCATGTTGTGAGCTTTGACGACAGTGTTGGAGCCCCAAAAGCCATCTGACGAGTCCATGGAAAGTTCCGGAAACACCATATCGTTATAGGTCCACGGTGGGTAGGTGAAGTTATTTCGCCCGCTTATTGAAAGAAGCGCGCTTACGGATAGGCGAGTAAGGCTGCGGTCGTTGTCCAAGGTTTCTTTGGATGGTACCGAACTGAACCACGTACGCTGATCAAATTCTGTTTTGTAGGAGTGGGAGGTAGGGTTCGGAGTGAAAAGAAGGGTGGATATGGTTGTTAGAAACGCGCAGATGATAGCGATGCTCTGCGCCAGTGTGACTGAGAATATCCTAGAGCGGAGAGAATAGTACCACGCTTTAAGTCCAAGCATGTCCAGCAAGTAAACATCTAGTTCAACTGCTGTACATGATCTCCTGGAGAGGGCAAGTATTGTTGACAGACTCCTCACAGTGGTGTCTGTCGCGTTGGCGTGAAGAGCCACAACGAGCATGGCTAATGCGGGTAGAAACGTCCAAAGAAAGGAGGACGAGGGGACGCCACCAACTGTGGCGATGCCATTTGCTGCTGTCGACCTTTGGTGTGTGGCATTTAGGGCGATGATAAGGGCCAGTGTGTAGACAACGAACAGGAGGCGGTACCAAGGCCTCAGTATCATAGGAGAATATGAACCCGTGGCCCAAAGGAGCTTTCTGTTTTCGTCCTTCTCTGCTTGGCCCTCTGCAGCGGAATGACCCGTCTCTTGAAAGAAAGTCATAGACCCCAGCAATGTTGCCGGGTCTCGATGCCAAGTCCCGAATACGCTTTTGGATCTTAGCGCTAGAAGCAGAGCAATAAATGCACAACAAGCAAAAACTATTGTCATTGCTATTGCAATGCCCCTGTCCACGTGAAGAATAGGTTTTTTCCTGCTAACGGATCCTTGCACCACATCCGAGGCATTCCTTTTGAGCTGATAGTGAGCCACCAGAGGGCTCATCTGACTAGTGATATTCAAAATCGACTGGTACAGGTTCTGGCTGTTATAAACGGACGAATCCGATCCGTCAGAACTGGGTGAGCTCATCTCCCCTTGCAGATCATAGGTCGTCAGGAACGGGCCTGGTAATATGTTATCCCAACGATGATCTAGCCGAGGTGTACCAACCCACCGCTTTGAGTTCTCTGGGATACTCCACTCTAAGAAAGGCCAAGGATCAGATTTGACAATTTTAGGCTCTCCCTGGTCCTGCAAAACTGTCATGTTCTGGCTCGTCGTGTCAGCCACGACCTTCACCTTGGATGTACTTGCGCTGGAAGCGCATAACACCGCAGCAAGGTTGTCGAGGGTCGGGATCGTCTTGTTCTTTGGTGTTGCTGACCAATGCCCAGTGAGATACACGAAGTGCTCGGTTTCCTGTGGCAGAGAGAGGCAGCGAGTGGCCCCCCTTCCCAAATGATCTAGAATCCAGAAATTTGTGTCTCTGAGGTCCTCATCGATCCAGTTCATGAACGGAGAACGCACCGCGGTGGGAGAAGGGCATCCCTCAAACTCCATGTCTAGCACATAGTGAAACGACTTTTCCATCGGCTTCTTGTCAGGGCTCACTCTCCTCGGGGGATTAGTGTAGTTTGTGAGAAGTTTGCATTCGACGTGCGTAAACAGCCCGTTGACAACAACCGTGACGGGATCTCTCATTGGATCCTTTGTGTTGAAGGTTTGATAGGCCGCCTCTTTGGAAGCGCCAAATGGTAGATTCATCTGGAAATCCCGAACAGCGACTGCATTGTAGTAGGCATCCATAGAAATCTGAGATACCGGCGCGTCAATGACAGTATCAAAGGAATCCAAGATGTTCACTTCTATGGGTTCTGGCACGCCCCGTAGACTTATTTTGAACAAATTCGTTGAAAGAACGACTTGGACTCGGAGAAGAGCCGTGGCAAGAGCGGCAAAAAACACAAGAAAGTGTCTGTTTTGAAACGACCGGAACAAAAGCACGGGCGGTATCATGGTTGTATAATCGAGATCCTTCCATTCCGAGCCGCGTGGGCTATCTCGCGCAATCGCCCAGGGCATGTACCTCAGAGCCTGCAGTTCCACCCGTGACCAGAATATGGTGATGACCGTGAGAACTGTAGCGACGAACTGCTCAGCTTTGGGACACTTTTCCTTCCGAGAGGGAACTTACCAGCAGTCGGGGCAAATCTCCAAACGTCTGTAGCGCTCAATTCCGCCCGCCCTAATCCCCTGGGTTTCTCGGAATACGATAGCAAGATCGGAAAAGCTACAGTGAAGGAGAAGAACAAGAATAAGAAAACTCCAACTACAGACTGCTTAAGCCAAAGCGGGCTCCAAGTCGCAGGTCGGGGTGCTGCCGTATCTTCTTCAGTTGGCTCGTCCTCAGAATCGCTTGGCTGCAAAAGCGTCGCACTGGAATCCCCTCGAGGAGCCTCATGAGAGAATTCCGTCAGTTCAATCGATTTTGTCCCGCGACTTGTATCTCCGAGCTGGAGAGCAAGCACGCGCCCCTTTACCCGATCTGAGAGCTGACTTTTCCTAGATGCCTTCTGCGGCTGGCGGGAAGAGCCATGATCCTCATTCTCATCCTCTAGATAATCGTCGGAGTTGTGCAACTGCGAATCCGCGGCGGCGTTGGAACGGTCCTGGGCGTCATTGTCCCGGATCGACAGCAACGGCTGATTGTCCAAATCCTGCGGCTGAGACGCCATAACGGTGCCAGAGGGATGGGCGCACTCTCCTCAACCTATTAGAGGATAGAAAAGACTTGGAATCAGTGCTTGGTGGGCGGCCAAGGACTGATTTTTCATCCTCCAAGTTCGAGGCCCATCCCCCTGCATTCAGCTGGCCATACAGGAATCAGAATTGACGCAACACTACCAGTACCCAGAAGTCTTTTTTTAGAATTCGCCGCCGCCTTGATTTTGCCTTATGCTCTCTTATTGCGAACTACCTAACCCGTAGTAGTAAGTAAATGGTCGCATGGGGGATGCAGATCCTTCGGCCCGCGACTTGGCCTGCGACCAGCACGGAGCTAATATTCAAGCTTACACTGCCGAATCATGAACATACACGTTAAGATGAAAGTGATAATGATAGTCTTTGCGAAACATAGAATGCTGGAGACCTGGACGTTTGACAGTTGCTCGCTGTAATCACATTCAGCTGGCTCTGGCCATTCAGAAATTAGAATTGACGAACTCGACGTGTTACCATACTTAGAATGCATTAAGATCAATAACTTAGTGGGGTTATGCTACAACGACATCATTCTTTTCTCTCCTCTGCCGAAATTTGGCATGTTCGCACACTTGTAATCGAGCTCCTCCTTGGTGGATGGAAGAAATACCTCAACCAACAGAACAGTAAAGGGCAGCATCCATACTTCATTCCCAATTGTCAGCCATCTTGGCTCGCTTGTCCTCGCCCAGGCCATCATAGACCTCTCTTGGAACGACCTTCGCAGCCGGTTGAAATCCCACCACCTTTGCACCTTGCACGGTGCGTCTGTCGAAGCATTTCACATCAAAATTGAACTCCTTCCCGTGTTTGAGATCTTCTATATCGTTTGCAATCTGGGCAAGATAGAACCGGATCTCGCAGTCCTCATACAGGCGGCGAATATGGGGCAGTTCTTGGTCGTCCTCGTCTCTCCACTCGATCTCCTCTGCATCAAAACCGTCATGGCGACAAAACGCGTAGGCGACGAAGATGGGACCAGTTGGGTAACCGTCTCGATCCAGTTTGACAAGAACGCTGTATCCGGTCTCTTCCCATTCCCCCCATTTCGCAGCATCCTCTGCAGTCCTGTCTTGAACCGCTTCCCAGTCAAAGCCAGTGCAGGCCATCAATTCTCCCAACTGGAAAAAGACATGAGGCTCCTTTTCCATGAAGTCATCGCTCGTTGCACTTCGCATCGAAGCGTTCGAGCCCTTGTCCGAGCCTTCGTCCGAGCCCTCTTCTGAGCTGTCGCTCTCACGACGACGCTTCTTTGAAGACGATGTTAGTTGCAAGGACGTTGGCTGGATGGCCGGTGGAGGGGAGTCAATGTCGATAGCGAGGACGGCAGAATCCAATTCCATGTCTGTTGGGCCGTTCCGAAGATTGGAAGTGGTGGTGTCAGGCTGCAGGAAGGCGGGATCAATCGCGACGGCGTAACCTGTCAAACGGCCACCGAAAGAACTCTCGCCAAGCAACATGTCGGGAACTCTGCCAATCTGGAGAGTTAACGATGTGCTGCTGACGGATTCGGGATCACGGCAATTGGTTTCTTTGATGATCTCGAGAACGTTCACGGCTGGAACGGGTTGGGCCCATCGTCGAAACAATCTGTCACCCCATTTGTACATGAAGACACAGTGTTGATACTTGACATCTTCCACATCTGGAAACGCATCTTGAAGCCCCTTTTCAATGTTTCCGAGGGTAAAATCGCAAATGCTGTGGCCGCTCTCTTCCCATTCGTAAAACCGACGTTCGACAGGAGTGAAGGTCTCCATGATTTGCTCGTCCGTCCAGTCAGGCGGGAGGTAGCCTAAGAATACGAGTTAGCTTCGAGCATCATCACTCCGAGGAGAACTCGACATACCTTGCTCCCTCGCAGCGGCGGTATCCAATCCCATGATTGCTTGCTGGTACTCGTGAGTCGTAGAGATGGATGCGTATGACTGGTGGCAGATGCCGCTGTGGAAATGAGCAGACCACCGCAAAAATGTTGCCTAGATCTGGGAAACAAGGGAAGAGGTGATTTGATGTCCGAATCTGAGTTGAAGAGAGTGGTTTTGCGGTGCTGATGTCAAGTAAAAACCGAGTGAGAAATGGCAGAAGCCCGTGGTGACGTGTTTTTGAGTGCAAGAAGTTTTGTTAAGACCTGAGGAACAAGGGAAGAGATGATTTGCCGTCTCGAGTGGTCTTGGGATGTTGATGTTAAGTGAGAACAGAGTGAGGAGTGGCAGAGGCCTGTGGTGACGTGTTTGTGTGCAACATGCACGTGATTCACGCGTTCGTTTCATGCACGAGTAGGTAAGTAGTACCTGGGCAACCACGCCCTCAAGATGGAAGATGAGGGAGTTACGTAGGTACTTTAACTGGAAAGTTTGCCTGTTGCACTTGAGGAAAGAGTGAAATTTGTGGGGTGAAGAAAGGTTAATCATCTGCTTCACCCAGACACCGAGCGTGGTAAATCCCAGTTTGAAATTCTTGGAACTTTATGTCTAGGTATTTATCCTAACTAAATCATTAAGCCAGGTTGGCCGCCCAGGCTAATTTTAAATTCAACAATTCTTATCTTTTATTTTTGATTTATTTTTATAATCGCAACCTTTGATTTGTTATTCCACGGCCAATATAGCCTGTATGAAGACCAGAATAGTCTTATTCATTTGATCAATTGAGGGACTTCCCAACTAAATGGCAAATATATATTGATTGATTGTAGTTGTTAGTTTTGACTGTGCAGCTTGGTTGTAGTTCCTCCCTTTGACTGACGCCGACATCACGATCGCGGACCCACCTGGGCTTTGGTTGTGGTGTTGTCGGTTGGAAATTCTTACCGGCACTCAATATTGATTAAAAAGAATTATATCAATCAATTCATGCTAATTGAAACATGTATTGAATTATATGTAGGACCTTAAAAAGTTACCTGGTTTTTTTTTAAGGATCTTACTTTTTCTTGCAATCGAATTTTCGAATTCATAAGCACTCGTAAGCTTGGTGATTCCTGCTTGTGTCCATGAGCACATTTAAGCAGGCAAGTGGCTAAAAGAAAACATAGAATACCAGAGCTCTTTTCGTGCAAGCTGGATACCTCATTCTTTTATTAATATTATTTCAACTAATAACAGTAGAATAATATATTATTATATATAACTTAGCTGGATATTGTATTGATGACTGGATTGATTGTTGTGATATTGTGTTAAAATCTGAGGCTGTATGGAGGTTTTGGTTTGCCATGTTTTATTTCAGCCACTTGGCAGGTTACTGGCACGATGCCATGTAACTTAAGCTGTGTGGAATCAATCTGTAGGTTACTGGCTCTAGTTCTTTCACATTCACTTGTGCAGAATCCCGTCGTAGGTTACTGGGCACTAAGTACCACGTCCATGTGGACAGTTTGACATTCTACTTTTACGCAGGACACTCAACATTGCCAATTATATTGTTTCTTGTCAAGTATGCGAACGTTAATATCAGATTTTTGAGGGCTAATAACAAACATACAAGGGACAATAAACCAAATATTGCTGCCTCATATTGTTTCATATTGCTTTATTGGCTCTACCACTGTAGAAAGTGGTCTGCTTGATGCAGTCTCTTCTGTTTGTGCGGCGGCCAAACACATCTAGATGCACGTCTGGCGCGGTTTCATGTTATTGTTTTTATTTTTCACGCACATGACCGTTCACACATCTTCACTTCTCCAGTTCAAGTTCTCCTCAGTGCTTCGCTCATTATCACTCCTTCGCTTCGACTTATCTTATGCTGCACCCCCACGCGACTCTACCTCTTTGTCTGGTTAAGCCAGGATACGAACCAACGATCAACTGCTTCTTTGCTCTTGCTTCCTCGTCTACTTTGCTCTTGCTTCCTCGTCTACTTTGCTCTTGCTTCCTCGTCTCTTTCTCCGCCTGCTCCCGCGTCTCTCTCTCCGCCTGCTCCCGCGTCTCTCTCTGTTGCTGGCTCCGCGTCTCTATCTGCCCCTATTCCCGTTCCCGTTCCCGCGCGCCTTTCTACGCCTGGTCCCGCCGGAGTCAAGCATCATGGGACCAGTGATCCCGCCGTCAATCTATCCGACGACCTTTCCGCTGCCACCTCTACCTGACCTTGAGTGTCCCGAGAACTTGGACAAACACAACTTCAAAAAGGCGAACCACATCGTGACCAGTAACCTTGTTTGCCTCTTCAATTTCATCATCAGCATCCGTCTTGATGCGGAATCGTTTTGGGAATCTAAGTCTTAGGAAGATCTAGAAGCACAAGACGCTCTACCCTACGGACCAATCCAATTCTGGTGGCTTCTTCACCGATATTATGTTATTGCTAAATGTCGATTTGGGTCGCTTTCCGAAATTCTCCAAAGACGAAACTACAGACCATTCCGCCTCGTTAATCTGGATAGAACAAGCGACAAAGTGCAGATTTTGGACTTGTTGCAGGGGATGAGGAAGCACCTGGGACAGATATGGCTGCGGATTAATGAAATCGAGAATGAAGTACACCCTCCTGTCGGAGCCCCTGGCATTTACGACTTGTCATCATCAGTTCCCAACTTATCTCTCCGGGAGTGCCGCCTCTGGTGCATGTTGAATACAAAGGGGTTCCACAAGAAGCTCAGGGATGCAAGAGGAGAGAAGACGAAACTCGATGATATCATCAAGGAGGTGGCCGCTATCATCTGTGCCCGCGACATCATCAAAGACAAAATACCGGTTGTTAAGCTCAGGAACTCCGTTAATATAGTCACACCGTATATGATCTTCGTCTGCTTCGGACAGACGGAAAACGGGGACAGAGTGCACGACCTAGTACACATTGGATGCACCAGAGAATGGATGACAGATTGGGCCGAGCTCTTTCAACTGCGAGATGACGCCCGAAACAGTCGTCTGGGAGAAGCCACAATTAACGCTTGGAGAGACTGGTATGACCGCCTTGTTGCGCTTGATGCCGAAGCTAGCGCCGCAGGAACAAACGATGGCGGAAGGAACGACGGTGTAAAGAACGATGGTGGAAGGAACGACGGTGGAAGGAACGACGGTGGAAAGAACGACGGTGGAAAGAACGACGGTGGAAAGAACGACGGTGGAAAGGCCATCTCAAATATGAGAACAGCTCTCCTGAAGGGAGATGAGAACGCACTATCAGACTCGGGAAAGAGGCTACTAGCAGAGAAGCTACGTGCTTGTGATACCCACCAGGGGCAGGCGTTCCGGCAGCTTGAATGGTTCCAGGTCGAACCCGCGGCTTGCTGCTATGTGTGCAAGAGTTCGATGAATTGGAAGGAGGTTAGTGACCCGGATATCGCTCATTCAGTCAAGCTCGACCTGTTGAAACGGAGGAAATGCCCACATTCTTGCGCGGAGGTTGTGGCAAGTGGCTATTGTGACTATATTACCCGCCAATAGGTAATCACAATATCCGCAATACGCAAGATGATGAGTAATGTGTCATAACATCTCACACAATATTCAAAAGATAGTTCTTGAACCACTACAAGCCAACTGCACGGATAGTCAACTACCACCGCCTCCCCTCCCTGTCCCGCCTCCCCTCCCTGTCCCGCTCCCCCTCCTCCCTCTATGATTGTGGCTAAGCCGGGCTTGGTTAGCGACATCGCAATTCTGTATGGATTAGTTTTACATAACGCATAGGCGTATGAGGCTACGCACTAGATGCTTTGAATGCACGTTCACGATTGATTTTCTATAGCTTAATAACAAAGTTTCCTCTTGTCCTTAATTATCCGACTTGATGTTCTTGTAAGACAAGTGGTTAGGATAAAACATGGACACTCAAGCCTTTTTCACGTCAGGCAGGGATCTAATTTTCTTATTAATAATACAAAACAGAATAAGGGAATAATTTATTATTCTACAGTATTCAGCATGGTATTATGCTTACTACTTAGTTGAATGTCGCGATGCTACATCGAAATTCAACTCTAGAGGTTCTAGGTGTGTCATGTTTTATGCCAGTCGCTTGTAGGAGTACTTATCATATGATAGTCTTACCAAGTACCCAGCAAAAACTAATAGCCCCACGAGAACCTGGAATCCATAAGCATTGTAGGCCCCCATGGCAGATGATGGCAATTCTTCGTTGCGATTAAGACAATCCACCAGTCCATGATTTTCCGAGACTAGCTTCCGGACATTCATCATGACAGCAGTAATCTGTAGCGAGATTTAAGTCGCGGGAGCCTAAAAAGAGTGTTTCTGAACTCTGGGGCTTTGTCTATCGCACAGTCTACTTCAAAGTAAACACTGAATTCCATTGTATTCGCGACTTTCAAATCGTGAATGTCGTGCGCAGCTGAAAGGAACGCGTATATAGTACGCACGCTCTGTCAAGCAAATATTCTATTCTATTCTTTGTTCGGGTGTTTCTTTCTTTTCTTGCATATCTGTTCTATCTTCGTCCCAAGGCAAGTTCAATTTCCTTCAGTGCGGCGAGGACTTTCTCATCTATGTGACGACGCCCGATAATCTGCAGACTTACTGGAAGCCCAGCAGATTATTCCGTATTATATAATTTATATATAAACTGATCTTCTATATTATATAGCTTATAGCTGGTATCTTTTATATTATTTTCAGGGTTAATAGTAGTAACTAGGAAAATAGCTCTAGAATAATTAAGGAGATTCCAGATAGTAGTATAACCCTAGTAGTAGAACTACCTATAAGGAGATATAATTCTAAAAGCTAGTAAATAGAGAATAATATTAACCTTCTAACTATTTTTATTAATAGTACTAAACTAATAGTAAGTATATACTATCCTATAAGCTTTATATTTATTAATAAACTAAAGAGAAAGTTTATTAATTACTTTTTCTAGAATTAGAAAGATATATTCTTACCTTCTATTACCCCTATACTATATACTTCTTTATATTAGACTACTCCTTAGTAATAAATTTAGTTAATAGTAATAATAGCTTACTAATATCTCTAATTAATCTAAATACCTTCTTTATACTATTTAAATAGAATAATCCAGAGATAATCTCCTATCCCTATATATAATCTAATAGTATACAGTTCTAGTTAATAATCTTTATTCTATATTATATAATTTATATATAAACTGATCTTCTATATTATATAGCTTATAGCTAGTATCTTTTATATTATTTTTAGGGTTAATAGTAGTAATTAGAAAGATAACTCTAGAATAGTTAAGGAGATTCTAGATAATAGTATAACCCTAGTAGTAGAACTACCTATAAGGAGATATAATTCTAAAGATTAATAGATAGAGAATAATATTAACCTTCTAACTATCCTTATTAGTAATACTAGATTAATAATAAGTATATACTATCCTATAAGCTTTATATTTATTAATAAGCTAAAGAGAAAGTTTATTAGCTATTTTTTCTAGAACTAGGAAGATATATTTTTACCTTCTATTACTCCTATACTATATACTCCTTTATATTAGGCTGCTCCTTAGTAATAAACTTAATTAATAGTAGTAATAGTTTATCAGTATCTCTAATTAACCTAAGTACCTCCTTTATACCGTCCGAATAGAATAGTCCAGAGATAATCTCCTATCCCCATGTATAATCCAACGGTATACAGTCCCAGTCAACAACCTTTATACCTGCTTTCTTGCAAGCGTCGGCGACTTCGCGAAGAGCTCGAAGCATGGGCGGGTGTGGCTTGACCACGCCATCCCACCACTGAATGGCAACCTTGAGGGGTTTGGTGAACTTATAAGGTACCCAATGCTGGTACCGGACAGAGGGCTCTAGGCGCCACGGCTGTGCATCAACCACAACCCTCATGAACAGCTCGAGGGAGTCTCGATCGGCCGTAATCGGGGCGTTGGTGGCGAGAATACATTCCCGTCCAAACATGTGGCCGGTCCCACCAGCGATAGGCAGTCTCTGTGCTGATGGCCTTTTCTTATCGGTCAGAATCGAGAATGCCTGAATGTTACCAGAGCCTGTATCTTACTTGAAACCATAAACTCCACAGTGAGCAGCGGGAACTCGGATGCTTCCTCCAATGTCTCCGCCAACTCCCTGAAAGGAAACCTGCATTAGAAACCCGCCCTACCGCACTGTCTTCCGAACGGGTTGTGCTGCACTTACGAAAAGACTACCTCGGATACCGAGCAGTGCGCTTTCGCCGCCGCTGCTTCCTCCAGGCGTCACGTCTCTGTTGTACGGGTTCACAGTCCGTCCATAAATGTTGCTCTCCGTCTCTAGATGCATGATTGCCTGTGGCTGCGTTGTGCGGGCAAAGTGAACACACCCTGCATCCCAGAGGATATCGCACAGAAGCGTCGAGCCCTGGGGCTTTCCAATGTAGGAAACATAAGAAGCGTTGGACGTCTTGTTCTTACCCAGTGTTCCCTGATGCTCCTTGATGGAGATGGGGAGCCCGTGCAAGGGACCGATGGGCTCGGGTAAAGAATCCAGGTAACGGGCGCGCTCAATAGCATCGTCCCATAGTAGTTCTGTGAGGCAGTTTGTGACTACATGTGCGAGCGCGGCTCGGCGGAGGAACGCCCTCGTGAGCTCCTCGGACGAGAGTTTTCGACTGCGGAGTTGAGCGAGTAGTTGCTCCACGGAGTAGGACTCGGTGAGCTCCAGCTCCCGAGGGGTGAGAACAAGCTTGGGGAGACCCTGGCAGTTCAAGGGGAGGGGGTCAGGGATGCCAGAGAGCGGAGGTTGGACCTTGGCTACCGACTCATCGCGAATTCGTCTTGGCACTTCGGCCTTTGTCTGCCAAGTTTCAACTGGGTTCTTGGCCATGATGATAAGGATGTAGCAGGAATACAAAGCTCGGTACTAAATATGCTTCCTTCCTTGCCTGGGTGAAATAGACCTTATCTGCCGGGTTCGTGCTTTGAAAAATGGTGCACAGCATTGATTGATAAAGAAAGATACAAACGCGAATGCTTACCAGGTCCGATCAAGCGCCTCCAGAAAGAAATGATTCCAACCCTGGATGCAGAAATGGCCGTTATCCAGATAGAAGAGTGCGCAAGACTTGTTTCCCACCACGGAAAAGGGAGCCATGCCCGAGCCAGACTAGGTCTCCTGTAGAATTTGATATTAGAGGATATCTCAATCCGATATGGACTAAAATTGGGGCTAAGGAAATGCGAAGGGGATTAAGTTAGGAGAGGGGAGGAAGAGTCTTCATCCAATCCCGTTCGTGTGTTTGTTGCCCCGCCTCGCAGATAACTTCTGTTTCCGGTTTGGGTTGAGGGACAACTTGGTTCAACGAGGACTTTGCCGTGACTTTGAGCATCTCGGTCATTACATACCCTCAATATCTGATATTGATGCGGGGTAAATTCGATTCTAGTGATAAAACGGCATGCCTTATCGAATAGACCGCCCTGAAGAGGGGAAATAGTGAAAACCTAAACTGTTTTGATTTGCATATATGGTGCTCTGGTGCACTCAGCGAGGAAGATCACCCTAAGATTGGCTTCATGCCCGCTAGGATAGGTAATTGAATATATGGCAAGAAAATTATAAAGGATATACCCCAATTCTTGGTATCCCGCAATCTCGGACATACGGATCTGGTCATTCTGTGTCTCACACGGAACACTATCAAATACGAGAAGATAAGAAGGTAAAAGAAAAATATTACCAAATCAAAAACTACAGCAAATGGCTTCAGTGTTCATGTAAGCAAGACCCCGTGTCTGAATCGTTCATTCTCTATTTTCTGACAAAGGAAAAACAGTACAGGTGCATCTGGCTTCATTGGAGGCCAGGTCCTAAAGGCCATCATCGACCATCCCCGTGAATACGGCACCATCAGGGCGTTGGTTCGCAACCCAGATGCCGCAAAGCTCATCCAAGAGGCTTTCCCTCAGGTGCAGACTGTTATTGGCGACCTTGACAATGTCTCTCTAATGGAAGAAGAGGCGGAGAAAGCTACCGTGGTCCTTAGTATGTCTGATCTATTGCCCTAGATGGGGTCGGAAAGCTACTAACGCAAGATATCACAGATGTGGCATCAAACAAACATATCGATAGCGTGCGTGCCATTCACCGTGGTCTAGCCAAGCGAAAATCCCCATGTACGTTATGGCTTTATGATTTCATTCAACACGAAGCAAGTCATGGGTGACTTTTAGCTGACATGGTATATCATGACAAGCATACTGGGTCCAAGTATCAGGTGCCAGTCTCCTGGCAGCCGATGAGCTAGCATCAAGCTCGTTCCAGCCGGGCTCAGCTTCGGATGTTGTTTTTGATGATATAGCGGATGCTGCCAAGATTCGCACGCTTATCAGGGCGCACCCATCGCGTGTGGTGGACAACTACCTGCTTGATGTTGCTGCCAGCGATTACCCCAAGATTCGATCTGCCATTATATTCCCACCCATCGTTTACGGGCGCGGTGAGGGTCCGATTAACAAGAAGAGCATTCAAATCCCCGCATTGTGTCGTGTGGCACTCGCGCGAGGTCGAGCGGTCCAAGTTGGCAAGGGGCTGAGCCGTTGGGGAAGCGTGCATGTGCGTGACCTTGGAAGAGTCTGGGCCGAGCTGGCAGATGCGGGCGCCAATGGATGCAAAGTGGCCGAGGTCTGGGGTGAACAAGGTCTCTATTTTCCGAGCGCGCAAAACATTGTAAGGATGGCCATTCCCCCGTCACCCCAAGGTCGTAGATCAAGGCTGACACCGATGCAGTCGTTTGGAGAAATCTCCGAGCTGGTGGCCCATGAGGCTCAGGAGAACAAACTCATTTCCTCTAGAGAGGTCGAGAAGATTACCCCTGAAGAGGCGGCTAAGCTTCTTCCTGGCGGGAGTGTCTTCTTCGGCACCAACGCGCTCATCAAATCACAGCGGACAGAAAAGGAGCTGGAATTGAAGAATGCCGAGGAACCAATCACTGCTGAAATCGGAAGGGCGCTATTGGAGGAGGCTAACGTCTAAAAAACTCCAAGAAAACGCTTGAAACAAGATCATGGTTTCCTTGAAATGGAATCTCGATTTGCCAATACAAGTAGAATTTTATACCTTACTATTCAGTATCACACAGGTCACTCATAGGTAGTTCTGTCGCCGCATAATATGTCTTTATGCAAGGTTCTATTGGTTTATCAATAATTAATCATGTGAGCGCCTTCCAGAAAAGGGGGAGAATACAGTGAAACGCAATTATTGGCTGTTGCATGCAACCCAGGTTCATACTTGGGCAGTAAATGAGACGAGGGCATTGGCAATTCCACTGAGACGTCATCGTCTTTGTTATCGGATACTGAGACATTTAGCATGGTACCAGTCTTCACGAGGCATGGAACGGGCTAGAAGGGGGAGTGTGTGTGAAAACAACGAACGAATCATCTCTATCAACGCTGAGGGGTTGAGTATCTGGCCTTAGGAAGCTACTACACTCCAGGACTCCGCTCAAGACCTCCGCGCCTCCCGCCCATAACTTCCCGTCTGGGTTAGGAAAAGAATTGAAGGCGTAGAGAGGGGGCTGATAAGAGGGTAAAGCTCGGGGAGGCGGCTGCACTAGGTAAATTCCAGCCGAAGTTGGGGTCAGCACCGCACGAGTCATCATGGGTCTAGACTCCAGTCAGTTTACACGCCACTCCGCACACAACTTCCTGTTTTCTCCCAACTCCTCTCGTCCACTCGATTGGGCCAGCTGGGGTCTCCTTACCCCGGATATCATCGAATAAGCGAATGTGGGTATGTTCAATACAAGGATCACGCCGACCCTTATCCCAGTATCAGCAAGTATACCTTCTGATAGGACATGCCATGACGACAAAGATAAGGAGGCTTGAGTTCTCGTGTATATAACCTCCCGGTTGTGTCTCTGATCTTTCAATTGGCACACCCTGCACTTCTCTTCTCTCAAATTTATCCCCATCGCTTTTAACCAAAGCCATCCTTCACCTTCTATTGAAGAGTGTTTCTAGCATGAACGTTACCCCTTCTTCAGCCGATAAGGTCGACTCGACTGCCTCACATCCTCACTCCAAAATGGCGAAACCAGACCCCAATGAATTCGATCAGGCCGAGCGAACTCCCTCGAAGATTGGGGAGTCACACGAGCAGGGAATCACACATGATGCAGTCTTTGGCGACATCACGAAGGATGGTCCCAACTACCGAGACGTAGGTTTTTTATGTTTCATTTGGACTTTATTTCCGCTGGATGCATCATTTTCTAACTTATCTATCATTGCAGATCGGCATGCTCGGGACAGCAGTTCTGATGATCAAGTCTCAGATTGGCCTCGGCGTTCTATCGATCCCGTTTACGCTGCATGCGCTTGGTATGGTCCCAGGTGTCCTTATCATCATCGCCATTGCACTTATGACTTGTTGGTCCAACTATGTTATCGGCATATTCAAACAACGACATCCAGAAGTATACTCTATTGATGACGCTGCTGGACTCATGTTTGGCCGTATTGGAAAAGAGCTGTTCGCTGCCCTTTTCTGTCTTTGTATGTGTTACCCCTGAAACCCGACGGAAATATCCCACTGCAGTTTTGCTTACGACAAATCAAGTCTTTACCTTTTGCTGTGGCTCTGCTTTGTTGAGTCTGTCTATCGCTCTCAACGCCCTTTCCTTGCATGGTGCCTGCACAGCAGTTTTTGTCGTTGTGGCAGCTATCGTCGCTTTCCTCTTTGGGAGCATTCAGACACTCAGCCGTATCAGTTGGCTCGCCTGGGTCGGAACCGTCTCGATTCTCACTGCTAGTATGTTATGCTCCCGACGGAAATCCTTTCCCCTGAACCATGTTCAAACCACCATTAGATAACTTGGACTGATCCACCTAGTTTTGACTGTTTCGATCGCCGTATCCCGACAAGATCGTCCTGCTGCGGCTCCCACGACCGGCGAATTCCACTCTGACTACAGAATCATCTCGTCTCCCAGCTTTACTGATGCTGTAGCCGCCATATCTTCCATTGTATTTTCATATGCAGGAGTGCCTGCATTTTTCAACATTGCCTCCGAAATGAAGGATGTGAGACACTACAACAAGGCTCTCACCATATGCGTGCTTTTCCTTACTGGAGTTTACCTTGTTATTGGCATCCTTGTCTACTATTACTGCGGCTCCTATGTGGCATCTCCGGCTCCCGGATCGGCTGGTCCCCTCGTGAAGAGAGTCGCATATGGGCTTGCCTTCCCTGGTCTGATGGTGTCCTGCATTTTGCCCAATCACGTAAGTTTACCTAAGATCTCAATCAAGCCCATCCTGTGAGTAAAGGTTTGTACGAACTCATTTTCTATATAGTACACGGCCAAATACTTGTTTGTTCGATTCCTTCGTGACTCTAAACATCTTACGGCCAACACGTTCACCCACTGGGCCGTTTGGCTGAGTTGCACGGGAGGTGTCGCTCTTCTCGCATATATCATTGCCAGCGCCATCCCCATCTTTGGCAATCTCATATCACTGATCGGTGCCCTAATGGGTACGATTCTTTCGTTCCAACCCTACGGATGCATGTGGCTTTACGACAACTGGAGCGATGGCAAGGCAAACCCGACCTGGTGGTGGCGAATGATGGTTTGCTGGTCTGTCTTTATCATTGCCATTGGTTCTTTCTTGATGGTCTCTGGCACCTATGCTTCTATTGTGGCCATTATTGACGGATTCAAGGCTGACGGGGGAACTCGTCCCTGGTCTTGCGCTGACAACTCTGGGTCTACTTGATCTACGTTCTGCCACATATCACCCTCTACCCATCCTTCTAGGGCAATACTCACAGTATCTCAAATACATAGCCTCGATGGTCATATTTTTGAATACTATGTGTCATTCGTGGTTTCCCCACTCATAATTATATAAAACAAAAGACTACCGAGAACATGGAGTTGTAATTATTTTTCAAGCGCCATGATGTTAAACTCATTTGATATGAGAGACCTGGAACATTGCCCGACTGTAACTAAATGAGCTCTCCTGGATTGAGGTTGACGGTTGAGCCCCCTTGTTTTCTACACCCAAGATGCCTTAGCTATGTTTTCCTCAACCTTTACACAAAGGAAGGAGACATGAGTATCAATGTATTTGAACAAAAGTATGATATCTTTCTAGTTGGTATGACAATGCCTTACTCTGCCATAGTAATAACCAACACTATTGTCTATTTTTAAGTTGCACTCCCTCTTCTGCACAAGATCTCTCACCTTGTGCGCTACCCTAAACGAATAGACATAACCCAAGCCAGCCATTCCATAAGCGTGGATCACCTTGTCATTTCTCTGTAAACAAACGCCGCTCTTTCTCGTTGGCCCTAAGCCAACCACATCCTTGTTAACATCTTCACTCAAGTAAGACGTAGGATATCCTTCTTGGCCTCCTGGCCAGGCAGCACGCGGTAGTTATCAGCGTCCGACAACCCATCCACGATAAGAGCCTTTTTTTTAGAGAAAAGAATCGCACATTGCCATTGATAAGCGGAACGTGTTGCCACTTCTATTAGCCATGACTCTTTTCGTTTATGACTAGTCTCGTGACGGGCGAGACGATGCAGAACCTGGTAAAGGGGCGGAGGAATGTGGAGATGGTTCACGGCATCAGCCAATGCGGGCTTCGCTCCATTCGCGAACAACTTCCAATTCCATGACGGTTAGGACGTTCTTGATGCTTCAGGAAATGGTCAGATGCTGAGTCGTGTTCCCACACCATATCATCCTATTGACACACCCAAGGCACCCACAGTGCAGGAGCCGTCTGATATCTGAGCGTCACGGCTTTTACTTTCTTTTTTACAAAGCGAAAAGCTAGTTCAGCGCGATCATTCACTAATCACTACCATCACAACACCTGTTGGTATTGACGCCCATAGTACTGTCCATCACTCACATGATGTCTGCCTCTAAGGAACCAAGTCGACTTCGCTTCGCTAGGTAAAGCCCTCCAGTGATTCCCCAGCAGTCACTTCTACTGACATAAATAAATTTAGAACTAGCGCCGAGGACTCTGATATTTTGACTATCAAGGATCTGGCTGCGATAGGTGCAAAGCGGGTGCCCCAGATTTATAATGGTCAGTTACTATCTCCCCATACCTTTCCACGTCGTTCTGCGTCCGTGATCCCTTACTGACGTGAATGAAAACTGCCAGAATACTTCAGTGGAGGAGCCGGAGAGGAGGCTACGTGAGTTTACCTACTTTTCTTCATATTCTATAATTGACAGTAAAGCAGTGTCCGAGACAATGTGGACGCTTTCGCTCGGTACAAGCTCAGACCACGAGTTCTCAAAGATGTTGGCGATGTGGATTTGACGTGGAGTCTCTTCGATATCAAGGTCAGTAATGAATGGGAAAGTGACAGAACTAACCAAGATGAACATGCTAACCAATGCTGATGATTGGTTTTCGTAGACCGCCGGTCCTTTGGGTTTCTCTCCCTCTGCCGCACACAAGCTGGCTCATCCCGACGGCGAAGTCGCGACATCCCGAGCCGCGGCGGCCAATGGCGTTCCCATGGCGCTCTCCTGCTACTCATCGACAAGCCTCGAAGATGTCATTGCTCAAGGAACCGGTAACCCCTACATCATGCAGATGACCCTATTCAAGGACTTGAGCGTTTCCGAGATGATCATCAAACGCGCTGAAGGTACGTCGAACCGCAGCCTCCTTCGCCTTTCTTGATAATGAACTAACGTTATATCTCTAGCGGCTGGCTACAAGGCGCTCTTCGTCAGCGTCGACCTCCCGATCCTTGGAACGCGACTACAAGAACATCGAAGCAAGTTCGAATTTCCCCCACATGTCACATTCCCGAATCTTCAAGACCCCAAAGGCGAACGCGAGGTGACTTTAGATGACCTCGACTATAGTACGTGTTCCTGTTATCAGCTATATATAGAGCCGACCACCTGACCTATCTATTCATATTAGACCCCCGAATCACATGGGAAAAGGAAATTGCTTGGCTGCGCGCGCGAACAAAGATGCAAATTTGGCTAAAAGGAAGTATGTGCTCCCCACGATCCAAACAATATTACGAGCAATTTCACGGGCCGGCGTTCCCTCTGAAGCACATCGCTGACCTTCTGCGAACGTAGTCTACACCTCCGACGATGTTGAGCTCGCGATCCGATACAACTTGGACGGCGTTATCATTTCCAACCACGGCGGCCGACAACTGGATGGCGTTCCCTCCACCCTTGATGCCCTCCGAGAGTGCGCGGCCGTCGGGGGCGGCAGAATTCCGATCGGATTCGACGGCGGCATCCGTCATGGAAGTGACATATTCAAGGCAATTGCATTGGGGGCAGACTTTTGTTTCCTTGGCCGGGTTTGCGTATGGGGCCTTGCGGTACGAGACATACAATCACAGCAATTCCCCTTTTGTGCCTCTCGTCGGTTTGCTAACTTGGATTTTACACAGTACAAAGGAGAGGAGGGCGTTGACTTTGCGGTCAAGTTGTTGTTGAAGGAGCTGAAACAAACCATGATGCTCTGTGGGTGTGTATTTTTAAGAAAACATGTCCCCTTCGCGTCTGTGACTTGCAGCTAACGCGTGATAAAAATATCTAGGTGTCGTACAATCAAGGACATTAAAGCGAGCCATCTATCAGTTTTGCTCCCCAGTGGCGTACTTTCTAGGCTCTGAGTTGAGTGCAGCAGGCGTATCCTAGAAGTCCTTGTTTTAGGATTAAAAGTATTAGGACATCTAGATTTGGCAATGGGCATCATTCATGGGAGAGCTTCTTTGTATATTTAAATAGCCATTGAGCATTGAAAACGCGTATTTATGTATGTTGCGAAACAATACTCACGCTTTCATCAAGTCAAATTAGGATTTTAATGTTCTTTAACCGAAAGTTGTCATAGACGCCTGTATTATCCCCACGGTGACCACCTTACTCAACGAGATATATCATTTATTCAATGAATGGGGAGAGTTGTATTTATATGACTGAAAGTATACGAAATCGTTAAGAACCCCGACAAAATGTAAGCTATTATCATGGGCGTTGTTGTCGGCATAGCAGCCCAATCACCGTCACTACCTAGCAAATGTCTTATGGCGACTGAATGGAACTTCTGATTGTGTGAAAGTGAGAACGTTCATTTCAGGTGAAAGATCAATGGAATAAATGACTGAATATCCTAGCAGTTAAAATCTTTATCCTATCACCTGTGGTCAACTTTATAATTTTTATATATTCTATCTATTGAAGAGCAATGACATCCATCTGGAGGGTGGTTCCACGAGGAGGGATCTTGGAAACCTCCATAGCACTTCTAGCGGGGATATGAGGGAAGTACTTGATGTAAACAGAGTTGGACTCGTCGTAGTCGGCGATATCGGTGAAGAACATCTACGTTTCCGCGTTAATATTTATTCTTGATTTTGGCAGATAGCGACACAACGTGGTGGGCTAAAAAGCACGTACAGTGACCTTGACGACCTTGTCAAGGGACGTGCCAGCGGCCTCCAGGGCATTCTTGGCATTCTCGCAAACGAGCCTTGTCTTCTCCTCGACGGTTCCTTCGAGGACAGTGCCATCGGGGAACACGGGGCACTGACCACAGAGGAAGACAAGGCCGCTGAGAGGCCGAACAGTGGTAACCATACCGTGGGACTAAGGGTGCATGTTAGTTCTGGAACCTTCAAAGAGCTGTTTTGTAGTAAAGATGTGTATGGACTTACGTAAGGGCCAATTGCTGTCAAGTTGGAATGTTAGTAAATGTATATGTACATGTGTATTCTATACTTGGGAAGACTTACGTCGGTCAACTCGGTCAGAGGTAATGTTTCGCATGACCTGGTGGCTCTTGGCAACCTGCTGACGGACTTCCTCAGAGTCCTCAGGCTTGGTGTACTTGGGCTGCTGGATAGGGATAGGCATTTTGTTTGTTTCTTGGGGTATTTAAATAAACTGAAAAGAAGCCGAAGTGAAAGTCGAGGAAAGTAATGATGCCAGAAGCCAGTTGCTACATGCTGGCCATGTTTCCCCTATAAATAATTTGTTCAGCAAAGCTAGATAAGCACTTCCTCTCCACAACGGACTAATGCAGACCAACCCAAAATCAATTGGTCAAGTCTTCCTGAACGAATCAAGAAGTTCTTTGCCCATCCATGGAAGTGATACCCCTGATCCCCTCATAAAACCCGGGGATCATTACCGGGTGCTCCAATGAATCTAGATTTGGGCATCCACACACACCACACGGCGGGCGTGGAACGAGTAATGGGGAGGCCCGCCAGGCCACAAGGCAGCAATTACATGGTATCTTCGCAGATACATTCCCTTTTCAAATCAGGATATAGAACCACTGCGAACCCCCTTCTCCAACATCGTCTTTGTGCAACTGCGTATACTACTGCCCTGTCACCCGCCGCCATTTCTTTCACGGACCGTGTTCAGTTCTCTTGCTTGTCGGGATTGACTAACTGAACTAGTTTGGGAAGTCACAGCCATCTCTGGACGTCTCTCGGAATCATCCATCTACCCCGAGCTGGAGATTTGACCCTTATGGAGAAGCGTGGACGCAAGAGGACATTCCAAGGATGCAAGACATGCCGTGTTCGGCACATCAAGTGCGACGAGGCTCGTCCATCATGTGGACAGTGCAGGCGAGGCGGCCACGAGTGTAGCGGCTATTGGTCCCCCTTGCTTTGGATCAGCCAGACCCCGACAGGTCGGCCCCGGGCTGACCGGAGCCATGAGTTTCGTTACCCATTCTTTTCGGGTAAGTTGCAAATGAATTTACGTAGCATTAACCTCCTTCTTTTGAAACCTTGTGACCTGACAGCCGCTCCTGTCACTTAGAAACTCAGCGCCGGCAGATGAGTGTCGAGATCTCTCGCAGTCTTGGTTCCAAGTCCGTTGTTGAGCTTTTAGATCGCCTCGACTCTTCGTGCCAAAGATTGGAGACCCGAGGCCGACCTGTTCAGGGCTTGACCAGAGGGCCCTTCAGCGCCTTCTCATGTGATGCCCGCGACGATGACGAAGACTCTCCCCCCGGCCATGTTGGTCTTGAAACTGGAGGAGCATCTACCCAATCTCCCCAGGGAGACGTGCATCCGGCAGCTCTGGATGCAAAAGAAAATATGTCGGAAAGAGACTCTTTTGGTCTCAACGAGTACGCATCCAATATGGTAGAACTGGAGCCAGGCTCGGCGCTCTTCCCGCCATTTGACCCGGCTGCCAATCTCAGCGATTGGTTTGATACTTTTGAAGACTCTGTATTCGACCCATTCCTTGCCCCGCCAACACCAACGGTGCAGGGTCCATCGGGGCCTATGCTCCCTCCTGTTTCGTTAGATGAGTCCCTACTTGATACGCCTGATATTTCCATGGAAGCCTCTGCTGTTGTTGTAGACAACCACCTGCCAGCAGCCAGCCCCGACCCCAGTCCTGACCGCATCTGGCGTTGTGAGGACAATGCCACAAGACGACTCTCCATTATCGCCCCAGACCTCACGCCTTCAGCCGAGACTATACTTCCGGCCCATTCAGAGCCCCTGATACGCTATTATCGGCAGCAGATATATGAGGGACGCTTTCTACAGGCCAAGAAGGCCTCGCCCTGGCAATCCATATTCTTCCCCTGCGCTCTTGAAACCTTTGCCGAACTGTCACTCTGGCGAACTACTACCAAGACCCGCTACGCTCTCCTTTATGCTTTATTAGCTTTGAGCTCCTTCAACCGTTGGTCGCGGAATGATGATAGCAACGGCGTTGGTGGCAAGTCGTGGTATGAAGTTGGGTGTTGCTATCAGCAAGGCGCGCAGCATCACCTACGCTCCGCTCTTGCTACGGAGATGACAGGACTTGAGCAGGCGAGATATAAAGAACTTCTCATGGCTATTCTGGCCGTGTCTATGATATCAGTAAGTTGCGCCCCTCTTTTGCCATTCGACTCTACCCCTTTCTATCTATTCGTTCAAGAAGCTAACTCCCCCCTTTTCTATCCTTAAAGCTATCGAGGGGCAGCACTGAGTCGTTTGGGCTCTTTCTCCTTGATGCGGAGAGGTTGATTCACCGCCAGGGCCTCGCTGATCAAGATATACCCATGGATGCACGTCTCCTACACCACATGTACAGCTACCTTCGCGTCACTTCAGAGAGCATTGGTATACGCTTGCAAGCCCCCACAGATGACCCGAGGAGGGAGTTCAATGAACCACCAGAAAAGAATGGCATGTTTTGCCTCGCTACCGAGTGCTACGATGTCGGGCTCGATTCCGAAGAAGTCAAGACGCCAGACCTTGGCTACACAGATATCCACCTACAGGTGCAGGGACAATGGCATAAGTCGCTTTATCCCGCCATCTACGGCTTTCCCGAAATGCTCTGGACGCTGCTCTCTCAGACGGTCGCCACCGCACGTGAGAAGGCCCGGATCGAAGCGCTCGATCCGCCCGACCTGGCCCTTACTAATGCGCTCCGGAAACATATAGAAAAGTTGGAGAAGACCATGTGGGCGTGGACGCCGACCGCCCATCTCTTCGGGCCACAGCAAAAGCCTTCGACATCCTCTGCCACCGAGGCCACGCAAGACCTCCTTGACAACCCAGACGCGAAGGCCCTCGCCCAGGGCCTCCATCAGGTGATCATCATCTACTACTACAGGAAAGTGGCCAAGGTCAGCCGCATGGTGATACAGAGCATCGTCGAGAAGGCGCTCGACTATCTGGAGCCCTGCATCGCACGCATCAATGATCAGGACCTCACGCCCTGCATCGCCTGGGCGGTCTCAACCGCGGCTTGCGAGGCGGCCACTTCGGCGCTGCGGGAGAAGGCGCTGAGGATCCTGGCTGCTGTGGAGGAACAAGGCGTCTTTTTGCCAAATATGCCGTCCAGGGATACTTTGACAATCAGATGGCAACAGCAACCCCTTACAGAGGTATGTTAACGAAACATCAGGGCAGATTATGCCATTGGGAGTTAATCAGATAATAATAGAGTAATACGATATATACTTTATTGGTACTGTAGTACATCAAGAAAATCGAAAAGAAGTCCTGCCATCCATTGGATTCGCTGTTTCTTACGGCCTCGCAAGTGAACCTCTCAGTACCTTCCGCCCATTAGCACAGTTGAGCATGAGGTAGGCTCTGTCATGTACATAACTAGTCCATACAAACTTGTGGTAGGCTAGTTGAAGTCAACGCATAGGTGAAGTCATTCTATAAGATTTCACCAGGTGTCGTTCTCGTTGATGTGTTAAAAAAGAGAGTCCTGAATACTCCCAGAGCCGCCACATTTACCGGAATTCTTTCCACTTCGATATCATCCTCGTCTAGGATTGCTTCCTTGATTTCAGTCATGGTATCGCCGACCAAGACCGTCTCTGCCACAGATGGGGAGGGGGAAGCGGGGAGAGCGTTGGTGATAGACTACTTAGTTGATCGTAGTGGTTCAGTAGCGATATCCTTTGAGTATTGTGCAAGATATTATGGCACATTACTCATCATCGTGGGTTATTGAGGAATATATTGTGATTACAATTGTATTCCTTGATGGGTAATGTAGTCACAATACCCACTTGTGACCACCTCTGCGCAAGAATGTGGGCAATCCTCCCGTCGCCGCAGCCTGATGTTGACTGATTCGAGGGTCCTCGGGTTCATCACCTCATCCCAAGCATGTGTCGTTTTGCAAAACATACAGCAAGGGAAGGCTTCGACATGTGCCCACTCCAGCTGTCGGAATGACTGTCCGAGGTGTGTGCTGCAGTGGAACTCCTTGGTGTTCAGCATTGACCACAACCGGCACTCGCGGAGGAATATGTTTGGGACCAGTGACGAGAGATCGAGAATGACGTCCACTCCGACGGAGGGCAGGACTTCCTTCTCAATTTCCACAACAATTTGTGACACCAGATCCAAATTGTATACAATCTCCTGCACCAAGGATGGGATCGTGACTTCGTCACTTTTTGAGTCCAGGATGAGTTGGGCTGGCTCGTTGGTCTCTCTGGCGAGAATTTTACGAACTTCTTCGAACCGAGACTTGGCGATTGTGTGATATCGCGACAGCAGCTTCCAGAATTGTACTGGCCCATAGGGAAGTTCGCTCTGAGATTCCAAATTTTCCCAACAATTGGAAACCCAAAAACGAATGGGCGTCGATCCTGATGCTTGTTGTAAAATTATACAAACAAACCAGATTGCCGGCGATGGTCTTCTTTGCCTGATCTGTTGTTTCATTGGACAACTCAATCTCGAGTCGTATAGGCAGTGGGAGGTCGAACTCGGTCGAGGAGGACGTGCTCGACCATCGGACGAAACCATCGGTCTCTCCGTTTTATGGTCGACTTTCACGAGACCCAATGGTATTCGGTAGTTTTGGCTCATCAATTACAGCAGTAGTACCTTGTGGCCCTGCGTCGTGAGTCACACTAGCACTGCGTCGATGATCCCTCTATGTCTTATGCCAAACGCAAGCTCGACTAAGTCGATGGGGGCGTAACTGGCCCCGTGATGTTTGATTCCATGGTTGCTGGTTCCATGACTGCTGGTTCCATGTCTGGAGAGGTCGAAGGTACAGGGAATGGATGCAGTAGCGGGAATCAAGGGAGCAGTCGAGGTTGGTTTATAACCTAACTAGAGAGAGGGCGCCGCGTGAGGGTGCAGTGGAAGATAACCGGAAGTGAAGAAGTGAAGAGAACTTGAAGCGAAGAAGTGAAGATACCCGAGCCCATTCATTTGCTGGAATGATTGGCCCAGATGGTTGCTGCAGGCACGCAACTTCACTCCAAGCAATTTCTTCCCAGGCTCGGGAACTGCATCGCTGTTTCCGAGAAGGAGGGCTATTCTCGCCGCCAGCCTGGCTGTTTGTTTGTCTTCCTCTTTTATCCCGTCGCCAGCAGCGGTGTCCATCACAACAAGCTGGTAGTGCCATTCCTTCCAAGCCTTGATGCTTGCGTTCCCGATTCGATTATCTCTAGCTACGTCGCGAAGCTTGTACAGTGAGTCCCACTGAACCATCCATTCCCTAGTGCAACCGATGTGCACTAGATTGTGGAGCTTTTCTCCATCTTTATTCTGCTCGAGACAGATGAAGACCATGTATAGTGTGACCATGATACCGCCGGTGGAGCGTTTAAGCTTCACAACAAGGGGTAGGTTTCCCATAATGTGGCGGGCAGAAATCATAGCGGCCACCTCCTCCATAATAGGAGCAAGTTTCTCTTTGTCTCCATTGGCCTCCTGGAACTTCTGGTGAAACTCCTTCGTGTTGAGGATCGACCAAAACCGGCATTTGCGGAGGGATATGTTTGGGACCAGTGACGAAAGGCGTTATTCATGTTCGTTGGGCACTCAAGATCGGGTGGAGATGGGAGCGGAAAGTGCGTTGGATAAATCGACGGAGGGGTCACAGGCCCCTTGTTGCTTGATTCAGGGAACAATAAATCGAAGGGTGCAGACGAGAGCAGGAGCAAGAGTAGAGAGAGAGAGAGTGACGAGGGAGTGGCAGCTGGAGCAGACAGAGGCGTCAGTAGGAGCAAAGGGAGGAGCGGGCGAGGTTGGTTTGTAAACTGACTTGAACAAAGAGAGAGATAGCGCCGCTTGAGGGTGCAGTGGAAGATAATCTGAAGCGAAGAAGTGAAGACAACTTGAAGTGAAGAAGTGAAGAGAACTTGAAGTGAAGAAGACAAGAGAACTTGAAGTGAAGAAGTGAAGAAGTGAAGGTGGTGAAGTAAAGAAGTGAAGGTGAGTGAAGTGAAAAAGTGAAGAAGGGTGAAGGGAGATGTGTTGGAGGGAAGTGAGTGCAAAGTGAAAACAAAACATAATGACGCGGCCTAGACGTGCCTAGACGTGTTTGGCGCCGCACGCAAACAGAAGAGGTTGGTCAAGCCACAGTGGTAGAATCAATAAAGCAGTCTCGCTGTGCCCAAAGCCACGCAACCTCTGCCTCTAGTTGCGCTTCCTTCATGCAGATGACTCAAAGCCAAGAAAACAACGTTCATCCAGTCAAATCGGAAGGCGAGACCACCAACATATACATAAAGACCTTGGGATCCCCCGCTGTAGTGTTTGCTTTTTCTCACACCATCATCAACAACCGTTAATTATTGACAAACATCAACAATCGTTAACAGACAACAACCATCAACAATCATCAACAACCACCAACAAATATCAGCCATTCTTCGTACGTATTGCTTTCCTCACCATCAAAAATCGACATTAAAATCCCCAACGGGGTGACTGAGCCAAGCTTGGTAGCCGTTAGGGTACATTGTTTTGAATCCATTCCGTTGGTCTCATATGCAAACAATAACTCACGTTCGTCTCAACAGCAGGCAGGGGGTCATGTCTCTAGTAGTCACTGATCTGGACAAAAGACTAGTTCGGTGTCATGCTGAGAGAATTGAGCGGTTCTGAGGCATGAGATGTCTTAATGGTGTTCAGTATCCTGTAGAGAGTCTATATCCTTGGAACTATTTGTTATCATTCAATGATCGAATCAATGTAGAATTGACAAAACCGCATCTATGACTTGAACACTCCTCTCCATGTTTGGTCGCCTGATCAATATGGGGACGGTGACTAGGCATCGCCTTGGAACTAAAGGAAGGAGGGGCTGATACGGAACCGCTGTCAATGAAAATGCCAGTGATATCAAGAGATTTGTTCTAGTCTACTACACATTTAATTCTCAGTTGACAACTAGTGGACTGAGGATGGATACACCTTGGACGTGGGGGCGGGGGCCATCCTAGACTGGGGTCTTTTCGTGTGTAATTACTGACATGGGGGACAAGGGGCCATCCACAGGACAAAGATGATCACGAGATCTACACAAATCGACAAGGTGGGCCAACATGTGCATATCCGCCTCTTTACTTCATTTACCGTGTCTCTTCCCCTTACTTCCCCTGGGAAAGCTGAAGCCACGTCGTGGGTCACTGGCTATTATTGGACACTCCGTGACGCCTCCTAACTTACCGCCATTCTATGTCGCCACACTACTCTACATTCGAAGTTGATCACCGGACTTGGATGGGTGGCGACGATATACAAGGGGTAGTAGTACTGTTGGTGGGAGGTTTAGATAAATTGCGAACGTTGCCCAGCTTCGTTCTGAAGACTCTCTGTTCTCGTGCGTTTATCATCATTTATATTTCTACCCATCTTCCAATTAGTAATTACTACCTAGCAGTCCCAAGATGCCCCCTGGTACAGCCCCCAAGCGCTCCTACTCTCGTACAGATGCCGCTGTGCGGGTAGAGTATCCCAAAGATCATGAGCTTCCCGCAAGTCATCCGGTGGATGGGCAGGGAGGCCAGTTCTCAAAGCCAACGTTAGCATCGCTCTCCCTGGAGGACAAGGTTATTGTCATCACTGGAGGTGCAAGAGGCCTTGGACTAGTCATGGGCCAGGGTGTTGTTTACTCTGGCGCTTCCCTAGCAATTGTCGACTTGAACAGTAAGTCATGTTTCGCTCTGGTCATCGATTGCCGTTCACGATATTTTTTACTGACCAACATCGTAGAAGAGGATGCCCAGTCTCAGGTCGGACAACTCATTGATGCATTCAAGAAAGAGAATCCTGGGCGTGACAAGTAAGCAAGCCACATGACCATATCGACACTGATGAAGTAGACGTTTCTCACATTAAGGAAATTCGATCCAGGATCCCCAAGGTCACTGCACATTATGCGGATGTATCCGACCAGGCCTCAGTAGATAACTGCGTCGCCGAGATCCTTCGTGAACACGAAAGAATAGATGGCCTCGTCACGTCGGCAGGCTTCACGGAGAACTTCGATGCTATCCATTACCCGATTGAGCGTATGCGCAAGCTCTGGGGCGTCAATGTGGATGGTACCTACCTCTTCGCAGTGGCTGTTGCCAAACATCTCATGGAGCGTAAATCCAAGGGCAGCCTTGTGTTTATTGGCAGCATGTCGGGTTCGATTGTTAACGTCCCCCAACCACAAGCGTAAGCCAGCAGACACCCTGAACGTCACTTTCCGGGGAAGGAATATCTTATCTAACTCAAACGAATTTCGCAGTCCCTACAACGCTGCAAAGGCAGCTGTTCGTCATCTAGCAGCGTCTCTCGCTGTTGAGTGGGCACATGCGAACATTCGAGTCAACTGTATCTCTCCCGGTTACATGCTGACGGCTTTGTAAGTGAAGGCTTAGTTGTTTCTTGTGGTCTTGTCTAATCAGCTCTTAGGACGCAAAAAATTCTCAACGACAACCCGGACCTGAAAAAGACGTGGGAGTCGCTCATTCCACAAGGGAGGATGGGCAACCCTGAAGATCTCATGGGTCCGGTCACTTTCCTGCTCTCTGACGCATCGTCATATGTAACAGGATCAGATCTCCGAGTGGATGGTGGCTACACTGTTACATAGATGGAAAGGCTTGATTTGACAACGTGTGTGCTGAGATAAAAAGAAGAAAGTCTAGAGTCTTTCTGCGATTTTGTAGACGAGGACTTCGTAGGTAAACATGGATGATGCCACCTACTCCGATGCAGTTCCAAACGCCACGTTCTCTAGTGAGTCTCCAATATGTGTATGGCTATTAAGGCTAAATGAGATCACAGTGGCTAGAATGATATTCTTGGGGGGGTAAATCTCAAAGAGTCTCGAGGGGCAAGAGGCAGCAGCATTCACCGGCTTCCACATCTTAGTACGTAGTTTGATTAAGCTTAAATAACAATCTGCTAAAACTACTACGTAGATTTGAATGATGTCACTACGTAAACTTAATGAATGTTGCGGATGAAAGGGGCTTGGGCTAATGCATCCCGCTGGATCCTCCAAATATTCCTTCCCAATCGAACCAGCTCCGGGCCGAAATTTTCAAGCTCAAGATATTCCTCTTTCTTTGCGTTCTCGGCGTGACATAGATAGTCTTCCTTTTTGCCAAATGTTGTCATATTCCACATCTTTTTCCACTCAGTGATTGCTTGGATGGCATTGTCGTGCTGGCTTTGCACATGAGTTGCGACCATGTAGAAGGAAGACCGAGTGCAATGAAATTTCGAGGGCTTAAACAACTTCACGTTAGAGAATTTGCAAAATCTCCGTATCACAGCCACCGTTCTGTAGGCCTCGAGTTTGTGGAGAAGAACGACCATTGTCCCAAGTGGCTGCAGGTGCTCTAATCCAAGAACTAACTGCGTGGTATGTAGCCTTACTGCCTCTTGGCTCTCTCGATATTCAGGGCGGATATGAGTTCGAAGGACCTGGCCGTCGCACAAAACTAGATCAAATCTGTCTGTTGGTTGGAGTTGTCTTTCGATAAAACCATCAACCTCAGGGTGCGAGGCTGGGATAGTATCCGTTCCCATATCAGCTGCGAGCATAGTGACGTCGAGAAGTCTACATTCAACCCTCTGAGTTTGGCGTAAATACACTTCGTGGCCGCCGTGGGAAACTGGAAGGCTGAATGCTAGAGCTTCAGCACCGGGAGCTTTCTGCAATGCCGTATGGAGATATCCGCCTGGAGCCATGCAGAAATCTAGAATTCGAGGCTGGCGGTCGCACGATGGGTTTATAGAAAAGGCACCCGTGGTAGTGTGAAGTTCCTCTGCAATCTGCTTCATCATGCGGAAGAACCATTCACTGGTCTTTTTATCTGGTTTGTCGGCATTCTGACGTTGTTTCTTGAAGAAGGCATCACCTTTGGGGTTGTCCCATCCCTAAGATGAGGTCAGTCACTAAATGCCTGGTACTAGAGTGATCCAGAACGGCTGACCTTGCGACGGAGGTCAGTAAGTTCGCGAAACTCTGAGACCCTCTCTAAAAGGTACTGAGTAATTAATCCTTGGATTGATTCCTCAGCACTAGGCTGGTCAAGCTGACTTGAGGCAAGAGGCTCTGTCATGATCGAAATCGGGCAGTGTGAGGAAGGACGAAATGGTGTATGGCTGGACAAGAAATCCGGCGAAAAAGACTCTTAATATATTCCTTTCCAAGGATTCCTACCCCTCATAATATCACGTTATCGAGCATGAGAAGATAACAAATGACGTAAAGGTAGGCCTCCTGCAGATGGTTTCTATCGCGTAATTGGCTGAGACTTGCACAGCGCTTGAGTGAGATGAAATGCAGATCAGGTAGAGACAGCCGAAAGAATTTCATGTTAAAGAGCCGGGGCTTCATCTAAATAGCTCATCACTGAAAGACACTATATATGAGACTATTGCTAGGTTCCTTTACAGGATGGAGCTGTGAATACTCTATACTCTGAATTCTATACGAAAATCAGTTGTTCAGTATACCACATCCAGAGATCACTTGGGCGCATCCACTCAACCTCCTCACGGGCTAGCACCTCCTTCGCCATGGCGTGCTGTTTTGATCTTGTGTATCTCAACGCTTCCTCCGCTGCCTTCAATAGCCGTGGGGAATCAGGCTCCTCACGAACCGGGTGATCACGGGGCTGTGATATATCTCTGACGATTTTGTCAAAGAGGACAGCTGCCGTATCCTCCCCCTCTGGTTCCCTGCTCCTGATCATATCAGCCAAATCCAAACGCATCCATAGAAGACAAAGGTTATTCTGCTCAGGCTCAATTTGAATCAAGACCCCCATGAGCGTGTCCCTAGCCTCAGGATACGAACCACTTGCGGCCAAGAGAAGCCCTTTTAGGTGTGACACCTGACAGGATCGCTGAAAATGGGATGCAAGACACCCGCTTCGTTCCAACTCTTTAACGCTTTCCCAGGCATGTTTTCCCATACCAAGCTTATGATATGTCTTGGCTAAGAGAATTTCCGCGTCCAATCTCGATATGTCAGTCGGCGATCGGGACGCGCGAAGGACGGGAAGACTCTCCTCTACAAGGAATAAAGCCTCCTTCGAACGATCCACGAACAAGAGCAGGTCTGCCAATCCTATCCGAATATTGACAGCAAATTCATCGTGTGGCCCCTCATCCTCAAGCCGTTTCTGCAAGCAATCCTTCCATATCCGTAGTGCAGCCTCAACATCACCGAGTTGCGCCAAACTCCTCCCATACCAAAGTTGGGCAGCGAGATATGACCAGCTAGCGGGACCCCGCGTGTTTAGAAACCCTTCCCTTGTTGAATGAAATACTACTCGTGAGGCTTCAAAATCTGCCATGAAGTACTGGCTCTCGCCGCAATAATGCTGGGCATTTATGGACTGTATGCTCTGCTCCCCAAACATTTTCTTCTGCAGTGGCACAAGCGCAGAGTAGATATCGAGAGCCTCTTTCATTTTACCATCTCGGAGGTATGAAAATGCGATCGTAGATTTGTTCCTCAAAACGACTGGGTGGTCAAGAGGCACATGCTTCTGTAATATAGACAAAGTAATGTCAAGAAGATGATCATGCTCCCGTATTAATCCAAAGTTCAGGTAGTGGCCACAAAGGCTAATACGAGCAAGGCATTGGTTCAATGGCGTCGAAGGTTCACATGCTTCCATTAGCCTCGAGTATGAATACTTGTAGCAATACTCCAAGTCCAGCTCGGCGCGCTGAGAATCTGGAAGCGACAGCTTCCACATCTTCAATCGATCCAAAGGGCCCGTGACCCCTATCAACGCCCCAAAAGCTGATGTACTGTACTCGCACCAATGGGTGAATTGTAAAGTAGACAAGAATTTCCTGACAGCGACTATGAGCCGGTCGCTTGGTCGCGTAGCCTCGCAAAGATGTACATGCCAATATTTAGCGGCATAGTTGTAGAGATCTTTGCCAATACCGGGTACAGGATCAGCTGAGTACTTGGAAGGATCGTGGTTCCTTGTCAAGTAAGCTAAAATAGCTTGCAGCTCTGCATATTCTCTTCTTTGAAGCACGTTAAGACAAATTTCAGCTATAAAGTTATGAGGGTGGGAAACGGAATGGTCAAGTGATGGCACTCCACTGGATTTCCTGGACTCAATAATAAACTCTCTAGCAGAGGGGTGAGAGAACTGAACACAGTCTCCCTGTACTGAAATTAAAGGTCGACATATACGGGAAATGATGTCGCCAGGTCGGGTTTCCGAAAGCTGTAATGCGTCCCTGAGCTCCAGCACGCTGAGAACTCTCCGGGCATGAAGCGTGATAGTGAAGATATTCTCCTGGCAGTTCTTTAGGTCGTCGTCCATCCACGCTGAACTTTCATCCAATGCCGTTGAGTAAAACTGTTCAACGGACGGAATTGGGTGATCAAGCCGCTGATGGAAGCTATCCAGATCTGGTGCATTGGCCAGGTGTTCGAGAAATAGTTTAGCCCACCAGAATGACCCTTGAGAATGTTCTTTGATATGTTCTATGGTAGAAGATCTTTCCGTGGCATACAGACTCAGCTGCTTGTATTCCAAGTTCGAGACTCTGATAACATCAGCCAGTAACAATCCGCATGATAGCTGAATCACCAGTGCGGAGTTCATCATATCATAAAATTGCGGCTCAGGTCTGGAAAAAATAACAAGTCTTCCCGAAGACATGGACATAACGTTTTGCAAGAACTGAACAAATTTTCTAACACAGATTGGAGAATAAACATCCTTGGTCAAGCATTCGTCCAGGGCGTCTAAGATCAGATCGCAGTCTCGTCCATCCAGCAAGAGATGCTTAGTTGCGCCTAAAAGCTCTTCAAAGGAACATTCCTGTGGCCCGAGAGGGTAACGGTTAGCGAGCTTGGTTATGGGAGCTAAGACAGCTGACTCCATGTTCACAGATGTTCCAAGGATCTGCATCATGAGAGACGAGAGGGCCGAGTTGATCATGTATTGTGCTGTCAGCCCAGATCGACGGAATCCGTAGAATATTGTTCTTCTGCCAGATTTATCCAGATAGTGTCGGAGGAAATTAGCCATTGTAGTCTTCCCACGGCCTATTTTGTCTCAGATTAGCGTTTCCTTAATAATAATTATTTAACAGTGCTTTGTTCATCTAGGTACCTTGCAATCCTTCAATCCATAGAACTTGATGGTTCAGTCCATAAAGCCATTGAGAGAATACAGGATGTTGAGGCAGCCATTCGCAAGTGCCGCTCGCTGGTGGCTGGTGAGGGGAAACTGCAGTCACTCCTTTCAGAAGCCATTCCTTTGACTCTTTTAACTGGATCGTTTCTAAATTATAATGAGAATCTCCAGAAGAACTCGATATTTTGAAATAGGTCGAATATACCTGGTATGTTCAGGAGTTTCTCGCTGATCGAGGGAAGAGCTGCACATAGATGTTAAGGATCTGGACGCCCAAACGAGATAGCAGAATAATAATACCTGCCAAGGCATTTTTCGATGTCTCTGTATTCTTAGCGATATACGACATCTGATGTTGCATTCCCAGTATTGTTTCTGCGGCACACAATTAAGCCAGTGATCAAATTAATGTTTCTATGTTTGTTTTATTAACGTACCTTCCAGCCGCTGGGTAATAACAATGTCCCGATCAGTATTTTCCATTATCCGGGAAACATTTGCCGTCATCGTTTGAAATATTTCCAACACTAAGACTGATTTAGAATGTTTGCATTACAGAGGATAGGGGATCGAGATAAACTACCTTCCCGAGTGGCTAAGCGAGTAACGTTAGTTGAAGACGTTGATTTTATGAAATGTGATTTCTCGTATACCTCGAGTGCTGATTTCCTTATCGACCAGATCGGATGCCTCCTTCAATCTGTTGGCTTTTTGCTGGAACTCGTCTCCCTTGGGACTGAAAATGTTTGCTCTCAACTTGGCTACAAAATGGATGAGCTAGTCAGAGACGTTCTGTGCCGAGTGAAAAGAAAAAGAAGAAAAGGTAAGGAAAGAGCCTCACAGAGCTTGGTCCTTTCGAGCCATAGAGTTGCTGATATCAAAAAGTCTAGGATCTTCGTATATAACGAAATTATGGACTCCCTTACAGGATCCGAGTTTAACAGACACGATATCTTTGATGTCTGCTCCCAGCGGTCCAAATGAACTAATATCTGAAGAATACCTTCCACAGCAATAGAAGTAGCCTTTTCCGTCTCTTCGATGATCTAGATGGATGAGAAATGTCTTCATATTCCACTGGGTGGGTCAAAACTTGCCTGAAAAATCTTCCTCACTGATCCTAAGATCAAGTTTCCCATTTGGGGATTGCATTGGGTGAAAATGTTAATAGCACTGGCATGCCCATTGAGTAGTCGAAGTATCTTCTGAAGAGAATTGCCGAATGGGCCCTGCTCCTTGTTCAAACCATTGGACACCTGGTGTGCAGCAACGGCAAGAGAATTGACGTCTATGTCATCGAATCCACTATCTTCGATGTTGATGAATCTTTCGTCTGCAGCCCCTCTTTTAAGAGAGTCATTGTGTTGCTTCCATCAAATGAACGTAGTTAGTTGGCATTATCTTGCATGAATGGAACCTTCAGTAAGAAACATCCATACGACGTACCTTTACCGCATCCTTCCATAGCAAAGCACCCATCCGTTGGATGCTGTTCATCTGAACGATCGACATTATTAGTGTCTTGGTACATTCATGAGGATTCATCTACATGTCCTCTTAGTGCAGGCAGAAATGTTGCACAGACATTAATAAATATATAATACCTCACACAAATCATTGGTATAGGCCAACACACACAATAGTGGGTTTCTTTCTATACGACGCTTGTGCAAATTGATGCAGATATTGTTGCTGCCTCACACCGTGGCCGCCTCACGCCTTACAGGAGGCGAAGCGTTGCTGGCATCCTCCTTACAACTCTCGCTGTGGTTGACATCTTCGGTAATGTGGAACCTTCCTGGTCGGGCACAAAAATGTTGCAATTTACAGGTGCCACGTCGACAGCCGTTTCGGTGCGTGCTGCAAGACACCTCGCCACCGCAGCTTAACCATTTCCCGGCCTCGATGCCCCGGGACCGCTGATACTGAGGTCTAGAGCACGTGGCTCGTTATGCATATTGCCTCTATATACTTCTGCAACCCATTTATTTATTGTCCGCAGTTCCTTGGTCCCAAAGTGGTCACGTTGGTTGTGCACTGCGCAACTTCCAGCATTCAAGTGGTTATAGACAGGGTCATCCTCCCTGTTGTCTGTTCTCAATCATCGATCACCTACGATGAAATATGTATCATGCCACATCAAACGATATGACACTGCCACAGGATAATTTGAGGACGGCATCTGGGCCTAATACGCCGAAGCCAGACTATCCTGGTCCAAAACCTATCCCAAACCCAGACCCTCAACCTAATGTAAGTAGGCCCCTCAGTGAGTGTGTATTATTTTCCTATATCTTACCGAGATCAAGTGCCGTTCAGCTTCATGCTACATCGACCTAAGCAATATCAAGTCCAAATTTCCCAATCTCACGGCTCTGCCTCGCCCGGAGCCTAGCCAGAGCAGAGCAGCCGAGCACACTCTCTGGAAGGCTGAATTCGAGCAATGGGGTGGCCTCCAATGCGGCTGTGGAAATGGATATTTTTGCCGTGAGCATGGAGACTGGATCTCAGGTGGCGAGGTCCGGCACGGACACGCATTGCCTCGTGGCGATCAGAAGAATGGTTGCTGCCCAACACACCACTATCAAGGTATGATAGGCATAATATTCATGCTGCGTTGACTGATAAGTGAAATGAAAGCTGAACAATCTCACATGTTTAGGCCCTAGTGGAAGAGACAGCTACGTTGGTCAGAGGGACGGGGCTCGATCTTGAAGTGCGGTAGGTGAGCAGTGTTACCACAGGTGCCTCGAGGATTCAAAATGCAATATCTTTTCTTTTTCTTTTTCCTCTTGTTTTCTATTTTTTGTAAGACTGATGCTTTTTTGCCTTTTCTTAGTCCCATCAATCAAGTTTTTAGTGCTTACGGCTCCGTGATAAAGCTGCAAGAATCGAGTGAGAAATTTAATTGATTGGCTGAAGCTGGTCATGAGACCATGCTGAGACTGCTACGTATGCATGCATCAAGCCTCATTCCCATGGGGTGGTTGGGTGGTATCCAGAAGTGTCAGAAAAATAGTGACTACAGAGTCACCTTGATATACATTGTGGCAGACAGTCACATTTTCATCATTCCTATTGTGCAATAATAAGCATAATATTCCTAAGTAATTACATAATAATCTCTTCTGATTATTATTATTACTAGCTATTAACTATCAATATTGTGGTCTATATTAGACACTTGGGATCCAAACATTTGCAGTCTCATTCTAACACTCACTTGTCAGAACACAACGGTGTCACGAGGTTGTCTATCATTTCCCGAACAGGCATTGGGTCAGTGTTCACTACAGTAGGTATCATCATCACACATTGTGTGGTGGGGTGCTCCCAACCATCGTCTTATGGGGCGTAAACGTGGTTCGCAAATGTGGTTCGCAAAGCAATGTTAGAAGCAAGATCGAAGTTAAAGGCAGCCTCTAAATATATACCAAACATGAGTCATTGCCTATAATTTAGGAGGCTGTATCAATATCGGAACTATGGTCGTACGAGGGTAGAAGCCAGCCATATATCGCGTATAAGGGTAGTGTTTATCTAATGATCAAGTTTGATTTTCGTGTACCAGCCTCAAAATACTATTGGACCGAGACACACCTTTCTAGGAGAGGTAATGAGATTTGGCATCACCTCGTCTCCGCCCCTATTTCCGCTTGCATATCCGCCTATTCAGGCTCGAAATAAATGCCCAGAACGTGGTCTACCTATAATCATAATGGCGAAGGGTTTCCCGGTCCCGTCGCGGCCCCCTCCAAGGGGGCGGCATGTTCCCTCGAGAAGAATTCCCCTCCACACCGCTCTATTGCTAGCCACCACAATTGCGGCCAGCTACTACATTTGGGCACGATTATGGGCTCATACATTGCCTTGCCATAGTCTAGCTCGGGCTCTAGAGACGAGGCCGTCTCATTTTTACTCTCCATATGGTCAATTCCCTATCAAAAGTGACCCTTTCCAGTTCATCCCTTGCACCAGCACCTCGCTGCTACCCTCCCTCGATGACGCCAACCCGCGTCAATCTTGGGCTGCCTCGTTCGACCCTGATCCTTCCCACTGGAGCTGGGGCGCTCTGAGCCAAAACGAGCGTGATGTTGACGGCCAGAGAGGCGCTCATTCCAACCGTGGTATATACCTGTGCGGGTATCTCGACCTGCCACTGAACACTTTCAATGCCTCGGACAGTCGCATTGTGCGTATTGCCATCACCAAGTACCAAGTGTCGGGCCTTGTGCCCGTCGGCCACCAGGCTGGAATCTTCAACGACGTGAATGCACCTGCAAAGCGCAAGTCAAAACGGACAATCATCATCGAGCCAGGCGGTCCTGGTGCTAGCGGGACTGGCGAGCTCTGGCACGCTGGCGAAGTGATTTCCAAACGATATAGCAACGGCCAGTACGATGTCCTCGGCTGGGACCCTCGAGGCGTGAACGCTTCCCTTCCGTCATTTTCATGCTACCCACACGATACCTTTCGGGATCGATGGTCCTTCTTCAAGGGTCAGTATCGTGCGGAAGTTGCCTCCCCTATGCAACATCTTCGAATTTATGATGCCATGAACAATGCAACATTTTATGCTTGCCACCAGATCCATGGCGACTTTGGCCGCTTTGTGGACACGACATTCTCCGCACGAGACTTGGAGGAAATTCGCAGAAATCTGGGCGAAGATGAAGTTACCGGCTATTTTATCAGCTATGGAGCAGCCATCGGTGTCGTCTATGCCAATCTGTTCCCTGACAGGGTCGGACGAATACTCTTAGACGCAGCTCAGTACGTCAGAGACCAACGGAAACTCGGAGGCTATGCCACATCCTCGCTTTACAACGTAGTCGACACCTGGCGTGACGGATTCCTAAGAGAATGCCTCGAGGCCGGGCCCGATCACTGCGCGCTTGCAACGCCGGTTGCCGAGTCATCAGGGCCTACTACACTCAAGGAGCTTGAAGCTCGCATGCAGCGCCTGTTCAATTCTTTGATTGAACAGCCTCTGTCCGGGTACTCGCCGATTTCAGGGCCGGCTATTGTTACGTACTCGCAAGTCGTCTTCTGGATTTACATATGCATGTATGAGCCAAAGAGATGGCCACTCACCGCTCAGATCCTTCGTGAGCTAGAGGCTGGCGATACTACTCTAGCAATATCCAACTTTGAGGGACGCTGGTACAACAACACATATACAGGACGTAAGGAGTCCTCCGAAGAATTGTTCTTTATGGTTGTCTGTGCCGATGCGTTCGACGACCCCCCGCCCCAGGATGGCCTTGGCTGGTGGGATGAGTTCTGGGCAAACTCCTCAGATCATTCTTGGATCGCGGGCAGCTTCCGGTTCACGGAGGTTTTCGCTTGCCGGCACTACCAGACCTACTGGCCCAACCCGCCAGGAGTGTACCGGGGCGATCTGAATCACACATTGAGCAATCGGGTCCTCGTCATCTCTGGGACGCATGATCCTGCGACCCCCTTGAAGAACGGCCGAGATCTAGTGGCGGAAATGGGTGACAACGCTCGCTTGATTGTTCACCACGGGTATGGACATGTTTCAGGTTCAGATCCATCAGACTGCACTGATGGCCTAGGGAAGGATTATATTCTCCATGGCACTCTGCCAACAGACGAAGAGACGCACTGCTTCCCGAATCACAAGCCATACGTGGGTGGCGCTGGGGTTTCTTAGAATAGCATCCCTGGCCGGCCAGTCAAAATCTCATGTGTTCATCAGATAATTTCAGGTGCGTCTAGCATTTGGGGTCGGATCCGCTCGGTGAGATGCTCGTTGAATTCGCTAGTTCAAACATAATTGACTATTGTATGTAGAGCATGGGCGGAGTGACAGGTTGCATACATATGCGGGAGTTTTCTTATTATCCAGAGACCTCAGTTGCTGTTGTGATGACTTCTCTGAGATACACCACTGTCTTCGCCACAGATGTGAAGTATCAAAGAGTCCTAAGGCGGAGCAAGTTGAAATACCCCATTTGTCGCAAAGATTGATATATAAACATATATAACTCTATTAGTACTAAGATAGTGCTCTAAAAATGCATTGAACAGGCCAGTGGGTGACACTGGAAATAGCACACCTAAGCACTCCCTTAGCATATACTCAATCTATTATCTTTTAGAGCTTGCTATAGAAATCTAAAATAAATTGAAAGAAAGTTAGTATTCTCTGATCTCTAATTATAATAAGCTACTTATTGAGATATTAGATATGTATTTGGTTGGCTATTTGGGTGATTATTTGGGTCTTCCTTTGGGTGTGCCATTTCCAGTGTCACCCACTTGACAGGTTACTTCTTTAGACCAGCGAGAATTCCTTGAACGTTGGCAAATTTGAATTCCTCAATGGTCTCTTTCCACAAGCGTTCCGCGACCTTCTCTCCGCTAGATATATAAACGAAAGGTGCCATACTAGATGCATTCACGTCAGCTTTACCAACATAGAAGAAGAAAGAGTGTAGAGGGTCGGGGAACGTACGGTTTTACACGCTGCTGCGATAGATACTGTCCATGTGACTCTGAGCCATGCTTGACAGCGGCATCAGTAATGTGACGGGCCCCTACCGAGGAGGTATAGCCGATCCTGCGCTGGAACATAGCGACAGTCTTGCCTAGAACACCAACTGCAGCGTGTCGATCGAGCTCTGAGTCATGTACCATGCCCGGGGTTGCGACGTTGATGACGGCAACAGAAGCAGGAACAAGAGGCCCCAACTTGTGAAGGAACAGCTGGTAGAGCAGCTTGGTCACAAAGTGCCGGTCGGTAAAGTTCCAACCGTCCGGCTTGTCGAGGGCAGGCAGGAGTGGATCGTTATCCTGCTCTACGAACTTCGTCCAGGCGGCGACGTCGGATCCTGTAACGGTGATGCGGGCAGGTTGGCTTTCAGGTTTGTCCTTGATAACGCCGGCCATTAGTATGGTCAGCAACGCCGTGCCGAGGTAGTTGACCTGGACGGACTCGTCGTGGCCCGTCTCTGGGTTGAGAGTCTGCTTGACTGGCATCATAGCGGCGTTGAGGACAACAATATCGATTCGCTCGAGTGATCTTGTACGTTCGGTAAACGCCATTATTGAGTCGTACGACGAGTAGTCGAGGAGCCATACTTCGATGGCATCTTTGGGGAGAGACCTGCCCCTGGAGAGTTCGGAGACGGCGGCGTTGCCCTTTTGTTCGTTACGTACGGCGAGGATGAGCTTCGTAAGACCAAGGTCGAGGAGCTGGCGGGAGGTCTCGAGGCCGATGCCTGAGCTGGAACCGGTGACGATGGCCGTCTTTCCGTCAAGTTTGACACCAGCTACGATGGACGGGGTGTAGAACAGTTGTCGTCTGATATAGCTCGAGGCGCTACCCTCCTCGGACGGGGAGACGTCGAACTCGGGGTTACTCGTCATGATTTTCGTGGAAATTGCAACTGTTTCTTTGTGTGTTTGACTGAATCTCGGTGAAATAGGATGAGGTTGAACTGTGGTATAGAAAGGGGCTCTCTAAGTAGATCAAGATAAGGCTTAAGTATTCAGCTCACAGTTATAGAAGATATTGTGGAATAATGGCTCGGATATATCGGATTCATGGTAACCAGCTGGCAGATAACGACTAAAGGATTGCAGTCCACGACTTGCAGTCATCGTTGGATCGTTCGCCATGACTGAACCCAGTCCTTCGCTATATTTAGTTGACCAAATCAACTCCGCTGACCTAGCGAATTCCATTCTTGGAATACAGACGTCATCTCCGCCTCCTTAGATCTTTGGCACGGCAGTTCCACGGTGTAAGATTCTTTTTCAGGGGATGTGATGATATTGACCCAGCGGACCAAAGTGGAGACTGTCTATCTGACAACTGAAAGAATGACAATTAGGCCATGTCTTTCTACCAGGCATAGATCTTTCCTCTTACGCAAAGGTCTTCCTGCTCTCTCATTGATAGATTAAAATGAACCATATTCCTATGTCTTGCCGTTTCTAGGAAACGCTCGGTGCCGAGGTTCTACGATCTATCCACAGCGGCATTTCATCGTTCGGTATATATATTCCCACTAGCCGCTTCCAGGCAATGCTAGGAAGGTGGAAAGTCCGCTCAGTCGAAGAGGTCCACTTTAGAACCCCAGGGGTCTAAAATAACAACCACTCAAGCCTGGGGTGGTCACGGCACTAAGTGAATTCCTTCTACCCAGAAGTGGAGGAGAACAAAGAAAAGGCTACATGAGACAAGGGCTTCTGAATCTTTAATTTAGAATCATTCTGTTTTAAGACTCACCATATATGGCTAGTCTGGAGATGGCTCTAATCTACCTATAGTGCAATAACAAGAAGCCCAGAGCGAGTATAAACTTGAAATAATCGGTCATCTGGATTTTGTTCACAGGCAAGGTTGGATTGATGCTGAAATTACAACCCCTGCATCCTTACTTGATTCATATCCTTGGCAATTCAGACAGTGGTGTCTTGTTAGTTTCATATATCTCACAGTAAGCCCACATTGCCCCAGCCCATGATGAGAGCACTCTTATTGGATGACGCTTGAATCCCTCCATTTGTTGGGTTGTGATGCGGTACCAGCCAGGTCAGTGACTGATTCTTCTCCTAATCTGATCCTTGGGAGCTTAGGCTACAATCAACGGCGATTTAAATAGCTGACCTTTCCTCATTATTACTTCCAAAGCATACTTTTATCATTCCTTATTCTAGATTCCGTCTATCGAATCATATTTCTCTTTCCAGTGTTATCTAACGTTCATAGAGCTAGCACCACATCGCATCCAAAGAGATGATGACTCGCATCGTGGGACAAAATCGACTAGACACGTTCAACTCGCTGTCCACGTGGAACCTTTTCCTCAATTCCATCCTTCCAGGTCTCATTGAAGTATTTGTTACTGCCACCAAGATCTGAAGCAGAGACCGTCCAAACCCAGGCTTCACCACTGGCCTCCACTTCAGCTTACTTCTCAAGGCATAGTTTCTATAAGTTGTACAGCTGACAATTTCAATCTTCTTCGGTCTTTTTGTTCAGTTTCTTAGGGACCCTGACCAGCCAGTAAATATCAAACGTCACCGGCAACTTGGAGGCAACATAAGCCCCCATAATGCCCACATTTCGCAAGCAACACCCAATCTCGGTCCATTGTGGGCTATGATTGCGTCTTCATTGGCGATCAGGTAAGGTTTGCAGTGTTGGTGTCCAAGATGGAGCACAGCACCACCGGCTCGCTCGGCATGAGCTTCCAGATACTGCCTGCATATCATGACACCTGAAAGGCTTCCAGGGAGATTGATATTGAGTAGTTGGGTATCCGAACCAGTGACAGCCGCATAATCAAGAGCGACATGTGCAAACCCTTCGGTGAAGGATGTCAGGCGGATTTCGAGATATTTATCAATCAGGTCGATACAAAGTTAGCTAATTTACATTGTCTGATGTAGGTAACACATGTAGAGAGAGTTTTTTCCTAATTATACCACTGAATTCATGCAAAATAAAAATTCTACGTGGTTAGTTCTCCAAGTTCGAACTACAGGACCTTCACTCTGGCAAAGGGCATGTCAGGCTGCCTGAAGATCTTCTCTGTAGCAGCCATGCTCCTCATTTCCTCCGGCAGGTCAGTGAACTCAAAATTGAGAATCAGAAGCGTCACGAAGATACGAAGTTCCAATGTCGCGAGTTTGCGGCCTATATATGTCAGCGCTTGTCGAATTGCGGGATGGGAATATGAACTTACCAGTACAGCCTCTGTAACCGCCACCGAACGCGAGGGATGGGATAGCATAACTATTGAACGTCTCCTTCCCTGTGTCTGGGTCCTTAACCAGGTATCTTCTGGGTTCGAACTTATCCAGGTCGTAGCCAGCTCGTCCACGGAGTCCGTCTCCATGCTTAGCTGCTGCTGCCCGACAGCTGTCTGAGCGCTTCGCTTCATCCACGGGAGCTGGTGGTCGGTTAATATGATAGTTCATGAAGATCTCGGCACCTTTGGGAATGTTGTAGCCTAGAATCGAGGTGTCCACGAGGGCTTGGCGCAGATTTCCCTTTGCTGCACCTGCAAGACGGAATCCTTCTTCAACCACGGCGTCCAGATAAGGGACATCCGTTTCGATGATGGCTTTAGCAGAAGGGGGTTCAGGGCCGGGGAATGCAGCTCGAAGGACGGAGCGCAGCTCGCTTTGGACGGCTGGATAAGCCTCCATGAACCGGACAAACCAACACAGAGTATTGGCTGTGGAGTCGTGGCCCTGGAGAAGGGGTTTCAATAGTTAGCAATGGCAAAGATGAAAATTGAAAACTAATAATCCTGGTGTCTAACATACCCCAACCAGCATAATGAAAAGCTCGTCTAGCATATTCTGGTCTTTGGTCGGATCAATAAGAGGGGCATTATTATTCTTCCTGGACTGCAGAACAAGACGACGAAGTACCAGGTCCAGCATACATCGGTCAGTATCACCGCTGTTCAAAGTCTCCACGTCGAGATCCTGGAATCGCTTAATAGCAGCCGCCATCAGCAGGCTAATCTCCCTGATGACGGTGGAACGAAATCTCCGATACCTGGGTGTATACGTCTCAATCTTTCCGGCCCATTTTGGAGAAGGGGTATTGCTGAGACGTGCAATAGTATCGGAGATGTAGCGCACCTCTTCCCTGAGGAAACCACCTCGTGGCGGCGTTGCGTCAAAGGGTATAGAGCCGTCGATCTCGCTTCGCAGTTTTCTGATAGAGTAGTCAATAATTCCTGCTTCATCTCCTAGGATGGAGACCCAGATACCGTCGAGAGTGGTGTTCTGGAGATCCTCGTCAACAGCGAATGGCTTGTCGTTGGAGACGGAGACCCTAAGACGCCAGAGCTCAACCAGCCCAAGCGTAGCCTTATGAATCCTCGGTGCTGTAGCCTTGTTCAGGAACTCAGCCGCCATCACATCAGCCCACAGGCGCTTCTGAGCTTTGAGCTCCGGAGTTGTGAACTGGGCGAGGGAGGCCTTGGGAAACATGGGCTGGAAGATACTTAGGGCCATCGGCGCCTTGTCAAACTCCTTATTACGACGAAGCAGCAGATCCTCGATCTCTCGTGGGTCCTCGAGGATAATCAAAGGCTTTCGGATGCCAGGGAAAAGAAACTGGGCGATGGGTGTGCCCAGTTTCTGGGTGGTGATCGTGAACATGGAGTTGGAGAACTCATTGGTAGTGGTGATGAGGGGAACCAGATCGGGAATGTCGCCGGATACGCGATTGGCAGAGTTCTTATTGTGAGGAATGCCTGGGTACGGCTTGGGATAAAGGGTACGAACGAGTATGATGATGACGACAGAAACAAAAGGAATAGCTACCAAGCTATAGGAGGAGAATGTACTGCTCATGATGACGGCGAGCGGCGGCTGGTCTTAACGAGCCAACGCGATTTACCAGAACGATGTTGCTTTCCGAAGTATTTTGGTATGTAAAATGGACAGATATTCATGAGAAAGAGAGCATTCACAGCGTGGGGATTGCAAATCACGGCGGATTATGGAATCTGTGGATGATGAATATAAGCAATCGGTTGGTGGCCTGTGCGGACACAAGGCGGGATGGAGGAGTCGTCATGAGTGTATTGGAAAGATCCACGCGAAGAGCCAAATAATTACCTAAATAGGTTATTTGAAGCTTCATTTGTTGGTGCCATTTCCCATGTCAGCCACCCGGGGGGGGGGGGNAGGACGATTTCTAGAACATGAAAAGAGGGGTAAGTAGTGGATTAAAAAAATGAATTTCACTACAGGCAATTCGCCTCGTTTCGTGTTTAGAATTTTAGGAGGCTGCATTTGCCTAGGTAACGTTTGAAGCGAGATATCTCATTTGGCCATACAAGACATTGACGTTAATGTAAATACCAAGTTCTCAATGATGGACCAAGATGTAGGATACTTTGGAGACCTCAGTCCCGGGTAGGTGCTTTCCTGCAGCTCCTACTCAGCAGCAGACGAGAAGTGGCTGCTGGGGCAACGAGGGCGGGGCTGACAGCTAGCAGCACCTGCGACCACCGTTGCTGACAGGGGCTCTAGCCGTACTTAGCGCTCGCATCCCCTGTAGAGTCCCCTGAGAAAACAGACGATTTGGGAGCCCATGTGGGCAGGTACCTGCGGGCCGGCAGTAAATGGCAGCGGCGGGAGGTACCGCGTCTGGTCTGTCGTGGTCGGTCGCTGCAAAAAAAAAATAGTTGATGGATCCATCCCAAGTCCGGGTTGGCTCACCACCCAAAGAGGCCTGGCTCACTTGCCCATTCAATGCATCGTCATTGCTCTTTGTCTTCTGTCCTGCATGCTGCATCCATCGGGCAGCAACCTTGCGTTCCATTCTCCCTGCGCTGTGGCCTCGACGACCAATCCGCTTCTCCCTCCACCGCTGTGCTGATAGGCTGGGCGGGCCGACCTAGCCAAGATGCACCATGTCCCACGATGAATCTCATATCCAATCTGGCCGCAGCCCTACCAACGACACTCTCGATCCCACCCAGCGACCATCCACAGCGCGGCGCGTTTCCGCCGAAGATTTCAGTGCCATCGAGCTGCCAGCCTTAGTCGACGACCTGCCCGCCGCGAAGGCCGGCCCCTCGCCCCCCCGGACACGACACGACATTCCCGCGATCTCGCTGGCTCCGCCCATGGATCTGAAGCGCGAGGATACGTCGTCGTCGGTCGCTTCCGCCGACCGAGAACAGGAGGATGGCGGCGCCATGGTAGGAAAGAAGAGTTTTGACCATCTTCACGAGAGCTACCTCGCCGCCGAGCCCATCGAGCCTAGTAGGCTCCCCGACGACTCTATGATGACCGAGGAAGCAGTGCGCGAACACCTGAGGGACGTCGAATCCAGTTTTTTACCAGCCCTGTCGCCCGTGCCCGCCGGCAAGAAGAGTATAGCCGGGGGCATCGATGATACATTTGCCTTTGATTCGCCTGTGAAGACCGATATGCCCCCTCGCGGCGCGACTCCTGAGACCCGTCCGATCGACGCGAGCAACACGACATCGAATCTCGAGGTGCTTGACTCGTCGCCCACAGCAGCTGCTGCCGCCAGAACCATAGCAAGGGTTGTGAGCTCCGCTAGCCAGAAGCAATCCCAGTTCCAGACTCGCACGGAGCACTTCGAACCCACCACCATCCCAGAAAATGGGCCTGACGATGAGGACGTAACTGGGGCTGGCGAGGGGAACGAGAGCTCCCATGCTTCGGCATCGGGTGACCAAGAAGGCTCGCTCTCTCGATCACACTCACTATCGGACCGGCGAGATGCGGCTGGGAACAGCCTCAGCGGCTCCTCGCGGGTTAAAAAGGGAAAGTATCTGCGTAGCCGCTACGCCAGCCAGAGATCGTCCACGTCGTCCTTTGCAACAAACGCAGAATCAATTGATGGGAGCGAGATCACGGCGATGGGAGCTGCGGACTACGCTCTGCAATCGGGGGGCGCTGTACCGGCACTCGGTCCATCATCGCGGAATTCAACAAACATGTTTACTCGATCTATTAGTATCGGCAGTGCAATTTCTGGTTTCGACGATGTGACAGATCCTTTTGTCGGCCAGCTCGAACCCCTGCCTGAGATTAATAGTCCCGTAAGGCAGACCCATGACGAGGATCTAGCCAAGACGCCCAAGGCTTCCAAGGAGAACCTCAACACGGCACCGACAGACACAGTCATTGCCCAACATGTGAAAAACGTCCAGGTTCCCGAGTCCCTGGCTAAGAAGTATCAGGTCCGGGGCGGACTTGAGACACCTCGCCAAACGTCATCCAACATGATTAGCAGCCTGGGATTGTCGACTGCGGGCACCGGCAGGAATGGGAAGAGCTTGACTCTCAAGGAGCAGAGCAGCACAATCGAGAGGCTATCCAAGGAGAATTTCGACCTGAAGCTCAAAGTCATGTTCTTGAGCGACCGACTCGACAAACTCTCCGAGGAGGGTATCAAGGAAATGATTTCTGAGAATGTCGACCTCAAAACCAACCTTGCGATTCTACAGCGGGACAACAAAGTACTGAGGAAACGAGTCAAAGAGCTTGAGAAGCAGATGAAAGATGAGGACGAGCGACCAAGCACAGCACGCAGCGGAACTTCCTCCACAGACCAGACGGCGAAGATGTACGATGAGGATGCCCAGGAGCGAGAGGAGGAACTGTTTTTCCTGCGGGAGCGTGTTGAAGAATACGCGACCGAGATCGAGAGACTCCGCAACGAGAACATGGCGAGCGATTTCGAGAAGAGGAAGCTTACGGAAGTTGTCAGGACCCTCGGGGACGACAGAGGTGAAGGCCTTGGTAGGCAGGAAGAAGCAGACGTTTGGAAGGACTTGCTTGAGCAAGAAACAGCAAGACGAGAACAAGCCGATGACGATAACCGCCGATTGCGAGATGAGCTTTTCCGGCTCAAGCAAGAGATATCTGGCAATGGAGGCTTGCACCACACGACCAACATCTACAACATCACTAAGAAACACCGCGAACAAAATGGGTCTCTTAGCCGCCCCATGTCGAGACACTCGGCAGATACAATGGAAATGGGATCCGCTGCTAATCTAAGTGCCGGCACAACGCTCGTTGATGAGTTACGGAAAGAGGCCGATCAGTTGCGCCACGAAAATGCAGAGCTCAGACGCGAAGTTGGGGCGCAAACGTCAATGTTGACTTCTAGGAACAGAGAAAAGGAGCGCCTGTACCAAGAGATTGAGGATCTGAAGATGGCACAGCGCCATGGTCGACCGGCACCCTCTATTGTTGACAGCCTGCTGGATCGCTCTGCCTCCCGTATTCGAGGTCATGAACGATCTCACTCAAGAAGTAGCGCCGCCCGGACGCTCATGACGACGGATGAAGAAGTGGAACGAGAGCGTGATGAGCTGGAGACCAAGCTGAATGAGGCACGTGACAAGTTAAGCGAGGTTAAGCTCCAAAACCAGGAACTACAGCGCGAGCTTGAGACATGCATGGAAGATTTTGAGGCTGCTGTCCTTGGGAAGCGAGAGGCCGAGGATAATCTCGGTGTTTTGCAGGAGGAGCTTGAAAATGCCATGAATGACCTGGTTGCCCTCCAGTCAGAGCGAGATGACGCACTCCGTGAGCAGGCTGAAATGGAGAACGAATTCGAGGCATTGCGAATGGAGGCCCAGGAAGAGATCGACACGCTAGAGGCGGAAGCAGATCAGCGAAACGAGGAGCTGCAACGCGTCCAGATCGATTTGGCAGATCGCTCAGAAAATTTCGAAGCCTTGCAGGAAGAGATGCGAAAGATGAGCGATGCTCTGGTCGGGTTAGAGGACGAGCAAGAAAACAAGCTACGGCGTATCCAGCAACTCGAGCAGGAGCTTGAATCCGGAAATAAAGAGCTCGAGGAACTTGAGGCGAAGCTTTTGGAGTCCAACGAGAAGAACCAGCGGCTAGCAGTACAGCAAGAATCCTCACAGGCAGAAATTGCCTTCCTACGGGAGGAACAGGAAGGCGACAAGATCCGAATTGGTGACTTGGAAGCGCTGGTTGCCAACCTGGAACAGAGTATCCGCGACGAAAAGGATCGTGCCAGAGAGCTCGATGCCCGCCTCGTGGAAGAACGACGACAAAGCGAGATTGTTGCCAATAAGGAGAAGGAGGATGTGCAACAAATCGTCAACCAACTGAACATGGAGACTTCACAGGCTAAGGACGAAGCGAGGCGGCTGCGTAAGAGCCTGTCGTCACGCGAGGTTGAGGCTACGGAGTGGAAGGAGAGATTGATCGAGCTGGAGAATAATTTACGAGAGGCTCTGGGTGATCTCAACGGTACTCGCTCCTCACTTCTCAAGGTCAGTTTTCCTCCGCCTCCACCGATCTACTTGATCACTCCCACGACATATATGTGCACTTATTCAAAGTGGTTTTCCTGCCTGATTTCTCCGTTTGCTAACATGTGTTACAGTCCATTGCTAAGATGCAACGTGAATTGGAGAATACGGTCCGCGAATTAGACACAGCTAAGGCAGATGTGAATGAGAAGGACCGCATCATCAAGCAGCGGGATTCTCTACTCGAGTCACATGCTCTGGAGAGCCGCAAACTTTCGGAACTGCTCGAGAAGGAGCGGATCAGCCATCGAAACACCAAGGCGCACTTCGATACGTATCAGAAAACCAATCAGCATCTATCCCGAACTGCTGGTGCGCAAGACGATCGCATTGCTGAGCTTGAAACAACACGCAGCACAGATCGGCGGAAGATTGCGGTTCTTGAGCAGCAGATGCGAGCTCAGCTTGCAGAGAGGAATCAGCTACTACTCACCTTGTGGCAACGACTGAGCGCACTCTGCGGACGGGAATGGTCGAACAGCAACACGCTCATCGATAGGCAGGTGTTACCGTCTCTCGAGGTGATTGGCAACCGACTGCCCGGGTTCTCCAAGAACCTGCTTGCCGCAGTGAAGGCGATCGAGACGATTGTGGGATCATTCCAGACCAAGATCAAGGCCGTGGAACGGGACCTGACGCGCGAGTACCAATCGCTCGAGGATACATTGGACATCCGAACTAAGAAGTTGGACCGACTGGAGACGATGGTGCGCAACACGGTAGCGACGGTCAGCAACAGCACCGATGTCAATGTTAGGATGATCCGGCTCGAGGACAGATGCCGTCAGCTCAAGGTGGAGAACGCGACGCTCAAGGCAGCCGCCGATGTTCGTTCCCGCGCAGCGTATTCGGCTGTGGGAACCAATCCCGAGGCGCTGATTCCTACCGGGGACGAGGTCGGGTCCCCCTCTCCAAGGATCCCTCGCGGACCACTGGACAGGGATCGATACTCTTCGAGTGGGATGCTGCGGCCCGGGACGGGCGTCGACTCTCGGTCTCAGACGGCAACAAGTGGAACTGAGCTAGCGCTAGCAAGCGAGAGCGGCAGTGGTGGGAACAACAACGACAACCGATGGCTGTACCGGCTACGCGACATGGAAGACAAACTTAAGATGGAACGAGAAGCGCGTAATCAGGATCGGAGAGCAGCGAGGCAGCGTCTCGGAGGCCTAGAGTCCGAGAACAAGGAGTTACGAGAGCGCATGCGGCGGAACATGGCTGACGAGTGAAGCGAGACACAGTAGCCATGGAGTGCCAGCCAGCGACTTACCGGATGGGGATTGACTTTTCTTGAGCGACCCCTTGAGCGACCCTTTGAGCGATCACTTGTGCGGATCGGACTGCTGATTAATTGATTGATTAACTTGGAAATGTATGATTATCAATAGTTTCTCCTTTGTTTCGAGCGATTGACTTTTCCTGCTACTTGGGATGGGGATGATCTTGATTGGAACGGCCGGAGTATGGAAATTTTTGGAGCCTCGAACAGTGCTGGAGAGAGTACGGGAGGATGTAAAGGGGGATAAAAGTCAATAACGTGGTGTTTCCAAGTTCTACTTAATGGCGTATATACATGCCGGTGTTTATATTTATTTACAAATACATTTTCATCTGTTGGCATTGGTACGTTCAGATCACGCGAGGGCCACGTTGTAGACTTGGTCTTTACCCACCTTTGTCTTCCCTTGGATTTGGCATCAAGCTTATGAAGCAGGTCGAGGCGGATGCTACATCATCCACAAAGGGGTCCGTCTCTGCCCATGCGGGGCTTCTCTGTCTACTGTCAAACGCTCAGCTGGCCGTTCGAACAACACAGCACCAGCGTAGTAATAGTTAATGGTCAAGTTTGCGACAAAATACCACCCTACTCCAGGCTGTTATATCTGCCGAGAGAGGTCGGCCCGGCGGGTTGTTGAAAAGGCCGATCCACTCGGGGACGATGCATAATGGTGATGCCTGTCTCACCGACATGGAGACATGAACAGGGCTGGATTTGTAAGCGACTAGCCTTCGGGTGGGCTTGTTTTGTCATCAAGAGGATTGCTTGTTTGAAGGAATACGACGGCTGGGAGCGTATTTGCCGTGTTGTTTGATTAGCGTGACGCGGCTAGGAAGGGCAGAACTGGACTCTGCCTTGCCCAAGGGTCTGAGTGACCGAGCGTCCAAGCTGGTTTGGCTTATTGCTGACGATGGAGGTTGTCGATGGGACTTGCCTGGGACGGATATGAGGTGCCGTTGCCGAGTACTCAGGAATACCAAGTCTAGGACATGGGGATCAGCGGTGTAATGGATCAGCCTAGCGGGCTTTTCTGGCCTAGCGAGAGCACCAGGAACCGAGCCGCCATCTCTAATTGCCTCGTCCTTGGTCGCTGGCGAAGAGGGGCAGATCCGGATCTGAGACTAGTGATGGAGGGGTTGAGGGGCCGGTCTCAGACCAATCCAATTGCCGTTGAACAAGGTCTCGCCAGATGGCTTTTCCCTGAGCAAATAACCTGATCCATTTGTCAGCTGTGGGACCAGAAGAAGGAGGCTCCTTCGCTTGTGCTGCCGTGGTTGGCCATCAAGGCGGGACGGGCAGGTTGCCTGGTGGTTGTGCTTGGGCTCTCGCGCTTGTGCTGTGCTTTGCTGGGCTGGACCTTCCTTCGGCGGCAGATGCTGGGGCGTGGTTTCGTTTCGTTTCGCTTCCAGACGGGGCTGGCGAAGGTGTTTGGTTGCGGGTATAATAGCTCCCCTCTTCCTCTCTCTCTTCGCTTCTCTTCGCTTCTCATCTCCAACCTCATCTCCATCTCACCTTGAACCAAGAAACACCAGACACTTCCACACATCTCCCTCCACCCACCCACAGCACAAGATGGTCTACTCTCTGTACGACGCCTCCATCGGCCAGGCCAAGAACGTCCTCGACGCCTTCCTCTCCATCCTGGCCAAGGTCGAGGCCTCCCCCGTCGCCGGCACCATCGCCACGGCCAGGATCCACGAGAACATGCTCCCCTTCAGCTTCCAGGTGCACTTCACCTCCGTCCTCGCCCACAAGCTTTCCGCCCGCCTGCAGGGCCAGCCCCCCCGCGACCTCGCGTACAAGGACCTCGACACGGTCGAGCAGATGCGCGCCCGCATCCTCGAGGTCAAGGCCGAGGTCGACGCCGTCGGCCGCGACGTGATCAACAGCCGCGAGACGGAGATTGTCTCGCTGGGCCTGGGACCGGGCATCCCCGAGGCGCAGGTCGAGGGGTGGCAGTACGTTCACGGGTACGCAGTCCCGAACCTGTTCTTCCACCTGACGACGGCCTACGACATTGCGCGCAAGGAGGGTGTTGAGATTGGCAAGAATGACTACCTCGGTCCGTTCCTTGACAAGTATACTGGCAAGTAGAGGGGGTAGATCATGAGGAGTGAATCCGGGCAGAGTTATATGCTGGGAAAGTAATGAAAAAGTGAAATTTAAATAAACTTTACTGCACCTTTTTGTGTCCTTTGTGATTGTAAAGTCGACCTTGTAGTTGGGTTGGTTAGAAGTATACTGTATGGTGACGTTGATGTTGTAAGCAGCCTGTCACAGCTTACGGACTTTGGTTGATATCAGGCATGATGGATGGATAGATGATAGGCTACCCTGACCCAAAAGAAACAGGGAATACCTAGATCCTCGGAGAGAAAGAGGATAGGAGGGAAGGGTGAATGGGATGGCGAGATGGCATGGTATTTATGCCAGTTGGTGGCAGCATGGGATCGAGCACGCCATCGCCATCTTCACCACTAACGGCGTCTACTTTTAGTGGTGGGTGGCCGCTGTGTGCGCAACTCCGGCGATAACCACAGCGCTCCGAGACCGAGACTCCGGCGGGACAATTGAATGCTGATTCAACCTCAGGCAGTCAATTTGATTGATTATCCAATTCTCCAACCACAGCACAGTCCCTCACAACATCGCATCTGCAACCCCTCATTCTCCTCGCCACCTCTGCATTTATCTCTGCTTCTCTCAATTCCGACCGTATCATTCCTACCGCTGTCATCCTCCATTGCCCGTCATGGCCTGGCAATGGTATATTCTCCGAGCTATCCAGTCCATGGAGGTACGCACCCATCTACCTTTCCCTCCCTCGCTGCCCCAGACTCTCTGCTGACATTGTACACTACAGGACCGAATCATCGAGCTCGTACGCCGCCGCGCCGCATGTCTCCCAACTCCTTATCCTCCTGCTGACCCCAATCCCAGATTCTCCGCCAACCAGGCTTCCACCGCGCTGTCGGACGTATTCACAAAGCCGTCCACGAGCAGAAATATGGGCGCACCGAGCCAGTCCAAGGCGAGGCTACAGGTATGCATGGTGCTTAGGATTTTACGAAAGGTCCTCGAGATGCTGACTAGTACCGGCAGCCGATCCCTCCGGTTCAAGTTTCCTGAAGCACTTCCGCGACGAAATCTCCAACCAATTCCGAGGCAAGCCGACCGACGTCGGTCCCAAGAAGTGAATGACGACTGGGCGAGCCCCCGACGAACGAGCGAGACGAGGCCACAGTGGCAGAGGCATACCTCATCTTAATTGATTCAACATTATGAGCTACCCTCAATTACGCCATTAGCTCTATCGAATAGCAAGTGTGCCCAACTTCGCCAAATAACCGACCGATTATGCAAACATCTGGGGATCGACTACAAGAACCCAGACACCCTAGTCCTCCGCGGACAACACCGTCTCGATCTCACGTCTATCCTGCCACTCTCCATCCACAAACGAAAACTCAAACAACCGAGTGCCAGCCCGCACAAGAAGCGTCCTCTCGTCCGCCATGGCCATGGCCTCGATCTCGGCCTCTTCTACCTTGTACGACACCATTGTACTGCGTGCTTCTGTCGCCGAAGTCGTGGTTCCCGCCTCAGACCGCTTCGACTCATCATATTCTTCGACAAGGCGATGATCATCGATCCTAGACCCTCTTGCACCGAGAGTGAGAAACCCACGGATAGTGGGTGGAATATCAGTACTGGGATGAACCAGCGTCCAAGCAAGCTGGGTTGGGTGAGAGGAGATCTGTATCGGCTCGCCAGCCGCGTCTACGCGAATGAACGTCAGCAAGAAGTTCTGTTTGGAGAGGACATGAGGACCACATACTCGTAAAAACACCATCCAACCATCGGCACTCGCTTTGGGTATTACCGCTCTTGGACGAGTCAATGATCGAGCATTCTGCGACAAGTGCTTCATCCTCGCCCTCCATTAAGACATACAGTCCCACGACGTCGGTCTTGTTTCGATTGCTAGTGCTGCCTAGAGGGATACCACTCGCTATCGATAGCCCGATAGCGCTCCATCCGTCGGTATCAAGATTCAAGAGTCCTGTTACGTCGATGGTCTCTTCATCCGAGTCGCCATCCGCATATCCATCTCCTAGAAGGAGCATACATATTTTATTCTTGGGGCTTTGGAATCCAAGCACGACAGCCTGTGTTCCACTCCCGCTCTGATGCCATGTGGCGGACAGGGATGAGTCCCCGGTCACATCGACTTGCTTCCCCTTTGACTCCCACTCACCTGCTTGCCGCTGCACGAGATGGGATACTGAGGTTGTTTCGTCCCCGTCTCCATCCCCATCGCTCGTAATATAGAAGACGTGGATGGCGCCGCTACCATCAGCGGCGGCGGTGAGGTGGGTGCCGGACTTGGCTTTGGCTCCCTTCTCGGCAAGCTTATCATTGATGCGGTACACTTTTGACTTGCCGTTGGCTGAGTCACGTGCAATGATATTTGCGTCCTGATCCTGCCAGACAATGAGTCTTCGGTGGAGGTTGGATGGGCCTATGTTTACATCCACCGCTGCAAGATTAGAGATATTAGAGAGGGAGTGAGGCAACAGGCTGGGGCTGGGACTGGAGGATGACGAAGATGTTTGGGTAGAGGATGAGGAAGTGGATGTGCTTGAGGTCGTTTTGGAGGATGTTTCTGAGCTTGATGATACGGAGGTGGTTGACTCATCTGCGGTGACGGTCACCACCTCGGTTGTGAAAATGGGAAACGGCGAGAGCATCGAGGATAGCATCTTGCCAATGTCCTGATCGGACTCTGTCTGCGTAGCCGTCAGCGTAATCACTGTTGTCTCCACCGCCTTCGACTCTTCCGATTTCGTGAATGTGACGGTGACGATCGAAGACACGATCATCGTAGAAGGTGGTTCTGTTGTTGATGTCGTTGAAGACGAGCTGGGCGTCTCTAATGAGCTAGAGCTTGTCGTCAGCACCAGCGGGGGCGCGCTCGCGTCCTGGTCATGCTGGTGGCTGGATTTATGCCCAGATATGATGATCACGGAGGCGACGCCGGCGCTAATGGCGATGAGGAGCAGAACGGCGAGGGCGACGGAGATGTAGAAGCAGCGCCTGCGGCGGTACCATGCAATGGGACGCTGGTCATCCGCTTGGATCTGGTAGAAGTGGTTGTGGATGCTGTCGTCTCCCTGGGGGTAGACCGGTGGTGAGGGAGGTTTTGCGCGGGAGGTCGCCATGACAGATTAGAGGCTTGCAAGATGGTGGGTTTATATCCATTCATTTGAACTCGTAGGCAGGTATTTGGGAACGACATTGAGAGATGGAGAAGGTGGGCGGAGAGAGTTTTGGGGAATAAAAACAGGAGGCGGGAAGGGTGACAAACCTGATGCTGGGAGAATGGAACCGTCATCATGGACATGGCGGTCGGTTACTACTGAATGAAAGATGAAGCGTGGTGATTCGAATGTTTTGCGGTGTAAAGGGCCAGACGAGGCTGGGGGAGCCGGGCTGAATATATAACAAGGCTGTCTGCTATTCGATGTCGCTCAGAGGACCGAATGTTTGCCCATTCGACATCCATTCACTAGCTAGTAGTCACCATCGACGAGTATGACACAGCCGGGGATCCTTCCAGTAGCAAATCAAATCAAAGTCTCATTTACAGGTTTGTCATCTATCTTTTGTCTAATGCAAAGTAATTGCGTCTACAGGCGGCCATCTGTTCAGTGTCTCCAGTGTAATGCCTGCCTCTCGTTTCGTTCCGTTTTCCATCCCATTCTAGTTCTCGGATAACTTGGTGTCCACCTCGTCAAGAAACTTCCACGCGGGAACCTCCTTGATCTCATTGTCGGCCTGCGTCCACCACGCCGTCTCCCGCGAGAACTCGAGCAGCTTGCCCCCCGACACGGCGTACAGGAGCCCGTCGTTGGGGGAGGCGATGCTGGTGAAGTTGGCGGTCCCGGTCCCGTTGTTTCCGCCCCCGCTGGGTGGGAAGGTGGCCGTCTCGTTGGTGACGGCGAGGTGGCTCGTCCACTTGTTCCTGCGCCAGAGGAGCTCGGTCAGGCTGCCGTGGGAATCGAGCACGCGGACGACGTAGCGGTCGGCGGGCCACTGGGTCTTGTCGTCGTCGGAGGTCTCGACGCGGAGGGAGGCGAGGCGGAGGGGCTTGGCCATCTCGAGGACTTGCTCTTCGGCGGCAGTGTCTAATCAAGTTTCGTTAGCTGTCTCATCGGGGTAGGGGATGGGGAAATGTGCGCAGTGGGCGGGAGCTTTACCTTCCCACTGGTTCGAAACCGTGTTGCACCTCGCGAGCTCTCGTGTCTTGGTGAAGAAGCAGTCTAGGATGCCAAAGGTGGATTTGTGCAATGAATTGTCGACGTCCCAGATGATGCGGAGACCCGGGGAGCCGCGCCTCTTGAAGGGCATGATCAGGAGGCCTGGAGACTTTGGATGGAGCTGGAGGTCAATGTCCCCGACGCCCAGGGAGAAGGACTGGGCGGTCCAGGACTGGGGGTCGTCGGGCCGGGTGCTCGTGACGAGGGCGAGGGAGTCGTTGGCCGCGTTGGTGTGGTAGGCGAGGACGACGCAGCCCTCCTCCATGCCCGGCCAGTCGGGGGAGAAGGAGGTCACCGATAAACCGAGCGTGGTGGAGGGGATCAGGTCCGGTTGGGAGCTGACGACGAGGGAGCCACGCTCCCAGGAGACGGGCTCCTTGTTCTTGACGCGGCGGACGATGTGGGCGGGGCGCAGGGCGTCGTCGAAGTAGAAGACGTGCAGGTCGCCGCTGGGGCCGAGGGTGACAGTGTGGAAGGGGGAGTGTTCCATGGGCTTGGGGGGCTTTGCGTCGCCGAAGCGGTTCTTGAGGAGGTAGACGTCGCCCTTGGAGCCCTGCCACTCGATGGCGGCGAGCTCGCCGTCGGCGTTCTGGAAGAGGACGAGCGTGAAGCTGGAGACTGAAGTGCCGACGACTGCGGCGGCGAGCTGGGAGGTGGCTCGGATCTCGACGTTGGAGTCGCCGTCCAGGCTGTGTTCTTGAGCCGACGCATCTGAAGAGCCTGAGTCCTTCGGTTGCAAGACGCCGCTGCCAAAGAGACCACCAAGGACTGCACCGGTGACGAGCAGCAGGATGAGTATTGGGACCACAAAGTAGGCGAAGCGGCGGTTGGCACGTTTGGAGGGCATGATTTGGCTGAGACGCTCTCTGGCGCTTGATGCGGTCTGACGGCCAGTTCGGTTGGCGCTTCCCTCCAGGTCTTCGTCCTGGTCTTTATCATCGTGATGGAAGTACGACGGAGGCTGCGTCACTAGCTCAGGCAGGTTGTCAACGTCCACGAGAGGCTGACGGTATGCAGGCTTTGGCCAGCCAGCTGGGTAGGCGTTGGGGCTGCTCATGTACGGCCCGGGAGAGGCGACAGGCTGGACACTGGGATGGTTTGTAGGATAGTTTGAGTGATAAGTAGAGCCTTCAGCATGGCTGGTGTAGGGCTGGTTTGCGTGTTGAATAGAGTCGCCCACGGAATAGATGTTGTTTTGATTTGCATCATGACCAGAGCTGCCAACGGGACAGGCGTTGGGATGGCTGATGCGATTGGGAGAGTCGCCACCTGGAACTAAGCTTGAAGGGTGTCCATTAGGATCACCCCGAGGAGAAGAAGGAGGCGGAGACGAGGGATGTTGGTTTGGGTTGGAAAAGTCCATGGTGTTGCCAGTTTCAGCGAGTGGCAGCTGGGAGAGGAGGAGGATGGCGATGACGAGCAGTGATTATGGGCAGAGTCGTTTGAACAAAGAAAGGTGTTTGGTTTCAGCCAAGGATGCAGGATAAGAAAAAAAAAAAACAGAAAATCAAGACGAGCAAAAAGAAGAGTGTGATTGGGAAGAGTTTTGAAATGCGCGCTGCGTGTGCGTGTTGTTGTGTTGTGATGGGAGCTGAGGGCTAAGTGAGCGATGAATCGGAGGCGGCCAGCTGCAGGCGGCTGCGAGCCTCTGGCCAGAACGGAAACGATTCACTGGCATTAATGTTCGTGCCCGACAATAGGCAGACGCACGCCTGCTTAGCCGCATTTACTTGACCGAACAATACAGCAGAATAGGAACAACCACTCGCGCTTGGATGGGCGGCCGCGTGTAGTTGGGGCATTGGGCTGGCATTCTGGAAATGGGAACACAAGAAGTGATCTTCGGGAGCACAGATATTAATATCCGTTTGAATACGACCTGATTACGAGGCTCTGCGCTTTGCAATGGCCAATCCAGACGGACGGCCTGCCGCTCGGCGGTGGCAGGCTGCATGTCTCTTGATACATGCAGGATTCGGGAGGAGGAGAGTGGCCAGAGATGAGGCTCACGGCAGCAGCGGCTCCCACGTGCATTTCTCGCTTGTCTTGACCCGATTCGACCCAGTGGGCCATCTCCATCTCCCTCGACCTCTATCCTGCGTCTCTGCTCGACTTGTGTCACGTCCTGTGCCCGATGGTGGAGCATCTCAGCATCTCAGCACATGGCATGAACTGGGCATCACGCCACCCTGTTGAGCCTCAGATCTGGTATTAAATGTATATCGAGAATAATCATCGCAATAGGAGCAATCAGTAGCTACTGCACGGTGTATTTTCCACCTCTTGTGTTGATTGTTCTGATTGTTCACTTTCTTCGTTGGTGTAGTGAGAGGTGATCATCGGTGCCTCTTTTTTTGTGTCCTCTGATTGGCTGCGATAAGATAAGAAACATGGCCCAAAGAGGAAGCCAGGTGAGTGACTAAGCCTGTGCATGTGATCGACCGGCGAGTACCTGAGAATACCAGGGCTTTGCATACAACCGCTAAGTACCCGCCCGAACGGGGCCAAGGTGTGTAATAAATTGACCGGGGTCTGAAAACAACACGAGCTCCAGCGACTGGCTGCTGATGGCTTCATTCGTCTAGAAACACCATAGCTCACGGCACACCGCCGCCCGGCAAGGACAAGATAACAATGGCCTTGGCCCTTCGCCATCGGGTCTGGGAAGTTTAGTCGTCTTGGTTCTCCAGACAGTGTTTTCTCGGCTCGCTCGTGCCAATTGATTCACCGAAAGTGTTCAGAAAAGTGAAGAAGCAAGATGTGAATCAGCTGCCTGCATCACCACCTTGAGTAGCTGCCCTCATCCGCAACGACGACACCAGACGCAGCATATCGTAGCTTTCGACATGTCTGCTCAGCCCAATTCAAATTCTGCCGCCAGCCCCGGTCGTCGTGTCAAATTTGTCGCCGTCGACACGACCCGGGGAGGCTTGCCAGTCAAGCGGAAACAAGTCCAGCATGCCTGCGACTCGTGCCGCCGTAAAAAGGTTCGTCGCTTAATCTCGGTCTTCTATTCTTCTAGTTGCAGCTGGCTGATCAGGGTATAATCCGTCTATAGAGGCGATGTGTGCATGCTCAAGATTCGGCTACGGCCGCTGATGAGTCAACGCCAGATCGGACCCCCAAGGTTGTCACTCAATCATCAAATACCAACCATCCAACCTTGTCCTCCGGCAAGAGGAACTCCTCAAGCTCAGATGCCACCGCGATAGCCGACCAGCCTGGTTCTGAGCCTCCACCAGCAGCCGCAGCCTTGGGGCCGTCACCAGTCACGGTGGATTCCCAGACGACCGGCTCGCCCGCTGTGCGTTCTCGATTCTTTGGGGACCTTAACCCCGAGGGCATGTTTCTGGAGGCCGCTGGGTCCGTTGCCAGCCGAGAAGTAATCTCCAAAGGCGACGTTGGTGTCTGGCTCACCTCGACCGGCGTAGGCAATGGCACCTCGCAGTTTATCACAGCCAGACCGCCACTGGCCATGGACCGCGTGCTCCTCCCCTTTGTGAAGAAGCACTTCCTGTGTCTCTTCCCCCCGGACCGTGATTTTCAAAAACTCAAAACGTTGTTCGTGCAAAAGGTACATCCTCTCTTCCCAGTGGTGCCCATCGAGTGCCTCGACGGCGCCCTGTCCGATCCCACCACCGTTGTATTGAGACAACTTGTTTCTTTGGCTGCGGGTACCGACCCCGAAGCCTCTCAAAACCTCCGCTTGGGAGACGCGCCGTCTGTTCTGCTTTCTCCTCAGGAATTCTCCGAAAAGCTGTCCTCAGCCGTACGTGCCATCCTTGAGACGAGTCTGATTCCCGATCGTATCCTTCACATCCGGGCGCTCGCCATGCTCTCTTTCTATACCCAACCGACGTGCGCAGAGGAGGCAGATTTACCAGCTCTTCTTGGTGGGAGAGCCATACACCATATCCATACTCTGGGACTGCACCACTTAGTACGGTACCAGGGCCCCAATAGTGACGACCTTGAGAACCTGTACTGTGCCGTATGGGCCATGGATCGCATCAATGGAGCCATGTACGGCCGACCGTATCTCATCCACGAACGCGATACTGCTGCCAACATTGATGAGATCATCAAGAGGCGCAGCCCTTGCTTTCGCCTTTTCTTATCAGTGGTTCAGTGGCTTGACCAGGTCGTCGACTTGTATCGCCCAGGCCTAAGCTCAGACGCCATTAGTATGCAAAAGGTCGCGTACATAGATCTTCCCGTCCTCGAGGCCATGATTGTCGAGGCAGATGCCTTGCGCGTCCCCCCAAACCTGATAGGTCCGCCTGCCACTTGCTCTCCATAACCATGGCTTTGACCGCCGGCTAACATCTCTATAGCTACAATTGAAACATTTTATCATTCCGTGATCATTCTCTCCTGCCGACTCGCTCGCCCCGGCACAATATCGGCTGCCTCGACTCTGCCACCGCCCTCTGCGAATGCCCGGAGATCTCTGGCCGCCGAGCGGATCGCTTGTGCCGTGCCCAGAGACTGTCCGAGCTCCCTCCCATTCATCCCGTACGCCGTGTCCCTCGCCCTTAGCGTCGAGTATCGCAAGATGCGGCACAGCCGGTTGCCAATGTTTCGCGCCAGGGCTATGAACTCGTTCAAGCGTAACTGCCAGCTATTGAGGCAGTTTGGCGACTACTTCTGGAGCGCCAATGTGTTGGCCGGCTTGGGCGAGCGAGTGTTACGAGAGATGGAGCGCGCAGCAACAACACTTACCAATGAGACCGCCCCGGCCCAGGGAGAACCACACAAGGACCCGATGTCTCAAACTTCGGATGACCAGGCACGGACTCGATCAAGTGATCAGTCCGCCAGCGACTCGGCAGCCATTAATGTGGGCTCGGGGCTGGACAACATGGTTGACTTTTCCATGATGGATCCCATCTCCGGGCAAGACATATTCGGCCTGATTGACCCAAATTTCAACCTCAATGCTGTAGAGGATGCGCTAGAAGCTAATCTCGATATCGGTCTACCATTGAACCTCGGGGACTGGGGGCAATACTCTACCTGGGAGCAGCAGCAAGCACCTGGCGATTCCGCATAGCTCGCCCAACTCACCGCGCCCCGCCGTGTATCATCACAGGGAGGCCGCCAACCCACGATTCATCGCCATGCTGGTTGATTTACCTTCTTCTCAAAGTTTGCCAAGTAAGGCAATTACTCGGCTCTTGCCACACGTGGCACGCCCTATCCTATGACGATTATACCATTCCATCCAGCCTTGCACATTATTACGATGGCCTCTTGTCCAAGCGTTTATCGATCGGAAATCAGTAGAATGATGAGCCAATTGTGCCATTTTGTCTGTGGAAGCGGAAGTAACACTTGTCAAGTTGAAACGAATTACGGGTTTTGATCATCACGAGAGCCTTAGATTTTGCGAATCCCAGGCGCTTCCGCTTGATTGATAATGAAAACCAGATTGTCCATGCCGCCTCAGCACCGATGCTAGTTCCATGTCACAACTGACATGCTCCAACTCCAAGAACTCCTGTCTTCTATATCAGAATATTCCCATACCCGAAATGCCGAGCCGGGTCTATTGTGGCCATAAATAAATGCAGTTAAAAAGAAAAGGGTCAAAAGAAATCGGAGCAAGGTGAAAATAGACACTACACGCCGTAGCGAACAACCTTCCTCTGGTACCGCTTCTCCTCCGCCTGGTCATCCTCCTCGGGGTAGTTGGGCGGCTTGACGACGGCGGTCTGGCAGCTGTCGCGGCCCTCCGTATCCTCATCCTCATGAACCGGCAGCTGATCCCTGGATATGTCGATGGTCGGCCTCCGGAAGCGGTTGTACGCGATGAAGGTCTGGTCGTCGCCCGCGACGGCGTTGGTCGGCGTGGCCATGCAAAGCGATTTGCGGCGGATGGTGACGGCGTCCTCCTTGATGGGCCTGACGCCCATCCGCCTGTAGAAGAGGCTGAGGAGCGGGATGGACAGGCCGTGCACGACGATGGAGAAGACGACGAGGAAGTAGATTGTGGCCGGGAGGGCGCGGATGAGCCCCTCCTGCTCCGGGTCGCCCTCGCCCTCCGCGGGGACGATGTGGCGGATGTGCTCGGCGTAGAAGACGGCGCCGATGCCGATGGGGCCGAAGTAGCCCATGAAGAGGGCCTCTTTGTAGTTGGCGACGACGCTGGGCATGAGCTTGTACAGGAGGAGGACGGCGGGGATGCGGCGGAGGGCGAGGACCATGAGGCCGAGGAGGAGGAGGCGCCAGATGGTGATGCCCGTGCCGTCGGGGTCGTGGAAGGAGGCCCAGGGGACGACGGTGCCGATGTACATGAAGCCGCCGAAGTTGAGGAGGACGTCGAAGCAGTTGTTGACCTCGTCGTGGCGGCGCTCAGTCTCGGCGAGGAATTCGCCGTCCCAGTTCAGGCTGGCGCCGGCGATGGTGCAGGCGAGGAGGTCGTTTGTGCCGAGGCAGCCGCAGGTGCCAAGGATGAAGAGGCCGATGGCGACGGGGAAGAGGACGTATGATTCGGAGTCGATCCAGCGTCTGATGGGATCGTCAGGTTTCGTTTAGAGATGGCCAAGGGGAGGGGGTGAGCTAAGTCACATACCTTCTGAGACAGAATTTAATACCTTTGCAGGCGGCGAATCCGACGATGATGCCGTACATGACCGACATGATGATATAGTACAGCCATGTTTCAAGGATCCAGTTCTTCATCGCCACTCCTGGCCCTCCACCGACGCGACCGACATCATCACCCGCACGTACCATCAATTTGTGAACGTCGCCGATGATGCCCTCGCCGTCGTAGGGAATGGGGTCCGCATGTCGGATGAGGTACACGGCCAACATGAGAAAGGGGAAGCCGAACCCGTCGTTGAGACAAGCCTCGGCCGAGATGATCTCACGCAACGGTCTGGCGACATATCTGTCCGCGAAGGGACCCTTGGCCACAGCTATTTTGATTAGACTTGTCAATAGTGCGCCAAAGAAACAAAAACAAACCGGTCGGAGAGCAAGACCTACCTTGGGAGAGAACGGGATCGGTACAGGTGACGGAGGCGGCGATGGCGAGACCAGCGAGGAATGTGAGGTTAGGGATCGTGGCCATGAAGCAGCCAGTCGTGCAGAGCCACATGAGGGTCATGATGGGGAAGAGGCACATGAAGAGGTCGCGCCGGCGATGCCAGGTGTATTTGGCCGGCAGTTGGTAGCCGGCAATCACGAGCTGGAGGCAGATGACCACGCGGGTGATTCCCTGGGAAGGCTGGTTAGAGGGTGCTCTGGTTCGGGGCGGATGTCATTGGGGCAAGACATACAAGAGTTATTTCGCTTTGTTGGTCCTCCTCCTTCGATCCCCAGTTCTTGCTGTTAAGGAAGTTGGCGGCGACGGGGCCGAAGCAGATGCCGACCAGCATGGCGGGGACTTGCCAGTGGGATGTCAGTCATGAGCTCCATGTTTGTTTTCTCGTCGTTGGAGTGAGGGCATTTCGACTTACGCGCTTCCCCGAGGTACCAGGCATGCTTGATCTTGACAGAAAAGACCCCGTACAGGACAATAAAAGCACCTTATGAATGTCAGCGCGGCTGTTTCTTTACCATGCTACTAGGATAAGAAGAGGCCTAGACTGCTTACCGGCCACCGAGGTGACGATGTTGAGCTCGCTCAGACTAAGGACAGGCATCTCGGCAATGGTATGCGGTGTCAAGTTTACGTGTCTGATCTGGCAAGACGCTCAACCCTGACGGGCGACGGCGAAGATATAGTTTCCGGCTTTGTACGGGTGTTTCCCTTTCTTGACGTTGTGCCTTTGCTGGGCCTCGGTAGCGGCTGTCTTGCTTGACTTTTGTTTCAGTCCTGTCCCTCAGACAAGTGGCGATGGCGAGTGCCAAGATAACACACGCGGGGATTCTTCTGGTCGGAGATTTTCCCCCCAAGTCCCATGGGGATGACTGGGTGTTATTGGCCTGAGTGACAAGGGCGACCCGAACAACAATGGAGGGCAAGACAGGTATGATCCTAGTGATACTCAAGGGAGAAACAAGTCGCACAGCAATGCTCTCGCGAATAGGAAGGTGCGCTGGAGATGTAATAGACGGTGGGTGATGTCAGCCAGCCTAGACACTCGCTCGCTGCAAGACTTGAGGAGACCAGTGACGGTGTGTACACTTCTGTGTCGGCATGTGGGCAACGTAGAGAGCTGACTCGTCGTCCACTGGGTCACTGACAGCAAGTATTCTTTTAAAAAGGTTGGAATTATGGGTGAAGAGCCCGAGAACACACGGGGAGATACAAGGATTGGTCCGACACAAGAATGGCGGATGGGATGGAGTTACTGACAGATGGCGCTGGGGTCCGGAAGATGTCTTGGCAAAAATGAGAGTGGACAGTTTTTTGAGAGATTTAAAGACAAGTTTACAAATGATGACGATGATGATGGGAATTTAATAGATAAAGAGCGAAAAGTGATGCCATAAATCAAAGGAAATGGGGTGAGCGGATGGGCTCAATCGTGGACTTGGGCTTCCCAATCCTGGAAGCTCGACGGAAAAGGAAGATAGTCATCAGAAAGGGAAGTCGGACAGCTTATTCCATGAGGGACTTTTCATGTTTAAAGGGGAACGGCAGGTCTAGTGCGAGACAATGGACCACGGCAGGACGGAAAGTAGTAAGTATGAATTGGGATCTGCCAGTGCGGTTGGGCGAAGCGGTGGTGTGACAGGGGCGTGGGGGATAAGAAACGGCAAATTCTGGAGACAGAGACATGGCCAGAGACAAATTTGGAGACGGACTAGAGTGCTATGTGTATGCATAAGGGATCTTCAAGGGGAGGACGTGTTAGTAGGCGCTGCCGTCGAAGACACAACACACAAACGTGGCTAGCTAGGTGATGAGCAGGGCAATTGACCTTCGGGGAAGGCTCAATTACAATTCTACGCCGCTTCTGACTGGTTCAAGAAGCTCAAGAGTGATCTGCCTCTTAGCATTGGTTGGCGGCGTCCATCTAGCCTGGTGTCATCTCCTGGGGACAGTAGCGCGTCCTGGACAATCAACACACGTCTCATGCTCTGTGCTCGACTTAGTTTGAGAGTATTTCAGAACCGGAAATGACGCATTCAGAGTAAGCCAGTGCAGGCGGGAATAAAGTCAGACACTTGGCTTACGATGAGCGTACCGCGCTTGGCTGTCAGCTGTCTGAGGCCGATTCGTCCACGGCTAACAGCCGATTCAGCCTGCCCAAGAAATCAGGGAGTCACTGGGATCCTATCAGAGGCACACGGCGGTCGTACAGGTTTAGAGAAGCCAAGAGGGTAATATGCGAAGGAAGGGGGGCGGCGATTACGTGCTGCCTGCTGGGATTTGACCCCCTGGGCGGCACGACTTGGCAAGGACTGGTGGTGGATCGAGAGTCGCTTGAGGCTTATTTTTAAGGATAAAACTAAGCATATCAACACCCCTCTTCCCTATGAGGCAGAGCAGACGAGACTATGGGGAATGGGGGTGTTGAAGAGAGGCAGGGTGCAGCGCAGAGAGGCTACGTCACGTCACACCACACGCTACATCATGATGCTTCCCTTTTCTCCAAGTTCGCTACGTCGACAGGCGTTGCGGTATCGTTGCGGGCTCAGAATGAGGCAATTTCGATTGATTCGCTCGCTTCCACGTTGTCAGAGGTCGTGAGACTGGCAAATAGAACAGGTGACAAGTGACCGACGCTTTCTTTTCCCTGGCGCCCAAAGATAAGAGAAAATCAGAAGCCAGGTCATCGCACCCTTGTTCCGGGTCTCCTGAGATGCCTCCCAGTTTAGGGCTTGATTGGCGAGCTGCATGGATCGATCCCTGCTCAGCGGAGCCTCCATGTCTCGCGCTTGAATGTTCTCTCAAGCAAAGGAATGGGAGCTTCCATCAATACCAGGTCCACATTGAATGTCTTTCAAGCTACTAGTTTTGGTTTCTTGAAACACATATTTCACTTTCCCTTGTCTTAGTATCCTAAGTGTTCATTCCACTCAACTCCGTATCAGCTCATCACTTGATTTGTGTGTACACGCGTCTGTGTCTCATGCGTAAGCATAGGGGCTTCCCAAATTTGGCGGCTTGGCGTATTACAAGGCTAATTTACGACTAGATCACCCATTGCAGCATTGCCCTAGCTAAGCGTAGCCACCGTCAAACTGCCTAGTGAATGCAGATCACCACCACAATCATGGATGTCTCTCTCAGCCACAAACGGCGTTGTTCTGCCTTGCACAAAAGCAAATAAAAACAAGTGTTCTCTTTGACAAAGACCAGAAAACGAGAAGATGTAATAAGGCTAATAAAGAGGAAAGCTTGCGTGCCGATGCAACACCACTTTGCCAAGATGCCAAGGCCCGGTGGCATAGCAATTGAAACGAACATACAATCTTTTCCATTTGGACCTTTTTGAAATTGAGCATAAAATGTAAAGAGAGCGTACTGTGATTTCGTTTTAATTGACCAGGCGGAGTTATGGATTGTGGTTGGACTGCTTCAGCCAGACGCCAATCAACTGGAGTTACATCTTTGGGCATCACACCTTTAATCAGTGCAATGCTTGAAAATGATGATATTCACATCGTGCATACCCAGGTTACATACACTCCCGCCACTCCATCATGATCGAAGCCAGGTCCCCATTCTCGTCTTGGCGGTTCGGTTTTGACTTATTACGTCCAAATAAAACAGGGGTAGATAAATCATATCTCAGATATGCCCCTCGTGCGTGTGCCTTGGCATGCAATACGTTCCTTTCCCCCTGGCCACTCGTTATACATAGCTCGCTTCAGCATGATGCTCATGAATTAATATGAACATGTGAGCTCTTCTTGAGACTCGACCAGTTAGCTCTCTTCATTTACGTCATGCATAGCCCCGAGGCGCGTGTTGTCCTGGGGAGTTGCATCGTCAGCGTTTGCGTTGTCCATTAGCGGTTAACAGACATATCCACAAGCCCATGGCCCTCAGTTGAGGCAGTGCTCTATTGCATGAATAATCTTCCTAATTGCCAAGAGCAACCAAACCGGAATTATCTTGCAAGATCTACCGTGACAGGATGTCACATGGATGATCGTCCTCGGGACTGCCCGCCGTGGAAATGCACCTCACATGCATGGATCTCTATGGGTCATCTACAAGATGGCGTTCCATTTCCTGGCATGAGTATGCCAAGTATTTTGGTGAAGACGGACGCGACAGGGTTAAATGTAGGTACGATCTAGACAACAGAAGTGCCCCTCTAGACATCATTGGCGATGACAAACAACCGAGTACACACCATCAATCTCCCCCGTCACTGATATAGGGTAGATCTATGAGACTGATGTATCATTCCTCAACCGTCTTTGGTCCCTCACTCTTGTGTGCTATCGATTCTTAACTCCGAAGACGCGTAAATGCACACGTCACACCTTCATGTCCTCGCTGGGTTGGGGGCAGATGTCGTATTTGCAGTTTTGCTATCAAATAAGGAAAGCTATGCTACGATAACCAGTCTTTCGAATGCGTTTTAGTCATGCTTTCGTCTGGGTAGAATATGACTTAGTGAACAATCGGCGCGATCGTTAACGCAAGTATCCCACAATTCCCCCTTAGCTGTGGTATATTCATGCTACCGAGTCATCTCAAAGCTTTTAGAAATGTGTGCCGACATGAATCCCTCCATCTACCAGCATGTTGGTACCAGAAACATAGCTACTAAGACAGCTTGCCAACCAGACTGCCGCGTTTGCTATTTCCTCTGGGGACCCTAACCGTCGTAAAGGGACCTTGAGCCGTGTTTCTTCTACCCACTCTGGACTTTCTTTCTGGTAGGTCTCCCAGTTCCCTCCCGGAAATATAATGGGACCGGGCGAGATAGCATTGGTGCGGATACCCTTGGGCCCAAGATAGTGAGACAGTTCCTGCACGTGTTGCAACTGCGCAGCCTTGAAGGGGCCATATGGTGCCGGTGGACTACGGAAGAATTCGCGACCCAAGAAGCTGGATATAACGACGATGGAGGCGTTGGGAGATTTCAGCAGAAAAGGCTCAGCAGCTTGGGCCAAGGTGACGAATCCCATAACGTCGACATTGTAAGATGTGAGCCAGCTCTCTGATGAGCTATCAAAGAGCTGCAATGATGCTGGTTCATGTAGAGTTAGCGTATCTTTAGGTGATGAAAGGGTCGATATCGAGTGAGCTCTACCGTTTGCAATAATTGTATCGATGCGTCCAAAGGATTCGCCCGACTTGTTCACCCAGGCTTGGAGGGCTGCCTTGTCTCCCACATTGACTGACGTACCCACAGCACGGGCATTGTGTGCGGACGAGAAAGTGGCGAACTCATCACCTGTCACATTTCGAGCGCAATATGAAACGTTTGCACCCTCAGACAAGAATGCCTCGACAATACTTTTGCCTATTCCTCGGCTACCCCCTGGAAATGAATTAGACATCTCAGTTCAAGTTCGACTTGGCGGGACAATCTAGACTTACCTGTAACGATGACATGGGTTCCCTCTAGGCCAGTTTGTAGAACCATTTTGCAAACAAGGCAGTTGATTGTTTTTCAACTTGATTTCCCGTCGATTTAAAGTCTAATCAGGAATTTCTGATATCTTTTTATGGTCAGACAATGTACAATGATAGTGAATGGCAGACCAGACTTTTGTAGCAGTCCTACTCCGGAAACTCCGTTTACTCCTTTGGGTAAGTGGATACCCAAACTCCGGGAGCCTCGTCGGAGCTTACACGAGAGTCAGTCACTTGCGCCCACCCAATTTCCCGGAGTCTAATGATGCCTTTCTCCTGGGTACTGAGGATCTGTTGTTTTCAATTTGATTCGTAATCGTCATAACCAAAGTTGTTATCGCGAATCTGTAGGATTTCACGACCTAACCAGGAGATATGGATCCACCATCCCCGACTTACATATGAAGCACCTTCTGCAAACCTCGAAACGTTGGTTCTTCATCCAACATGTCCCAGATATTACAATCAATATGATGGAAAATGAATCAAATGGTTTGGGAGAACTCTCCCAGAGCCCTCTTGCTGGTAGAATTGCATCTCTCCTGGAAAGCAATGGCGCCGCGAAACGCTCCAAATTTCCGATCGTCTTCGAGAACCTTTCGGTCATTGGAAGCGGAAATAAGGTACGAATCATCAATCGTAGATCTCTTGAGTGATAATTAAACAATTGACTTTCTTTATATTTTCAGGCCGAAGTTGCGCCAACAGCAATCTCGCCTTTCCAATCTACTCTCACCTTTTTGAACCCCCAATCATACAGGAAGTCTACCAAGCCAGAAAGAACTCTATTGAGCTCATGGAATGGGGTCATTAATCCTGGGGAGATGCTATTGGTGATTGGTAAGCCTGGGAGTGGTTGCACGACCTTCCTCAAGACGTTGGCGGGCCTTAGGGGAGAGTTTCACGACACCCGTGGCTCCTTGACCTATGGGGGGAAATCGATTGATTCTTCGGCTACCGATTCAGTCCGGGTGACATTCTGTGGTAAGACTCTTTCATTTCACCCTACAACAGACTTGATTGCTTATGTTGTATGGACATAGCCGAGGACGATGACCATTTCCCTACTCTGCTTGTTGAAGAGACTCTCAGGTGGGTAATCCGGTACTGATAACCAAGCTTGCTGCTAATACATGATCAGATTTGCTGTCGAATCCTCTTGGCCAATAGACGCTTCAAGGTCAGCCAAACATGACTCAGTTCGATCCTTAGCGGACTTAGTCGGCCTTGGTCATGTTCTTCGCACTCGAGTTGGCAGCGCATCCATTCGTGGGGTTTCAGGGGGAGAGCGTCGACGAGTCTCGCTTGCCGAGGCGCTCGCGACTCACGCGGATGTTATTTGTCTTGATAATCCAACAAATGGCCTTGATAGCTCTACAGCCCTTGAGTTTGTTGAGATGATGCGGGAGTACACCCGTCAATCTGGATGTGCCACCATCATGAGCATATACCAGGGCAGCGACGCCATGGTCCCGATGTTTGACAAAGTCGCTGTAATTAATCAAGGCCATCAGGTCTTTTATGGCAAAGCACAGGAAGCAAAACCTCATTTTGAGAAATTAGGGCATAAGTGTCCGCCCACGACAACCATCACAGATTTCCTGACAAGCATGAGTGCCAACAAGATATCAACACCAATAACATCAAGAGAGCCACCTCCATCAACGACTAAAGAGCTAAAGATGGCATTTGAATCTAGTTCCTATTACCAAGAGACATTGAAAGACATACTGGCTGCCAAGTCAATGCCCCTGTCGCCCAGCTCACTTGGTGGAAACACCTTCGAACTCCCTTTGTGGCACCAGATTCATCTTTGCACCAAACGCCAATTCCGTGTACTGGTCACCAATTACCACAATTGGTTGATTGAGGCAGGATGTGGGATCATTCAATCTGTTGCCATCGGGACATTGTTCCGAAACCAGCCCCGCGAAACTAAGGCATTCTTTATCTTGGCTTGCTCTTTATTCTTCTGCGCCCTGGTTCCATCTCTGCAAGCAATGTCAGAGTTTGGAAACACGTTCGCCACGCGATCCTTGGTAGCCCGCCAGAAACAATACGGATTCTACCGGCCCATGTCATATGCGCTTGGGCTCGTCACGACGGACATGATTTGGAAAATTGTCACCATCAGCTACAACATCCCTCAGTACTTTCTCACAGGTTTCCAGTATGATGCCGGCAAGTTTTTCACTTGGTTCCTGGTATTGTATGTTGAAAACATGGCCCTGAGTATGATCTTTCGTACGGTGGGCATATTGACCAAGAGTATGAGCTGGGCTGTTCTCCCTGTTGGCGTCATCTTCAACATCGGGGTTATATATACTGGTTTGTATATTCCTCCGCCACAGATGCAGGGATGGTTATTTTGGATCAAGTACATCAATGTGAGTTATATCCAACATCTCTTTCGAAGACAGGCTACAGACAATCTGATACCATTTGAAGCCATTATACTATTCATGGGAATCGATTATCGTGAACGAATTCTCCAACTTGGAGTACCAGTGCAGTGATTCAGACCTGGCCCCGTCAGGTGCCAACTACGGAAACTTTTCAAACCAGGTTTGTGCAGTCAAAGGCGCCCTTCCTGGACAATTGAGTGTTCTAGGATCAGCATTTGTCCGGGAACAATATGGGCTAGACGCATCTCACCTATGGAGGAACGTCGGTATCAATATTGCCATTTTCCTCTTCTTCGCAGTGTGTACTGGGATCGGGGTGGAGCTTCATAAGCCTTCAGCTGGTACAGCCGCCACCGTCTTGTATCGAAAACAAACGTGGGCGGCCGAGCGCAAGGGCAAAAGCAGGCTTGATGTGGCAGAGACAGATATGGAGAGCGGCTCATCAGACGAAACCCAAGTATTTACACACGGTATTTCTCCTACAGAAGGAAACACTCACCAAATGGAGACACATTCCGGACGTACTCTGGCGTGGGATAAACTCTGTCTTGGTATTGAGACTGACGGGAAGGAAAAGGTGCTCTTGGACAACTTGAGCGGTAAGTGCTCTCGCTACCTTACGCATGACGTGCAGTAGCTAAACCAAATGTCACAGGCTCTGTTCATCCCAACCATCTCACCGCACTCATGGGCGTCTCAGGCGCCGGAAAGGTATGGCCTCTTCAGAATTGTATAGTCAGAATTTCTCCTAATAGCATTTAGACAACGCTTCTCAACACTCTAGCTGGGCGCATCGACTTTGGAAAGATGAGTGGCCAACTTTCGATTGACGGTAGCCCACTTCCCAAATCTTTCACCAGGTTCATGGGGTATGTGCAGCAACAGGACATACACCTACCCTCACAAACAGTTCGAGAAGCCCTTCAGATGACAGCGCGACTCCGCCGGCCCTCCAGTGTATCCGACGAAGAAAAGGATGGCTACGTGGAGAAGCTCATCTCCCTGCTAGAGCTCGATGACCTTGCCGAAGCGCTTGTCGGGTCTCCCGGTGCTGGGCTTACCTTGGAGCAGCGGCGAAGGGTGTCCATTGGGGTAGAGCTCGCAGCCTTACCCGAAGTCCTCTTCTTGGATGAGCCAACATCTGGCCTAGATGGACAGTCAGCACTTCATATCGTTCGCTTGCTTCGAAAACTCGCAGACGCTGGCCAGACTATCTTATGTACGATTCATCAGCCAGCTGGTGAAGTGATCGAGTATTTCGACCACCTCGTACTACTGGTCAAAGGGGGCCGTGTGGCTTATGACGGACCTCTTGGTGACGGCTGCTCGGCCGCAGTTGAATACTTCCAAAGCCAGAGCCAGGTTGGCTGTGGGGAGAACCAGAATCCTGCGGAGTACATTCTTGATATCGTTGGAGCAGGATCACGCTCGACCAACACCATTGACTGGGCCACCACCTGGGACCAGAGCAAGACATCCAGATTAGACCCTCAGCAAAAGGAGAAAGTTGAACCGCAAGATGGCCAGAGCTCCTTGGAGATGCAATCCAGAGGCCGTTATGCTGTCTCTTTCACATCTCAATTATCAGTCGTTTTGCGACGAGCGTGGTTGTTTACTTGGAGAGACCCGGATTACTTTGCTGCCAAGCTGTTTTTGAATCTAAGCAATGGGTTAGTCAATGGTCTCTCATACCTCAACTCTCCCGATACTGGTGATGGCATGTACAACCGGATATTCAGCGCTTTCGTGGCTATGATTGTTGGCCCTCCATTAGCCCTCCAGACGGAGGTGCGATTCTTTGCATTCAGAGATATCTTCCTCCTCAGGGACAAGGACTCTATGTCATACAGCTGGATTGTCATGGTTTTGTCAGCCATTCTCGTGGAACTACCATTCGCCCTAATAACTGGATTGGTTTACTGGCTGGTATGGTACTACCCCGTCGGCTATTTCACCAGCTCCGACCGCGCTGGCTACTCATTCCTCATGTTTGAGTTGTTCCACGTTTTTGTCCACAGCCTTGCCCAACTAGTCGCCAGCGTCATGCCCAGCTTAGAGTCTTCCTTCGTGGCAAATGGATTCTGCTTCATGTTCCTCAACACACTATCCGGCACTCTGAGCCCCAAGCCGCTTACACCAGCTGGCTGGAAATGGTATTACGACCTAAACCCACTATTTTACTTTAGTGAGGGTACGGCTGCGGTTTTGACACACGGCCTGGAAATTACCTGCTCAGAAGCAGAAACATTCGAGTTTATGGCGCCCAGCAACACGACCTGCATCGAATATGCCTACGAGTGGTTGGAGGGCGCATCCGGGTATGTAATGAACCCAGATGATATGGAAATATGTCGTTACTGCCGTTACAAAGACGGAGACAGCTATGTGAGTTACCTTTACAGTCCAATTCTTGCCAGTTAAACTAACAAGATAATCTTAGTTGAAGCAATATGATTGGACGTTTGGGAATAGATGGCGAGACGTGGGGGTGTTCCTCGCCTTCATTGCATTCAACTATCTTGGGGTCATGGCTTTGATGTATCTCACCAAGATTCACAAGTGGAGGCGTTAGAATTTTACCTCGTATAACTATGGGCCTACTTTCTTTTTATGTTCTCATGTCAATATCTCTGTATAATAATTCAAGTATCCTAGTAGATTATCACATGTCTGCCAAGGATTCGTGCGTGATAATGGCGAGTGGGTGACAGGGGAAATGAGACCGCTGACCAAAGAGTTGGTCATAAACAGATTACTTCCAGGAGTAAATAGAAGAAGTTTAATATTATATATAAAATGAAATAAAGGGAAAGCCTCTGCAATATTATCACCGAGTTATATTTTATCAGCACTTATTAGTCTGATAATACCGGTCAAAGACTCGAAAGTAATATTGAGTGTCTCGATTTTATTGTCACCCACATGGGCGATAAATAGAGTTTTTTCTAATTCAATAACCAAATAGTTTATCCACGAGACCTTTTAACGTAGACCTATAAATAAAATTATCTCGAAATCGTTAAAAACCTACTAAAAAAAAGATCCGGTCCATGCAACGTTTGAGAAACAGATTATGAATAGTCGTGTTAGTTGAGGCGAGCTTGCCCATGTGGGTTATGTAATCATCTCACGCTGACAAATCACTGGCTGAGCATCTTCGCGGACCCCAAAGTCTAACCTCCATCCATAATCCCCGGCCTCTTTGACCTTGAAATGGCATGATACGGCCTTAAAGACCCGTAGAGGATACCATGTTCTCTAAGTTTCACGGAACCATTTCCGAGAACCCACAACCCGCCCGGAAACCGAAGAAAGCTCGACGCGCTCAGGTTCAGCGTGCCTGCGATGGCTGTAGGTTAGGCCGGGTCAAATGCGACACGTCAAGACCATGCAGAAATTGTATCCAGTCAGGGAGACAATGTGTCTTTGAGGGATCAACCGAATTTAGAGGGTTAAATACTGCAACAATGTAAGAGAACCTGATTGGCTCAAAATTGAGTTTTCCCTGTCCCTGACACATGCTCACCCTCTCTTAGAGAGATTGATCGTCTTCGACAACGAGTCCAAGACCTTGAGGCGGAGCGGGAACAACGGCCAAGCCAACCGGCTGCAATATCCCCAGCCCTTGTCAGCCCTCCCTCCAGTGATTCGCATCACAGCACATCAGTATCATTCCATCCCGTCTCAGAAAAGTGGAAAGGAACGACTGTGGAAGGGATACGATATGGGCCATTATCATTACAGTACTTCAGTGAACGCATCTCGCGGTACCTTGAGATTGACGCCGACCCCAGAGTTTCGCTTGCAGACTTCCCAGTATGGGACACAACCACCCTTGTCGAATGCTGTGACGGCGTTGGCAAAATGGCCCAGGACCACTTCCTTGACCTACATTGGCTTTGCTACCACGTCAACTATCCAGCCCTGGATGAATCTGAGTTTCGAGAGCTCTATGCATCACTCTGGCACACAGAAGAAGCTTCATCAACCAGACGCCCTGATCCACTGGTTGATATCGTTCTGGCAATGAACATCCAATATGCATTATCATTCATGCCACAAGATGAGACTCTACCTCGCCAGCCCGCCGAGCACTCCTGCTTGGGGGGAAGTGCATTCTATCAACGCTGCAAGAGCGCATTAGATAAAAGTATGGATTCTCCCACCATCAAAACAGTCCAATGCCATTTGTTCTGCGCAATATACCTCTCTTACGCCGGGTACCACAATGCAGCCGACACCACAATCAAACTAGCCGAGTGTAGCCTCTCTATGCTCAGTCTCGATCACGATGACTCTCCTCCACAGGAGCTAGTGTCACGGATCCGTAACTGCCTCCGAACACTCCAGACAAGATTTTCTATGAGATTGGGTAGATTTGAAAGACGGCCATTTTGCATGGCCCAACAGGCCCTGGAGGTCACAACGCCATCCTCGACAATTGAGTTCAATTGGTTTGTCTTTCACGAGCAAGTGGTTCATCTCTGTACCGTGGTGGAAGATATTGCCACAACGTTCCTTGGATATTGCAACCAGATACTCGACACTGCCGAAGGAGCCACTGACTTATACAGTGATCCCATTATTCGTGACAAATGTGCTCTCTTCATGAAGGAGCAAATGAACAGGCTAAAGACCTGGTCAGCCCAAGTTCCGGCACAGCTCAGGATCCCACGCAAGGGATATATGGAATCCTTCTCAACGCGGCGGGCTCCATTGGAGTTTGACGACAGCGACCCTCAGTGGCTGCAGCGCCAGCGAGTGGTCCTCGAGTGCCAGTACCATGATTTCTGCGTCACGCTCCTGCGCGTCTTCTTCCACTTCTCACCCAAGCAAAATCGAGGAACATTCAATAGTGACGAGAACGGCATCTCGTGCGTCAATCACGCCTACACCCTCACAAGCATAATTCACCAGATCCACGCTGAGACAGATATATTGACGGGCTGCTACCAAGCCTTTGAATGGCAGCAGAACGCCGTCTACGCGTTGGCTGCGTTTGCTGCCGCCAACCCGCTGTGTCCGCCAACGCCCAGCGCCCGAAAGGCACTGGGGTTGGCGGGCGAGGTCTTTGGCTCCTACGGGGATACATCAATACCAGCAATGCGGATGCGCGAGCTGATATCCGAGTTTGAAGTAAAGATTGCTGAGAAGATTGCCAATTTTAGGGGAGGGCCGACCCCTGGCCCAACCCCGCGGAGTGTTCAACCGGTCGAAGAGCCAAGCCTGATACCTCAGAGCGACGTGGCCATGGAGGTGCCTTCACAAAGCGTGCTGGGGCCAGTTCCTCTCGGGGACTCGAACATTGACTGGTCAATCGTGGGGGGGTCTACGGAGCAGTGGTGGTCAGAACTGGACCAACCAACCCAGGATCTATGGTCCACGTGGATGAAGGAGTTTGAACCTTGACATGGACATGGCATAAGATACAATAGAGACATAGAAAACATGTTATATATGGCTATTAAAATAAAATATACTCAAGCTTGATACTGCTTGGAGCTTGATATCGACGGAATGCATCCTAGGTAAGTAGGAGTTCCCACGTACGTGCTATCACTCAACACAAAACCAGGATAAAAGGCAATACATGGACTATTCGCCACATGTCGCACCCTGGCACTGCTTTCATGACTTGCCATCCAATGGATAGACGGGCATCAACAAAACAAAAACCCACCTACACGCGTGCAACGAGGGTTGCGTCTGGGTCGCCTCAGTGCTTCCGCCCGTTCGCATACAGCTTGCATGAAGTACCTCAGAGGTAGCTCCTGTGTATAAATACGCGGCAATGAACTTGTCGGATACATAGAGGGTCTGCCCCGCACTAACCGCATCGGGCAGAAAGTAAACAACAACGCCCCTGGGAAATCGCGGTCGCAGCCAAATTACTGGACTTAGGCACCCGCGTCGGCGGCAGGCCCACTGAAGGCCCGCTGTAGGCCGCGCCCATCCCCTGTCACTTAGTGGTTGGCCAGTAATGCCCCGTATTCACGATTCACGATCTGGTGGTTGCACCTCGTGCCGTGAAACACGTCTGGCCATTGTTGTTTTCCATTCGACGCCTGCTTTTAAGGACGGCCCTCCATTGACGCATCATCTTCTTTGTCAGCGTCCTTTCTTTCATCTCACGCGGTTTCGTCCCATCCTATTCCCACCCCGGAGCCATATCTTACATGGTGGTTGCCTGGCCTGTGCTGTCCTGCATTGTCTGCATGAGCAATGGATGCCGTTGGTGATAACGTCCCGCTTGCTCTTCGGCGCGGCCGTCGCAGCAACTTTGGCGTCAGGGTCAAGTCGGAGCCCGATGCAGTCCCCGAGGCCAAGACTCCTCGTCGCAAACGCCATGTTCGTTTCTCAGACTCTGCGGCCACCGGTCTGACACCGATGGTCCGTCGTACAGTCCTCACCACCCCAACCAGCAACCGACGTCGTGTGTCAGCACCGGCCGCAACGCCTTGTTCCACAAACAGATTCACAGACGCAGCTTCTCGTGACGTCCCCAATACACCAGGCCTTCGCCATGTCATTGACGGCAGAGTGGACCGCCACCAGCGCCGCTCGGCCCTGCGCACCGCTCTGGAGAAGCTGGACTTTACTCACCGCCGTTCCAGCCAACAGGCCAAATCGCAAATTGCCCAATTGAAGGACGAGCTCCGCCTGCGGGACCGGGAGATCTATGAGCTGCAGAACGCCACCATCATCGTCGACAATGACCGGGTCTGGCAGCTCGAGCAGGAGGTCAACGATCTGGAGGCCGAGCTGAGAGAGGCCCGCTGCCGCCAGGATCTCCGAGAGAGCAGCCCCATGGACTGGACATTTGGCGCTCCCCCCTCGACTCATCATCGTTCTCGTGGCTTTGATGCCGACGACGAAGATCAGTTCGGTGACGCGACCATGGCACAGCTCGTGTGTAGTACCCCGTCAAGGGCGCGCTCTTCATTCCCAACACCACCCGCCACCAGTCCACCTCCCTATGGTCCTGTCACACCATCTATGGGTCGCTTCAACCCTCCTCGTCTTGCCCTCACGCCAGAGAAGCAACCAGAGCTGCCGACAACAACTACTGCTGGCGTCCAGGCTAGCCTTCCAGATCCCGTAGCGCAGGCTGAGATGGAGTCACTGCAGCGAGAAGCCAGAAAGCTTTCAGAGACGTTGGACTCACAGCTGTCACTGCTCGAAAGAATCTCAAGACGGCTCCCGCGGGATTCCACCGTCATCGATGGAGACGACACTGTTATCGTCTGGGGCCCAGAGACTGTGGAGAAGCAAGTCGACGCCGTGATGCGGACACTGTCCGATCGCGCTGTGGCGCTCACCTCCCTCACAACCACGATATCCGCACTTGGATATCCAGGAAACGACGCCTCCGAGATGCTCACATCTCTCGCGACGTCATTCCGGGCTGCTCGTCTGGAGCTCGAGTACCTCACCCCAGGAGAGATCACACTCCCCCTCACGTCTCGAAGCGCCGAGGTGCTCGACCTGATGCTGGTGCGGCTTCGTGAGCTGGCGCGCAAGGTCAAGGAGGGCGACGACGCCATTGACGAGTACCACGCTATCGAGCTGAATCTGCGCAAGCAGCTCGACTCCCGCGTCTCGGTCATGGACGACCTCAAGGCCGATCTGGCCAACAAGGAAGGTCAGGTCGCGAGTAAGACCGCCAACATCAAGGAGCTCGAAGTTGCAAATGACAGACTCAAGGGGGCTGTGGAGGGATACCTCCGCGACATCTCCCAGCTGGAGCAGCTCGTGGAGAGAATGGAGAGCGAGTCCACCGCCAAGAACAGCACCATCGCGGAGAGGGAGGCGTCCATCTCCGAGCTGGAGGGGAAGCTTGAGGCTGCCTCCCGACGGGCGGCGGACTTGCAGGACGAGCTAGAGGTTGTCCAGGCGAGCCGGAAGAAGCACCTTGATAGCATCAACCGTCGCTCAGGCGAGGCTCTGGCGTTGCGAGATGCTCGGGTCAAGGAGCTCCGCGACGAGGTGGATAGGGTCAATTCCTCGCTGCGGTCTGCACACGAGACCATCCACAGGTTGAGAGCCGATCACGGGCACGTCGAGAGGGAGAACCAAAGTCTAAGGGAGGCAATGGGGGAGCTGCAGAAGGTGATGAAGAGAAGCGAGGAGCTTCTCGCGGCGAACAGCGGAACCGGCGAGGCTCGCGAGTCGAGCTCGTCCCCAAAGAACTTCCTCTCCGGAATTGGGTTTCCTAGGTCAGGCAGCGGCAGCAAGAGGAGGCGCCCTGACAGCGGACTCGGCTTCACGGAGGCAGATGATGTCGATTTTTGAGCAGTTCCAACAGCAACTATCATGGTGGAGTTTTTTGTCCACGACTGATCCGGCGTCTGGCGCCATACGACACCTTCATTGTTTCATGTCCTCGGTCATTATATTTCCTTTGTCATTTCTCGGATTTGCACATTTTCTTGTACACATAGATATCAAGCATCTCAGATGATACATGAGCGTCCCATGCACAGCGCAGCATTGCTCAGATCTGAGGCTTTGTCGACTTAGCTATCAAAATCAAAATCAAATCCATCAACTCCGTCTCCCTAACTTCTCTCGATCGTAGAACCTCCATCTCGTCTGGTACCCCGGAGACAGCGGCTCCCCCAGCAGGTCGACGCACTGCGGTGGGGTGACCTCGCCGAGGTGGAAGCGCAGGGAGAAGACGACGCGCATGCAGCGGTTGCATGCGACAGAACACGGTCCCCACCCTGTTCCTCGGCGGCGGCGAAGAAGTCGCCCCGGTCCCAGAGTAGAAGCTCCCAGTAGATGGGCCAGCCCTCGGTGAGGAAGGGCGTGGAGAAGAACGGCGAGCGGAGGGTGCTATGGCGGCGCTCGGCGACGCGCTGGAGGCGGTGGCCGGGGATCATCTCGTGGAGGGCGACGGCGCGGGAGAAGTGGCGGTTGTTGGCGCGGAGGACGGTGGCCTTGAGGGCCTGGGGCATGGGGGAGGCCGGGCTGGCGACGAGGATGGACTGGCTCGCCGAGGAAGAAAGGGGCGGTGCGCTGCTGGGAGGGGGTCAGTTAACATCCGCCGGGTGGAGGCGGTGAGGGGCGGGACGGTGACGAGGCCATAGTCCTAGACGTAGGCGGTGGCTTCGTTGACAAGGTGGCGGACGAGGTCGGTTTGCTTGCCGATGGAGGTAGATTGCGTCTTAACGTGGTCGAGGGCCCTTTTCCAGTCGCTGCCGAAGCCGAGCTCGTTGGAGAGGGCTTTCGTCTCGAGGAGGCAGCTGTGGTATTCCTTGTGGGCGATGGAGAGGAGCTCTTCGGGGTATAGAAGATCATTTCGTGGGAGACTTCGGACAGGAGCATGGCACGGCCGATGGGCTCGCCGACGACTTCATCTTGGCCACCCTCTCCCGGATTGATGCCAACGATGGTCGACAGGATGATGTCTATGTAACTAGCAAGGGCTGCGTCAACAACCTTCCAAGGGGTAGTGGCCCACCAGTCGAAGGCCAGAGCGTAGATTGAGTAGAAGTCAAACCACTCTTGAAGGTGGCTGCGCCAATCCTCGATGACCTTGGTAGCCTAGTGAGCCGTTGGCTTGCTAGCAGTGGTTCTGCCGGCTTGGATGTCAGTTTGGATCTGGATAATGGAGTTTCGGATCTCGTCCAGATCGAGGGCGGCCTGCTCGACTTGCGCTTACATTACGAAGCCATCCTGCCTCGCCTCGCACAGGGCTGTGATAGAGGATTCGAAGGGGACGAGCGGCTGGACCTTGCCGTGGGACTCTTCTACGAGGGTCTGATGGCGGCTAAGATTCTTGAGGAAGCGTGTCAGCAGGACGATATCCACCTTGTCCTGCTGGGAGAATGAGTCGAATGGGAAGTCCTTGATGTCCTCGAGCTCGGATGAGGAGTACTCCTTAATTTTAGCATATCTACGAGCCGCGTTGGGGAGGTTATAGTAGAGATCAAGGTCGTCGAGGTCAGTCGCCACACGACGCACACGGTCGGGAATGGCCTCGGTGTGGGATGCGTCTGTCTTTGACGGGACTGGAGAGAGCTGCTCTCATGCGATTTCCAGATTGTCGCTGGTCGCCACGGACAGTGGTGGTTGAGATGGAGGCATGGCGGTGAGGATGACGACTAGTTCGCGACAGCCAATCTGGCTGAGAGGCTGCACTGCTACATGGTTGCAGCTGCTGGCTTACGTTTCTTCAACTGTACTGTCTGCAAGTTGGTGATGAATAACGTTGACTTTGTCCGACGTGCAGCTCGTTCAAAGGTTCCCCACACTCACTCTCGTCGGGCTTCGGATCCGAGACTACCCTATAGCCAGAGTAGTTGAAGTTCATGTCCGAGGAGACAACCTTGGAAGTATGATATCACGAAAAGAACGCTCATCCTTGTTCTCTTTACTCGTCTTTGAGTAGCGTATTTACTACAAAGTAGAGGATAGGTTTTTTTCGGATGACCGAAAAGATCAATGGTACTCATCCGTGCTGTGACTGCTCTCCCAAATGCTTACAACAGGAAGGCCTCCCCGAACGTCGCAACAGAACGGCTCGGTAATAACGGATCGGCGCGGATCTAGGCGATGGATCGCTGCAATCAGTTAGATCATCGGATCGATTTAGGGGTTTCTATTAGGCTTCAGGGCACCAGTTGACTCATTCAGGGATCAGTCTGATTACCCGCGGCTGTCTCTCCACAGGGAATTCTTGGGGTGCGCTATTTCGACATTTCGCCGCCAGATTATTAATTTACCATAGATAAGTAATTGATACGGGAGGTGTCCCGACCCGAGAACGGGCTTGCCAGATTATTATTCTTTGTTTCATTCTAATCGACGTCCTTGGTCTGGTCACGGTTTGCTGCTCGCGTGCTCATTGACCCCTACAGATGACGTACCGGTAACACGCAGAAAAAATGTTGCGCCCGGGATTTCTCATTGTCCCGGTCCGACGCACTTTGGCACAGCAGCTGCACAACAGCCATCGACTGCCGCTGCACCATCGCATCCAGCCTCAACCGGTTCAGCTGGGCCTGCCGAAATTCCGCATCGTAAACGCCCGGCCGTACTCTTCATCGCCGTCTCCGAGCCCGAATCCAAACGAGAATAAGAAGGATGTGAAGCCGCAGCCGCTCGAGGAGGATCCGATCCCCGTGCCCAACACCATCCCCCCGCTACCGATATGGCAACGCCTCGGTCCTCTGACCTCTCTTGCCTCCGCCTACGGCCGCGCGCAGCGCCGTCGGCCATGGGTCACGCAGTTCTTTAGCGTCCTGGTCATCTACTTCATCTCCGATAGATGCGCCCAGACCATCGGCGGCGACGAGTACGATCCGAAGCGCACGATCCGAAGCCTCATCATCGGCGGAGGCAGCGCCATTCCCAGCTATCTCTGGTATGCCCCTGGCCCCTTCTGTACCCCTCATATCGTTTGTCTAACTTGTATTGGTGCCGTCTAGGTTCGTGTGGCTCTCGCACAGCTTCAACTACTCGTCGCATATCCTCTCCATCGCAACCAAGATCGTCGTGAGCCAGGCGCTCTTCACCCCGACCTTCAACACCTACTTCTTCGGATCACAGGCCGTCCTCTCCGGCTGCACACCCTCCGAGGTTCTCGAGCGCGTCTACAACACCGTCCCGACGAGCATGATCAACTCGTGCAAGTTCTGGCCGTGGGTGACCGCCTTCACCTTCACCTTCATCCCGATCCAGTACCGCAGCCTGTTCTCGGGCGTCATCGCCATCGGCTGGCAGACATACCTCGCTTGGCTCAATCGGATGGCCGAGCTGAAGGAGAGCGCAGGGGCGGCGGATCACCTCGACCAGGCTGGAGCGAGTGTCGGCGTTGGCGTTGGGGATGTCGAGTGATGCCGGCCGTCGCGAAACGATTGAGTAAAAGGGAGGCATTTTGGATTATACCGAAAGAATATAGATGGCGTATGGTGTTTATAGACGGGCTCACCTTGTTATGTGGCTTTTGTTGCTGTTTTAATGCGACGCTAGGTAAAGGTCCAACATGGGCCCTTTCTTATTGTGAATAGGTGCTTTCTTCCAGAGTGATTCGCTTATCCTTGATGATGATCGTCCACTCGAGGACAATGGACGGAAAGAATCTGTTAACAAGGAGTCGATGGACTCATGCCGACTAAATTGAGTATAAACTGACTGCACTAAGCCCACCACAATGTATCGAAGGCAGGCTTACCAACCAACACTGGTCGATCTGGAGTCGTAAGCCACCATGGACAGCCTGCTAAACCTGCTCAGGGACACATCTGGTCGCCGACTGGCCCTACTGGAGGAAGAGTTGGAGACACTGAGGCGTGATGCGCTCTCGTATCCAGATGATTTCTTTTCGACAAAACCCAGGAGGTACCCGGCCGGTCTATTTTCCCACGAAAAACTAATCGAGATATCGTGCGCTTCATTGAATCAATGCAAGGGCTTTGCCATGGGTGACAAGCCCAATGATCCTTCCACCAACGCCGCCAAGAAAGACAACCCTATCTCGACGTCGCACCCCCTCCAAGACCCTTCCGCGGTCAAGAAGAGGCTGTACACGTCCTTGAGGCAGCTGGAAACCTACGAGCAATTCCTCTTGTGGCAACTTGACGCCAGGAATACTTCAAGGATCAATAGGCATGCAGGACTTAGCGAGCAGTACCAGCAATACCTCAATAGCTACAAGACTAGGTCTCAGCACTTTATGGATTTGAGGGAGTCCTTGGGACACGGGATCTCATTCGAGGAGGCATGGACAGCAGACCGCTCCTTGACCCTCGCGATAATGCACAACGCTGGTGATAGATGCCTGGACCTCTATAGATACTTCGGCGCTATAGAGGAGTGGGCAAGATATAGGGGCTCAATCAAACAGCCGCTGCGCCTCTTGCGATCGCTCGATGAACAGGACCCGTGGTCTACCTACGTCGAGTTTCTTTACTATCATTCATTGTGCCAACAGGCATCTGATTATAGAGTCATTGCCCTTCGGGTGGACATGTCCAGGGAGTGGGCAATGCTGGCACGAGAAAACCTGCTCCAACCCACGGATACGGCCCTCTCACTTGTGTACCGACTGGAAGTACTACAGGAGGATCTGTCGGAGGCAAGTGGAGCCCATCCATACGAACATTTTCTCTCCTCGTGGAAGCGCCTATGTCAAGGTACCGAGGTCGCGGATTTTCATTGCGCGAGTATGGGCTGGGCTTGGGATATGATGGAATTTGTTGGTAATTCTTAGTGGTGGAAGATGCACTTTTAATCTCAACTCCTCTAGAGATTGTCTATAAACACCCAATGTCAGCGTTATTTCTCCTAAAAATTACTGGTGTCTGGGAATTCCCCCCCCCTTTTTTTTTTCAGCAGCTGTACAGCTCCCTCACTTACTTACACATTTCTCCTAAATCTAGGCACTGATCGCTATTCTCCCTTATTGTTGCGAGTGATGTGTGAATGTGTGAATGTTACAGAGAATTTCAAGTGATGGATTGCAGTGGAATGTGGATGGAACCCGCTGGAAAGTTCCACCACCAATTCATGGTGAGTGCTGCTGACAATCAGCCCCTGTCCACTGAGTTACCCGCTAGAGGCAGTGCTGTTCCTCACTGTAAGCAGAAGTCTACGTACACCGTTTTGCTGCATTTGTCACTACGGAAGCCTGCTCAGTCTCTCTCGAGGTTTCTGGCATTTTCTGCATCGTTCTCAAGGCTACACTCATTGCGAAGCCCTCCAGCTATCACTCGGTGTCATGGCTGATTGATTCCATTATAAAGGAGCAGACTCTGGCCAAGTGAGTCTGGCCTATCTGCTCCTCATCACAACACTCCCACAGCATCCAATCCAGCCTCACAGACATCGCCAACAAACCCAAGGCAACATTCTTGATCACACAACCTCTTACATACACCATCCACACAAACAAATACTATCAACAAAATGGAGTTCTTCCCACGAACCATCTACAACAACACTGGCGCTAGCTCCAGCAGCCCATTCAACACCCTCGCCCAGCTCATTGATGAGTTTGACAAGTACTCTCGACAGGACTCTAGCAAGTCCCAGGAGGCGCCTGCGCCTACTTTCCACTGGCAGCCCAAGTTTGATGTCCGCGAGACCTCCGAAGCTTACCACCTCTACGGCGAGCTCCCGGGCGCTACCAAGGAACAGATCTCCATCGAGTTCCCAGAGTCTCAGCGCATCGTCATCAGCGGCAAGACTGAGCGCTCTTACCTGAACGCTACCACAGACTCACGCCCCAACTCGCGCCAGGCCACGGTCGAGGATGAGGACGAGGCTGAGAAGAAGGTGGTGGCTGCTGATGCCACCCCCCGGGATACCGCCAAGTACTGGCTGAGCGAGCGCAGCATTGGCCAGTTCTCTCGCGCCTTCAGCCTGCCCTCTCGTGTGGACGAGGAGGCTGTCTCTGCGAGCCTCAAGGACGGCATCCTGAGCGTTGTCATCCCCAAGGCTAAGAAGTACGAGGCCCGCAACATCATTGTCAACTAGGACATTGATGGTCTTTGCACATGATCACATCACCCTTGGTTTTTTTGGCACTTTGAATCATGAATTACTGCATCGTCGGGCGTTTGGAATTGTGGGATCATCGGAGGCTCCGGACCAGGTAACAGACGGAAGTTCCTCATAGAAGCATTGTAACAAAGTAGTATCTAATTCAACACCATCCTCTCACCTGTTTCCCTTCCTATTTTTGACCATGACTAGACTGAGAAGTGATATGTAATATGATGATAATATATGAATGACATCAACTTTTTAGAAACGGAAAACCGTAGAGCTAACCACTTGAGAACGAAGCCTTGTCACTCATCACCTTTGGACGTCGCCAAAAGGCAAGTTTCCCAAGGAAGCCAAACAGCCCCCCACGCCCGCGCCCCCGCGACAGCGAGCTGACGGAACTCGCATCGTCAGCCGCAACCTTGCGTGGGTGGCAGTCGCAGGCACAGCACCCACAGCACGCCTTCTTCTTCATGGAGGACAAGGGCGGGCGCCCCGGGAGGGGACCGCGAGCGGGAAAGGGTATGGGCCTGGGCGGCGGCTCGACGGTGAGGTCGACGAGGGCGGCGTAGATCTCCGAGCGGGTGTAGGGGATGCTCCCGAGGCGGCAGGTCGGGGTCTGCCCGGCGGCGTGGCAGAGGCGCTGGCGGACGACGTCGAGGGCGTCGTCGTCGCTCGCGTACTTGGGCCAGGGTTTCCCGTGCTGCGAGGAGCGGGATAAGCCGTGGACGAGCTTGATCTCCGAGCAGAGTGTCTGCAGGGTCTCGATGGGCACGGCGGATGGCGCGGGGACGAGGTCTAGGAAGCTGTTGGGGAGGCTGCGGACGGGGGCGGGTGTCAGGGTGGGGGTTCTGTTGTCCTCCCTCTGCACGCGGTAGAGCCGCAGGGCGAGCGAGTCCCAGGTGGGATCGAGGCCTGCAGGGGGTGGGAGAATGGAGAACTTGCCCTCGAGGCGTCTTAGGCGTTTGTCGAGGTCGGGGAGGGTGCTGGCCGAGATGATGTCGTCTGGGAGTGGGATATTCTGGCGGCCTTCGAGGAGGGCAATGGCACCGCCGCACTTCGCATGGGCCTGTCTATGGTCCATATCCATCTGATCTCGAGAACTAATCAGAATTAAAGAAAAGAAAAAGAAAGCAAAAGAAAAGTGCAGGCGGTGGATGGGAGAGGAGGAGGGGACATCATGCCGACGGGTTTCCAGTGCCTTTATGACTTCCTGCACGCACTATTGGGCTGAGAACCCGGGCATGCAGGATTCTCCAGATGATTGGCTTGTTTATGCCCCCTTGTGCCATCGGATCGGGTGAGTGACCGCATAGTGAATAAGTGATGCGAAAGTGAGGCGGACGAAGTGTGTGGGCGTGCATTTCCGCGAGAGGAGAAAAGTTTCTTTTCTTGCTCCCATCCATTCACAGGCGGCTATGAATTGGCGGTCAGTCGCCTTGTCATTTATCAGTTTGACAGCGTTGCACCGGAGGCTGGGAAAGACGTTAGAGTTCAATAGCAGCCATATATCGTATTAGATGTATATTTGTGCACTTTTTTTTTGTTATTGTGATTGTAATTATACCCCTCAAGGCAACGCGTCACCTATAGCATCTCGTATGACTTTGCTCCCCTTGAGCTCCTTATTCGTTGCCTGGATAACGATGCGTCTGTAGCTCGTCAGAGCAGGTGTGCCCGAGTCCGTCACTTCGAGGATAACGTGCAGCTCTTGGCCTTTGGCAACGGGGGCTCTGCTAATCAGGTCGGCGCAGCATTCCTCGGGTGTGGGAAGCGTGACCTTGACTACTCTCCCCTCCTCGTCCTGCTTCTCTATCTTCATCTCCTGGACCTCTGCAGTGACCCACCACTGTGAGGCCGTGGGCTCTCTGTACTGCCACCACTTGAACGTTAGTGAGTCGCCGTCCGGATCGTACGTGCCACTTGCGTCAAGCGTGATGCTCGTAGATGCCTCAGCCGTAAAGTAGATTGGGGCTGTGCCGGCTGAGCCGTTGACGGAGATGACAGGGTGATGGTTGGCCGAGGACAGCTCAGGCGAGAGCGTCCACTGGATACGGGCGGCAAAGTCGTTTTGGAAGGCGTCTCTCCAGCGCCAGATGGTGGCGTGATTGGACTTGTACGTCTTCCCATCCTTGCCCACGACGTGGTCGGTCGCATCGCTGTAGTGATTACTGCCCAGGCCGTGGGGGCTTATATCTGTCTTGTTGTACCTGCCACCCCACGAGCCTAGTTCAGGGCGCTCAGGGACACCAAGGCCGTTCTGGATGAGATAGAGAAAGGTGGGAGTGTCGCCCTCAGGGATGAAGAGGTAGTCGGGGTAAGCAGACCCGAGCGGTCCGATCTGAACGTGTTCCTTCAGCCACTCTTTGGTAAGCTTAGAGAAGTCTGGTCCGCCCTGGTCAAAGCCGTAGTAGTTGTCGCCCGCGATTCCGGTCCAGGCTGCGAGGCCGTACTGATTCCAGGCGTGTATCGAGGAGATGTAGAAGAGGTCGGGGAATGTGTTGCGGATCCAAGCTCCCGTGTCGTCTTGGTCGGAGATGGTGTAGATCCTCAGCTTTGCACGGAGGGGGGCGAACTCTTCCTCGCTCAGGGAGTGCTTGAGCTTGAAAAGAACTTGTGCAAGAACATTGGTGCCGCCCCAGACTAAAATCCATAGAGGGTCATCATTTGGAGCCTTGATTCTCTCTGTGAGAAGTTCACCGCCCTCGCTGAGTGGGATATCGTGTCCAACAGCCTCGAAGCCGTATACCTATAAGCGGGGAGACAGTGCGTGTTAGTTTTTTCAATTTGATATGAGAATCTCTGAATGAGGGAAGGAGGATTCTTTTTCTTACCGGTGCACCAGACTTGATGATACTTCTAAAGTAGTCGGCAGAGGCGTAGGGGAAGTCGGGGTGGACATGCTTGTTCAGGTTGTCGACAGCCCCGGCATATGCGTCAATGATCTTGTGCATGTCCTGGGGACAGACTTTGTTCTTCATCCATGTTGACGTGCAGGCCACGAGACCTTCCGTCTGGAACTGGTTGGAGTAGAGGAGATATCGCACAAGCGACTCGGCATCATCGGGCTCATTGGAGATATCTGAGACAATGAAGACGCGGGGCTTTGAGGGGAAAGCCAAAAGCTTCTTGTTGTCCTCGCTTGATGCCATGGTTTCTTTTCTATTCAATAGCCAGTATCGCTATTCTCCCGGGAATTTGGTCCGTTGATCAATCCCCCAGACAGTCAGGGTTTATATGAAACGACCGTTGATATGACCAGAGGCCCAACCTGTGATGTTTGAATGATGATGGCCTTCATTAATTCATGCCATAACTGGGAAAACGTACCACCCGCCCAATTGCACCGTGCAACCGCCGAATTTCTTCCACAAGAACGGCATCTGGAGGCACCTCTGCCTCTATTTGGGATGGTCCCGACCGAATGGATCGGATTGCGGCCAATTCTTTGCCGAGGATTAGGCGTAGTTACATGGAATGTCATTACGGAAATCTTGTTTCGTCCTGGAGCCCCGTGCTTGGCCTCAATAGCTCCCCATATCGTTCGTACCAGGCTAGATGGGCGGGTCAACTGCCGAGTCATTAAACGGGGACGCCGCAAAACGGCCGGATTGGGACATGTTAAGCGCCAGCTCATCTCATAATTACGCGTTGACGAACCCCATGGGCTTCTCCGGAGGGTTACCTGAGGCCTTTCCTGGGAAAACGTGGATGGAATTTGTGGGTTGTGGGTTGTGGAGAGACTTCCCCAGATCACGCGAGCTGCAAGTTTGAGTTTGCCCTCTGTCTGCATCGTGTTTCCGACAGGTGCCTCTTCGGGTCAACTCGGCTAATCCTGGTTGAAGGTATTCTCAGAGGTATGCTCGAAATTTTATATATAATGACGCAAAACGCCACTGCCGGTAACTAGTCTACTCTCTCCCAACGGAGCATCCGACACTTCCATCACCTTTTGTTTGTTCCCTCAACACCTCTTCTTTGCCCTTTATCATACATTCAGACATCATGGCGAAGAAGGCCAACGCGGAGCATCTGGACAATTTGCAGACAGACAATCATGATCTGGCCAACCTTGCTAACCAGGAGGACCATGACCTCACCAAGATTGGGGCTATAAAGAAGTACCCATTGGCCTTTGTATGGTCTCTGTATGCCATCTGGTGTACGCTTCTTGTCTCCTTCGAGAACCAGGCTGCTGGTAACGTTGTTGGCATCCCCGAGTTTCGCAAAGACTTTGGCCACGAATACGCCGGCAACTATGTCCTTGATGCCAATTGGCAGAGCGCCTTCCAAGGCGCACCCGTTGCTTCGTACGCTCTCCCCATATCTATCCTTGCTCTGCTTGGGATTTCATCACTAACTGTCATTTCCTTTTCATAGTGGTGTTATTGGTGCTCTAGGTTGCGGTGCTATCGCTGACTGGTTGGGTCGCCGCGCCGTCATCATCATCTGCCTCGTCATTTCGTACGCCGCTATCACGATGGAATTTGTTGCCACGACAAACGAGCTCTTCTTTGGTGGAAAGTTTCTTAATGGATTCGCTATCGGCGCTCTCGCATCTGTTACAGTTACCTACATCGGCGAGGTAAGAACAACATCGATCGACTGGAATGGTACAAACAAAGCATCGGACTAACAGAACTTTTAAGGTTGCCCCATTGGCTCTTCGAGGCATGCTCACATGTCTGACCGGTTTGGCCTACACCTTTGGCCCCCTAGTTGTCGCCATCATCGTCAATGAAACCGGAACCATGGAAAGCCGCTGGGCATACCGCGCCGTTTTCTGCGCCCAGTACGGTTTTGCTGCCATCTCGACCATCTTCATCTTCTTCATGCCCGAGTCGCCTTGGTGGCTCGTCTCCAAGGGCGAACAGGAAAAGGCCCTCAAGTCTCTTGCCCGCCTGGGCAGCAAGGGTGATATGGGTGTACAGCGTCTCGCATCCATCAACAAGACCCTCGCCGAGGTTGCGCGGGAGACTGAGGGTGTGACCTATCTGGAGTGCTTCCGCAAGTCCAACTTGCGTCGTACCATCATTTCCATTGCCCCTCTGTGCATCCAATCTCTCTCCGGTATTGTTTTTGTGGCTTCTTATAGTACCTACTATATCCAGCTCGCTGGTTTCTCTACCGAGATGAGCTTCAAGCTGCAGATTATCCAGCAGATCCTTTCTCTGGTCGGAAATGTCATGTCGTGGTACCTGGTTGATCATTTCGGACGACGAGACTTGACCGTCTACGGCCTGCTCGTGTTGACTATAATCCTCTTCCTTACCGGTGGCCTGGCCGCTGCTGGAGGCGACGGTCCTATCAAGGGAACTGTCGGCCTCATCATCATCTACTGCTGGTGGTATAACGTCACCATCGGGGCTACTGCGTATACCGTTCTTTGCGAGGTATCAACCTCGCGTCTCAGAGTCAAGACCATCGCCATCGGCATGGCCTGCCAATATGCGCTTAACATGATCTGGAGCTTCGTCCTCCCCCTGCTTTTCAACCCGGATAAGGCCAACCTCAGCGCCAAGGTTTCCTTCATCTTCGGTGGCTTTGCCATCTTGAGTCTCGTCTTCTTGTGGTTCTGGCTGCCCGAGACTGCCAACCGCACGTACGAGGAGCTCGATGAGATGTTCACCAAGAAGGTGCCCGCGAGAAAATTCAAGGAATTCAAGACTGATACCCAGGCGTTTGGTGAGACTGCCAAGGCAGATCACATGGACGAGGTGGAGGAGAGCAAATAGATTACCAACATGAGGTTTGGCAAGACCAGTATAGCCTCTGTACAATTTTACTGAAAATAATGAATTGGGACTCGCATAATACTGGTTAGATCTGGGTAAATAGTTAGATTGCATATAGAGAAAGTTGACATACCCTTTACTGTTGTGTTCAAGTTCTGTTGAAATCCCTTCTTTGACATGCTAATTATGCCCTAGTGACGATGAGATGAGTCTGAAAATTACAAGCTTATCTGATCTGCATTCATGGAACAGAGCACTTTCTAATGTGGGTGTTATTGATCGTTATGGATTGTCTGCCCTTCAATAGAGTTGCGTCACTTGTGCATTTACCATGTAGTTGGTAATACAATTCCCTCGGCGGAAGAATCCCCATATACTGCACAAGTACTGCAACTGAAATGACCTTCATTCATTTCAACGGTAATGAATAAAGCTATGTATCGCTGAACGCACCATCCAAGTCGCAGCAAAACTGGTCCTCAATATACGAGGACCTCCTTAGAGAATAGATCTATCAAGCTATTGAGAGATATTAATTTAATTTCTTTAAGAAAGAGTTATATTTAAATCTAACATAAGAGATGGATAAAGGAAAGCTTGCTTAAGTAAGTCTGAGCTAGATGAGTCGAGTATTTTGCCTTCACTATTGAGATAGAGTGAAATCAAATTGCTCTAATTAACTAAGATTGAAGTTAACACAGCATATTCTAGAAGTCTACCGTATCCCAAGCTTTGAATAACCACAGCGTGTAAAGATGTTCATACGAACTAGAGCTAGAATTAGATAGAGAGCCAAATATGGAACACTGCCCCAAATCCTAAGTTTCTTGTATCGAAAAACCTTTGTTACTCTCTCAAATGTCTCAAGAAGTCGTAGCCCTAAGCAAGAAGATCCTCGTCCCATGTACACCGTTGTGCTTCTTGTCGACTACCGCATGATAATTTTTGGACTCTCTGGTACAATCCCTCCCATATCCGTTATAAAAACTGTTTCGAATAATAAGGAAATGATTTTAGACTCACCAGAGGTAATAAAGAGTTCGCCGTGAGTGAGGATGACAAAGGATTGCTTTTAGTATTCGCAAGTCATAAATCTAACAAAGGTACAATGTTTCAATAAGAGCCTATGGCTTAAATGAATAAGAAAGTCCTTTAGAGCTCAAAACTCGTAGGAAGTTATCCTTTTTCTTAGTAGGCTCTATGGGGGATTGATGCCAATGCCTGAAACCTCCAAAATCAAGAGAGTTTTATTACAGGGCGATCTAACTACAACAGGCCGAATGCAAACAATTCAAACAAAGAAAATGTCAAATTAATAATAATAGAGACATCATGGTAGTTTAGACTCAAGTTCTAAACCGACAGAGTTGTTTCTTCCCAGGCGTGGATTGTGATGGTGTTACACCACTGCCTGGGATGCAGTTCGTTTGAAGTAAACGTGCTCTTGATGGTTCTTCCCTCGTGCAATACACAGACGGAGCTGATACTTCTCGCAAAGTGAACAAGACAAATGGAGTGTTCTCAAATCAACAAATTCTCAGAAATCCTGAGACAATGATCTCTACTATAGTTTAGTTTCCATACCTCTTTGATCTTAAGGATAGAGAATGCTGATTCACATCAGCAATGTCTGTTCACAACCTCGGACAACAGTTGGAGACTTTCAATCACCCACTAAAAGAGCTTTGAAAAGAGAATATAAATACTCCGAGCTGCTGCCTCATATCTTGAATTGATGTCAGTATCCTTGATCCAACAGTTCCAACAAGCTTCACTCGCAACCCACATTTGAAATCCCTACAAGATTTAAACATTGATCCTCTTAAGAGCAAATTCATTAGGCCAACTTCCAAATGGCGTCCTCAGCTTCACAGAATCGACCATTGTCGATCAATCAAATTCTCCGCCAAAACCCAAGAGACCAGCTCTATGTTGAGCCCTTGAAGTGGACCCATGACCACCTTGACCACCTTGAGATTTCCTTCGTGCAACCAACGGAACTCCATCCTTTCGACCGGGTCCACCCAGACTCGAAATTATGGGACGAGATCAATTTTACAGGGTCAGACGAGCTTTTGGCGATGGAAGTACGCCTCAAAGCGGTTGAGGATCTTCTCAAAAAGGCAGATAATAACCTATCGTCCGAGTAAATTCTTCCCCCCTAACGGTGATATACCGAATCGATTAGTGCCTAGGACAACTAACTTTCTCCTACAGAGACGATTTGTGCCTTTTCTTCGGAGAAAAGCAACAGAAGTTGGATTGCACTTTCTCCCTTGAGCCAGGCGAGGATATTCCTCTGGCCGCTTTCCTTGATTACATGAACATCGTTATCAAGAGGGAGCGTACAGTGGAACCAAAGTTGAAACCACAGTCAACCAACACCTCAATCAAGATCAGCAAGGTTAAATCGGTGTTGAAACTCAAGGCAATTACTCCGGGGAACCCTTTGTACGACCCCTTTGTTGCGGCCATATTGATTGCTTTAGCCCAAGCTCAGCAGCGAGCAGCGAATGCAACACGGCCACATGGCAAGGGTAAAGAAGTTGTTGTATGTACCACGAACATATTGATATCTGGCTATTTGGGCTGCGCTAACTATGCTTTACTCTCAAGGATCCCGAGGACTTGAAGCACCTTGCCACTGACGAGCGGACGTATGATGTAAGTGAAGAGCTCAGAAGACAGTCATGTGATGCCTTTTTTGCTCATACATTTACTTTCTAGGTTCGAATGCTTGTCACTTTCCAAAAGGATGCAACCTGCATGCTTTACAAATCTGTAATCTCATCGGCATTCCTTGCCAAGTTCAATGATTTGGACTATGCGCCACCAGCGTCAACTCCGATGAGAATTGAACTCAGTGACATTCCGTTTAGGCCCCGCACCTCTCTGCATCGGCGACTGTTCAACGAACTGTTCCCCGAACGACAAGGAACTGGAGGTGATAGCGACGAGAGATCCTCCAACTCTGAGGCATCGCCTACAGAGGAGACTTCGGGTTCCACCGAAAGCAAATTTGAGACTTCTGGATCTGGATCCAGCGAAAGCCAATTTGCGGTCATCGGTGGCACAGTGGATGACTAGTCAACTTAGGTCTGTACAGTCTGGGAGTTTCGAAGCAATGGGAGTTTCGAAGCAACAGACAAGTATGGTGTTTTTGATAGCTACTAGGCGGCCTCAATGGTGATCTAAGTGGGAAAGGACTGAGACAAACCGCTCAGAATGTATAGACAGAACATGGTTTGACGGCGGATCTTTCTAGGGGAAAATGTTCCAGATATCTAGGAATCTCGAAGTGGCAAGATTTGCTCTTCTGACAAAAGTCACTCTTTCTTCAATTTATGTTTGGCTTCCTTTGACCACTTGTCACAATGTGTCGTTCTTATAACCCCTTGACTAATCTAACCTATCAGAAGCAGTAGAAACTCCAGGCTGTTCCTACCATAGCTGGATCGAAAGAGGCCAAGGCATCCTGCAGGTCAGAGCTTAATTTCTGTCTCAGCTGCAAGTTTGCGGGCTTGGCACCTTATCCAAGTCTTGGTAATCCTATAGATTGAATCACAACGTGGGATTTGGGGCTGTTCGAAATCCACATGACGTGCTGTGTATAACGTTTCGTTTGGACCTTCGAGGACTGTGAAGAGAGGCGAAAAGCACTACCAGAACTAAGAAGAAAGATGTTCGGAAGTTCCAAATTCTATGTGGAACGTAGACCACGTTTTTATTTCCGCCTCCTTTATTCTTGCCTGATAATATATACATATTCATCTTCCTGAAAAGGTCTACTCAGTGCGACGACGTCTGCATCGACCAAAGCCTCGAGTACTTGCCTCCCAACTCGAGCAGCTCTTTATGTGTCCCCCTCTCCACAACCTTCCCGCCATCAATGACGAGGATCAGATCCGCACCCACAACAGTGCTCAATCTGTGAGCCACAGTGAAGACCGTCCGGTCCTTGCTCAGGATCCGGATGGCCTGCTGCACGGCTGCCTCGGTGTCTGAATCCACCGAGCTGGTCGCCTCATCCAGAACCACGATCTGCGGCCGTCGCAAGAGCACTCTCGCAATCGACAGCCGCTGCAGCTCGCCACCCGAAAGCCGCACTCCACGCTCGCCAAGACGTGTTTTGTAACCGTCTGGGAACTTCATGATCTGGTGATGGATGCGGGCGCCCTTGCAAGCCTCAATCACGTCTGCTTCCGAGGCCCCCGGTCGGGCGTATATGATGTTCTCCATAATGGTCTGGTCGAACACGGACGGCTCCTGCGGGACGGCGCCCAGGCTCTCGCGGAGGCTGTGGAGGGTGACGTCCCGGATGTCCTGGCCGTCGATCAAGATGCGGCCCCCGGTCACGTCGTAGAAGCGGTAAAGAAGTTTCAGCGTGGTCGACTTGCCGCCGCCCGTCTCACCGACAAGTGCGATGGACTGGCCTGGCTCGGCGGTGAACGTCATGTCTTGGATGATCGGCCGCTCTGGCCCGTAGCCAAAGTCGACGTTGCAGAAGTCGACACGGCCGCCTTTCCATTGGAGGTCGCGAGCGCCCGGCTTTTCCTGTACAGATGGTTTTGTCTGGAGCAGCTGGTAGAGCCACTCGGCGTCGATGAGGTGCGAGGTCGTTTCCCTGAGGGTCCAGGACAGGCTGATCATGGGTGCACGGATGGAGCTCCAGTATGAGACCAGGAATACGAAGCTGCTGAGCTTGGCTGATCCGGCGGCCACGCGGAGGGCAACGACCGATGCGGCTGCTAAGAGTCCGGCGTCTAGAATGAAAGACTCAAAAGCGTGGATGAAACCGAAACCATCGAAATATCTTCTTTGAGCCTTGAGAGAGTTTGCTATCGAGCTTGCGTAGCGGTCTTGCTCGAAGCCTGCCCGGTTGTGGTACACGACTGTCTGCCAATTCGTGATAGAGTCGTATAAAGTCTCATTCTCTCGGCGATACGTCTCACTCAGTACTCTCTCATAGGACATGTTGATGCCGTTGCCCTTGTAGCCGACATACGCATGGATCATGGCCGTTGCAATGATGATGAAGCCAAGAGTTGAGTCGAAATATGAAGTCAGGTAGATAACAGCAACAGCGAAATCAATGATGACAGGGGCGATGTTAAAGACGCTGTTCAATACTGAACTCAGGTTGCTGCCCTGCTCGATAGCTTTGGTGACTCTGCCTGTGCTCTTGGTGGTGTGGTAATCCATCGAGAGGGACATGACGTGGGAGAATGCAGCCTCAGTAAGCCTGCGGTAGGCATACTGCGAGACACGGATGGTGGCCATGTTCTCTACCATGTTGGTTATGGTAGACACGGGAAACTGGAGGAGACCCCAGATGGCAATATCCTTCCACGGCACGGAACCAGTACCAAACATATTTCCTAGTGACTCGGTGAGGATACCGAGTTGGCGGGGGATCATGAGAGTGAGTACGCGGGTGGTGCCCATGCAGAGAATCATGACAACCACCCAGCCCTGGGTCGGACGATGGTTGTATGGTACAAGGTATGGGAGGAATATGATGAAGCTCCTCAGGTAGCCTAGCCAGCCACCTTTCTCCTCAAGACGTTTCCGCTGCAATTCCTTGATCTCCTTGACGTCTTCGTCCTCCTTGGCCTCGTCCTCCTCAACCTCAGCTTCAGGGTTCTCACCTTCTGCTGTTTGAGGAATTGATCCATAAGATCTGCCCTCCAGGTCGTTTTCACGTGCCTGCCCATTTGGAGTAGTGCCCAGGAGGCTGCTGGTCTCTTCTTCGGTCCCAGTCTCTTCTTGGCCGCTGTGTCGCTGGATAGAACAGAGACTGCAGACAGCGCCCGCCAGCAACACAGTTATGCGCAGCGTGTGGAGAGAGAGACGCGCAATCTCGTACCCGGAATTGAGGGCCAATTCCTTGCTGGTAGTAAGAGCGACAATGGATGCATCGATCAGAGCTCCGGAGGTCCAGGCCAAGATGTACGTGGGCCAGTGGGGTGATTTGCTCTCTACCAGAACCACTGATAAAGTACCCCAAATCAGGATTGACGACAAGAAATACAGCTGTAGGATAATTTTGTGAGACATGAAGATTCAGCGCGAGGAGGGAAGTATTGTGGTTGCACACATACCGGAGAGTTATCGGGTGCTGATACATCTTGAGCGCTGGCTTGGTTCTGGAACGAACCGAGAATGGCTTGCGCAATCTGTTGAACTCAGGAATACCATAGTTAGTAACAGGCAGCGTTGATGGCTAGGTCACTTAAACAAGACCAAGAATAGAAGCACAATGACAGAGACAGGAACGCCAAGCGGGTAGTAGGGAAAAGACAAGCAAATGGGTTCTATATCGGCACTCACAAAGGTCAGACAAGTGATTGGCGAGACACAAGTCAGCGTTGTTCTGGCAGTTCTTCCGATGCCGCTATACCTTGACCGCTCACTCGCCGGCCGGATCAGCAACCGGAGCAGTGGAAGCACCACAGTAAGAGCCACAACGGCCAGTGGCCCTGCAATGTACAAGACGTGGGCCACCTTCTCAGATGGTCCGGGGTCGCGCGCAATTGGGTCAATTGAGTCCATTGAAACGACCGAGGGGTTGGCAGACAACCGAGCCGTTTGCTGACAGACAGACTCCCTCCCTAGCTCGAGTGATTCTGGCGAGAGGACGGGCTTGGGCTTGGGGTGCGTGGTGAATGGGAGGGGAAAAGGGAACGAAAAAAATAAGGTCAGGGGTCTGGATGAGACGCTGATTGTTTGATTAGGTGATGGGGTTCTGTTTGTTTCGGGTTGGCGCCGGTTAAGTTGCATCGCGGCCATTCATGCATCCTGCCCTGCATCCCTGGCCTAGACTCGATCTGCATCTACACCGTATTATCACGTACAGAGTGGCCATTGGGTAGTTTAGTCCGTTTCGACGCTTGTCAATCGCACATTGTGCCATCTGATGAGGCGCGTGAGGGAATAAACCCCCGGGTCCATGCATGACACTCTCTAGCTCAATAGCAACCCACCTTCCATAGCCTGTCAGATGAGGAGTAACAGGCGCGCTAAGAGTGATATTATTACCCTTATCAATAATATGGCTCTGTGCTTAGCGTCGGTGCCGTGCTCGTGAACCACGATGACGGTCTCAACTGTCTCACACATATCTACAGAGTGGCATGATCCCGTGGCGAAAATCACGTGTCCGTCTATGGAAATTAGTTTCAGTCTCATGCTGGTCCTTCTACACTGAACCTTGCCCATCCAAACTCACATCTACGCGGAAATTGTAGGCTATCAAACTTACATGTGTCTAATGAAAGACACTGGCCATCTTACAGAGCCTTCAAAAGCGACAAGCGGAGGCTCTTGTCATTTGAATGGTCTCATAGTGGCCGTGAACCGGCTTTTTTGCAGCTGTCTCACCGCTGTTGCCTTCCTAATGATGAAGACATGGAGAAGTTCAATGTTAGACCTAAGAGTGAGGTACGCATGATGAGAAATAGGCATCATGTGACTTCTCGAACCCGGCCATAACCACATCATGCATCTGTCAATGCAGCACACCTTTCCCAGATACAGTTCTTGTGGGTACGATGTCAGATTGTGGGCTCTTGGTAGTGTGGAGCAAACAACCAGAGAGGTGAAGATCCCTGTGAGGGGGACACGGCTGCGGGTCTTCTTGACCGCGCATTGCTGTGCCCATGAATTGTCTATGGTATAGTTACTTTGGCGTTGCGTTTCTCTTCCGTCAACTCGAATTCTTAAGAAAAGGAGGGCACCATACAACGATTGGGTGTCCACTCAGTTTGGCCGTTGGAGTAGTAACTGAAAATGTAAGAATTGCAAACCACGAAAAGCTAACCTTGAAGGTAGCTATGACTCAAAGAGAGCACTAGAATAATAAGTGTCTCGCTACATGCTGAACCGAATCACGGAAATATAAAGCATAGATTCATCGAATATCAAGCATTGACAGTGGTTGAGTACATGTAGGTGTGGGGTCTAGGGTATGTGGGAACTGCTGCATGTGAGTGCTGCTGCATGCATGGTAACATCCGAAAGCTTGGATGAGGCGAATCCGTTCATTGTGGGTGCTTAATCGCTATGCTATAGATGGCGGTGCCCATTTT